CTCCAGGCCCGCGGACTTATTGTTGCGCATAGCCTTAAGGCCACTAGCAATTTCATCCTCCGTAAAATCCTCGTTAAGCCAAGCAGCTAATTCCCGTCTGTGCGTCACCTGGTCCTCGTCCAGCCATCTAAACTGAATACCCTCATTGCGGCATTGCCTCGTCTCTCCCGTACCATTAAGCACCCCTGGAAAAATGCTCGGTAAAAGCATTAATATCTGAGATCCCGCAAGGAGGTGGTTTTCCCCCACGCAGCCATGTCCACAATCCGCGTGGGTTGAACCGGGCGTCCTTAATCCTCCTCCGCATATCTTCCATTTCAAACTCCTGAATAGCGGCCTTCCTAGCCTTTTTAAAGGCACGGTGCTTGGCCTTCCAGGTAGTCCTATGTAGATCGGGCAGCTTGCCTGAGACGGGGTCCCTGACCTCCTTACGGAAACTCATCATATCATTCCACGCAGCTGCACAGTCCTCGTTCCACCAGTCACGCTTCACAGACTTTTCCATCCCCCGTGCATCGCCGAACGTCTCTCTAGCACACTTATTGATAAGGGTGCGCAGGTCATTCATGCTTTCGTCACAGGGTGCCCCTTCTACAAGCTTTTCCTTGAGAGAGTTGATGGTCTCTGTAATAATGCCATCAGGTTCACGAAAAAGCTCAGTGAAGCGGCCCTTGCGTGAAATATCAAAAATAGGGATCCGTTCACGTGCTAGGTGAGGCTTCCGACCCCGTGCAGCCCCTGGCCTCAAAACGGCATGCAGGCGAAGGATAAGCGGGTGATGATCACTCAGCACATTAGACTCTCCCCATAAGTAAGATCTAAGGACTTTGAGAGTGTTAATCTGCTCGAAGAGCCCGTAAGATGCAAGGCACAGATCAATAGAACTGTGACCCTCAGTAGAGTTGGAGTAAGTGAAGCCCCCGGGCACATCACCAGGAAATGGGGGCAGTATGTAATGAATGGTGAGCTAGGCCTGCTTTGGCATCACGGCGGGGAACAGACGACTACTTGCTTGCTTGCTTGCTGCTTGGAAAGCATTAAGCAAGCATCATGCACTTAAATGTTTTCATGGGTATGAGGACGACGCATGCATGGGCCTTTATGGGCCATCGTCGGTTGTAACCATCGGGTTATAACCATCGTCGGTTATTACCATCCATTTAAAGGCCCATGCACGTGTCGTCCGAATATGCATCGTCGGTTATTACCTTCCATCCAGTTGCCACGCCACGGCGGCATGCAGGTTGCGTAAATATAGGAGCTCCGTCAAGTTTGTGTGTACATGTAGTATCCTGGGTATCACGGGATTGACATCCGCCGATCGGTTCTTTTCCTGCGATAAAACGTGATACAACAGTACACTCGATATATATTATTATTGGAGTACAAAAAAGCACGCATCGCTGCTATTGAGGCGGCGATACAACAGGCACATACACAGACGAAGGACCAATATCTCCGTTATCTCCTTGCCGTAGTAACGATTATCTTCTGTTAGCTGTTAGCTTGAGTTTGCGGCTATGGAAGCATATTTTATGGATAATCAATGTTCGGAAGCTGCTGTAGTCAATTGCAACGCTTGACAGTTTCCCCCGGGCCCTCGACCTGGGCCAGCGCACGTACCCTAACGTGCTCATCACTAAATCATTATGTGTTTTCACGGACGTTTCAACATTATGGAGACCATCCCGCGATACAAAACGCAGGTCCGTCTATCTAGCGGAACCTCGTCAAGGTCGCGGAATCGGTTTTGACCGGATTCACAAGGGTTATCATCTTAGGCGTGTTGTTGGCCCCCAGGACCAAATCGTGCCCTTGCTTAGGGAAGCCCCGCGAGCAGAGGATTCGAATTCGTGTGCTTTGCCCGGTGGATGATGAGCGTCATGTTCTTTTAGAGTGCCCAGCTTATCCTGCCTGTCGCGAGTGCTCGGAGGTAATTTTTAGCCACGATTTTGATAGGAAAGACGATTGTGATGGACAGCGAACATACGAAATTGGCCCACCTGGTACACAACATTTGGCTTACACCCTCGTCTCTTCACAGGCGGTCGTAGTTGGTTAGTGTCCTTGCCATGATTGTTTGAATGTTAGGACTTTTGCGTTGTACTATCTCCCTTACCTAGCTTGTGGCTCCGTATGGGCTCGGCACAGCTTTCTTTACAGGCACACACGTACTTTAACCTGTACATGCTTAGATCTGCCCGAGGGCTTCAGGTTCTATTGACAGGGCCCTAGCTAGCCTGTCACAGCGAGGGTTGGTTGGAGGACCATACTCCCGAAAGAACTGCCCCGGAACGATTGATCTCTCCGGATCCGGAGAGATCTCACCCTCCGGAGGGTGAGAACTAAGCATCCGGAACATGCTCAATGGTAATGACAACCCTAATCCCCTGCTTGCACCTTTTCTGGACATTACTGGCAAGCTTGCCGTTGCGCGTTTGGATATTTTGTTTGGATGTATTGTATGAGCACCCAGCATGGGAAGGAGTATGCACGTTGCCACTGTCCCATGCCTGGCTGGCTGGGGCCAGGCGCGGCAGCTGTAGCAGATGTATGCATGAATGGCCGTACATACAACATCGAGCTTCTATTAAAATAGTTTGCAATTCAGCGGGCCTTTGACTTGTCTAGACGACCTTGCTTGAATATTATAATCTAGAGTTCTCCTTAAATGAGCCCCCACTAGCTATGTAACCAAGTGGATGTCAAGCTCCAGCTCTTGCTCATCCCTGCTCCCTCCTCCGCTCAACCCGCTCACCACTCGTTTGCAGTACGGTGAACGTAAGTCTTGGGCCTGTCAGTTGCCCACGCCCCCGCACTCACCAGCGGCTTGTTGGCAAGGCATGTGGTCAAGCATGTGTTTTTGAAATGGTCACAAGCATAAACAGCCATGTGGCAGCGATGTGTTACGGAACATGTACAGCACAGGTTAGGAGCGGTCATATGAGAGAAACAAGGCGCTGGCGCAATACTTAATGCAAACTGAAACAAACGCAATGGAGGAACTGTGAGGCCGATTGTGGTGATTGTTGGCGACCACTGCAAAACCTCTCAGGGTCCCGACTCCTCCTATGTAACGTTGTTTAGAACATGTGCAAGATGCATTGCTTGCATAATTTGAGTCGCTATAGTAACCACAATGCAGCAGCGGGTAAGTAATAATTACACTAGATTACACTTTTCCGCACGTGGGCGGTTATGGATATGTGTACGCACCCACCCACCCACACATATCCATATCCGTCCCTGTGTACCCCAGCTCTCGCTCCGCTTCCGCCATCGCCCATCACCTACCGTTATCCTGCCCAAACCGCATTCTCCCCCCTGCCAGAATGTCATAGAACTCACTCGTCACCGTCCGAACCCATCAGGACAGCTCCACCTTTGCATTGAGCAAAAGAGAAAGTGCAGGCTTGCACCAACGGCGCTGCACCGCTATTTGGAAGCCTGTGTCGTGCTGCTTGCGTTAGGAAAGGAAAGGAGGTTGAAGACAAAAACTGTAAGGACACAGTCGAGGGCGATCAGGACACAATACTTGGGACGGACAGCCGTCACAGCACATACATACACGCCGTCGCCCTGCTATACCGGTGACCTGCACGCTCCTGCCTCTTTACCGAAGCGGGGCAAGTGCTCCTCGCCTAGCTTTCTGTGGAGTAAAGAGTGTGCGTGGACGCATTCGTGCAGATGGAACATCATTGAACAATGTCTGCAGCCCATCTCCCGCTGGCATCCTACTGTACAAGAGCTGCCGTACAGCATATGACGTATCCGTACATAGCACGCCGGCTCGCGCAAACTCATTCATACAACAGACACACAACATGCAGCACACAGCGAGGACTTGGAGAACGTCTAACGTTTCAACGTCTGTGGTATGCTGCCATACCAGCCGCACATGGATAACACACATGGCCATGAAAGCTGCACCCAGTGGTCGATGTATGCCAGCGAGTGGCTCGACTAGCTGCATCATGAAGGTAACCTCTTCTTGGCGATGGTGAGGATGGGAATCTCGCTGCTCATCCGGGCCCCTGCCCTTGCTGTGCTACTGCGCACTTTGTCGATGACGGTTTGTCGATGACGGTGGAAGACAAGATATACATACTGGTACGCCCACCAAGGCCACACTGCCTAGCGATCAGCTGCGACAGGTGACCAAATGAATACACGCAATCCATCGTCCGGTAAGAAGGCGCCAACAGAGATCAACTGAGACCTCACTCGGCCCCTCATCGCTCGGCCGCGCCGTCCGAAATGGAAAAATACCCTATCGTCCTCGCATGTGTGCAAGTCAACACGTCACCCAGGAATGGCGACCGAGGGTGAAGGCAGCACTGCTACCGTAGTAGTACCCCGGTAGCAGGTACAGGTGGAGCTTTGAGTGTGGGCCGTCGAACCTGGGGAGAAGAACTTTACAACATGGTCGTCTTTCACTGGCACCGACCTGCCCTGCTTTACCGTATCATCGCGCCGCTGGTTGCGCCGCACCCGAATAAACCAACCGGCTGCACAGCATATGTCCGCCACCGGACCCCGCTAACCACCAGCGGCCAGCAGCTGAGCTGATACGGACTGAGACTCGTCATGGCTGTCTATTGGTTATGGCTTATGCTGCCACAACAACAGCTTTCGCGTCATGTCAGCAGGTTGCCAACCTCTAGGAGGCCGCCGCCGCCGCCGCCGCTGTGATGCTAATGTTTGTATCCACCACCGCCAACACGGGGTCCGTGGTAATGCCGCAGTCGTTGCCCTTGCGGGCGATGCGAGCATACCTGGACGGGTAAATGGGCAGTAGGAGGGCAGTAGTTAGCCAAACATGATCAAGCGTGAGTTAAAATTGAGGTATCAGGGGCATTAGAGAGTAGGGGGTTAGGAAAAGGGAGGGAGTTGGGAGCGGTCATTGCTTAATTACAAGTTACGCACGCACGTGCGGCGGGGGGCTATATGGACAGGGAAGCGTGGCCGTGACAGGACACATACAGGAAAACCTGCACACGCCTCCAGGAGCAGTACCCGGGGGCCGATAGCCCCCAGGCAACAGAACCATAACCCGTAATGGGAACAAGCTAACAGCACCACCACCAGCAGGTAGGCCCTGCTGCTATCCTGAGCAGCTTCTTACCCGTCCATGCCCCAATACTTGGACCAGCTGCGTTGGGTCGAGGACGAGTTGCGGACGTGTGAGAGGAACGAGAGAGGAAGGACGTGCAGCAGAGGACAGGGAGCGGAGTTGAGGTGAGTTGGAAACAGGGGAAGACAGCGTGTGCGTGTCAGCAGACCGGCGACAGATGTCCAAGATGATTGGACAGGGGGTTGTCGGACAGGAAAGACGGGCACTTGGAACTGGGCAGTGGTCGAGAATATCTGACAGGCTAGGGGTACGAGTGCGTGTACGTGTGGGGATGCAGCTGCAATCCAACAGGTAGGGCCGCCCCAGGGGGAGGGAAGGGGAGGAAAGGGCGAACCCATCATTCATATTGACACGAAACTTAGGATCTGGATGCTTGCGCGTCGCCGGCAAAAATAAACGAAAACACCCGACGGCTCCGTACCGCGGCGATGTCTGAATGCCACATGTTTGTCCGGGTGGCGCTTTATGGCGACGAGTGAACCCCGGGCCCCACAGCAGCACCAGCAGCAGCCGGCCCAAATCCTAAATAGCTGCATTCCGTCCCCCTCTCCTTTCCCCCCCTCTTCACCTCCTCCTCCCCCCTGCACGTACCTGTTCTTGATTAGCCAGTAGTCCACTCCCTCCGGGGTGGTGCCGTAGCCCACCAGCAAGATGGCATGGTCCATGCTGTCAGGGTCCTGGCATCCGTGTCATTGCAGGGGGGTCGGGGAAGAAAGGGTAAAGAAACGTGCTATCCGGGATGGAAATGGAGCGGGAGAGGAAGGAAAATGAGTTTCCCGCCCTGTCACGAAACCAGCACAAACCAGCGCAGTCTCCGGTCTCTGTCGTCCGTCTGGCTGACCAACTCTAGGACGGATGAGCAAGCCAGCTAAATCACGATATGCGCATTAACCTCGCTCCCAACATCTCTGGGAGGTAGGTCCTGTCCTTCATAACGCCAGCCATCCTGGCCCCCCCCCCCATACCCGCCCACCCCGCACCTGGCCGCACTCCTCGTTGTAGTAGACCCCCTCCGAATAGAACCTGAACGGCGCCAAGGCCGCGTTCATAAGCACCGCCACGGGACCATGCAGCGCCACCGCCTCCATCAGCGCCGCCTCATCGCGCGAGGGAATGTTAAGGTAACCAGAGAAGCGGGCGGACACAGGCACGGTGGCGGGGCCCCCGCGCTGGGTGACGTCGCTTGCCGCGTCGGTGCCGCTCTCACGTCGCGACAGTGATGGCCCATCCACAATCGGAACCCTGCGGGCGTGTTGGGTAAAAGCATGTGGCTGGTTTGTGTGATGGCAAGGGCGAAACCCCGCAGCTCTTCCCTTTCGTACCCCCAGCATACGCACACAGGCACGATCGAACTGCCAGTTGCCCCTGCGTGCGGTGTACTGCATGTGCTTGCTCGCTTACTTGCAGAACGAGTTCTGGGCTAAGTAAGGGTACTCCGACTCCTGAGCGATACCCCCCGCATCCACCACATACTGGAGGGTGGGCTCCACGAAACCTGCGAGGAGAGCGGGAGGGAGAGCGGGAGGGAGGCAAGGTAGGACCAGGAAAAGGTGAGGAGGCCAACCACTGACGGGATTCGGTCGTGGACAGCCAGGGAGCGCTCAGGTTCGTGGCAGAGAAAGAGGTAGGAGAGGAAGAGAGGGGGTGGGTGATGTTGGGATGCTGGGAGAGAGGGAATCTTGCGACATGGTTAGCCACATGGTTAGCACAGGCAGCCAGGCCGGTCGGTGGCGGTGGTGAGGAGGTGCGCCTCTTGCCAGTCACTCAGGGCCGCTCACTCACCACCGGCGCATCCGTCGTTTCCGTAGTCCCAGGCGCAGTCCACCAGCTGCTGCTCGCTGAAGGACAGAGCCTGACCTGAAGCCAGCAGGCGAGAAGCCGGGTGTGCCAGCGGCCAGACGAGGGGCCCATATGACGATGGCCATGTGGCGGTGGTGGTGGGTGATGGGGTGTTATAAACACATCGAAATGCGCAGGGGAGAGGAAAAGTGAATCGGGAGACAAGAGAAGTGGTAAAGGGACAACACACAGACAAACACGCACACAGCAGCAGCAGTAGCGAAAGAAAAGCGAGCAAGCAGCAGCAGCAGCTCGCCTCACCGGTTGCCTTGAACCAGGCGCCCTGCATAGCACCTGCCGCACTGAAAGCCTAAAGAGGGTCAGGTAGGCAGCGGACATACAGAGCAGCGGGTAATCAATACGTTGACAGCATGGTCTAGACAGCGCCATGGTACGGTCATACATATCAGACGATCGTACATATCATCAACGTACGACATCCATGACCATAACAACAGACAAGAGTCAAACTGCAGATAGTCCCCTACTGTTACCTGTGACGATGCGGCGGATGCACCATCCCTCGCAACCGTCGCAACCTTAACCGGCTCTCCCCCCGCTCCAACCTCCCCGCCATTCACCCGCATGGGCCTGACTGGGCCTATCCCCCATATTGCTCCACAATCACCTACCTACGGCGTCTCATTGCCGGTTCTACACCTTCCCTCCCTCCCTGCTTGCAAGTCAGATCGCCACCACGCCCCTGCCACCACTACTACTGTCAAACAACACACCTTACTGCCGATACGTCTTACACCCCGTCCTCCCGCTCACCCAGCAGCTGCCGCAAGAAACCTGGTCCTTGACTCCCGGACCGTCTGCACCGGTGCCCCGCCAGTCCACAAAGGTGGGCAACTGCGCATTCGTGAGCACGCGCTTGTAGGTGCCCAGACATGCGGAGAACGCAACACGGCCACGCAGCGACCCGTTCTTGCCCGAGGCGGAGTCGGAGTCGGAGGCGGACTCGCTCTTGGAGGTGCGCCTGCCGAGGCCCATCATGGAGGCCGCCCACTGCTCCTGGGTCATGTGCGCAAAGTGGTTGAGGGACAGGCTGTAGCTGTAGCCCGCCCCCGACGATGATCCAACAGCGTTGGCAGCGGCATCGGCGGCGGCAGCATCGGCGCGGACCCGGCGGTTGTGCTCGTCTACCAAGCGGGCGTTGGCCTCCAGCGCGGATTCGGCGGCGGTGCGAAGCCCGCTCAGGACGGCCGATACTGAGGCTGCGATCGTCAAAGGGTTGGCGGCAGTGCGGGGGGAGCCCAGATCGGACATCTGTGTTCGTGTTTACATGACCAAGACGTTCATGCTTCAATAGGTCAGGCCCGCCGAAACCCCCGTCACGAAAGAGATGGGACATTACGGCACTGGGGACAGGGCCCCCTAGTCCCCAGAGGGCCCAAGAGGAGTCCAGACCTGGAGGAAAATACCCCTCCAGTTCATCTGCTCCGGACTTTTCAGTTCAAGTAGGGAAGCACTTACCAGGCGCGTACATACAACAAACATACAGGCACCATTTCTTTATAGAACTGGCGTCCGCCTTAACAGCACATCTCTGCACTGACTCGATACATCTGTCCACAGAACCCAGCCACGTACCTGCCCCAAGCCGAGCAGCCGGCAACAGCGCCCCAAGCCGAGCCGCCACTCCGCACGTATCAGCCAGCCCTTGAACGGCAACATTTGGCGGCTGTAGTTGCTGCTGCCGCTGCATCATCGCGTCCTTGCACGGCGCTGGCAGGGCGAAGGCCGAGGCGGCGATAGGTCCAGGCTTGAACCGCGTGAATTCAATCACATACTCGTCGAAATGGGAACCTGCACAGCAGCAGCGGCGGCCGGTCAGCAGCTAGCAATGAACCGCTACACACATCTTGCAGGGGCCAACGTGCTCGGCACGAGCCCAAACACACGAAGAGCCCAAATTAGGTACGAGTGAGCCAAAATCTTAACCGAACCGTAGGTCACAATGTTCCCTGTCCTTTCCCCCTCAACCCCCAGCACGCATAAGCCCCCACACTTCTTCACAGCCCTCATCTCCTATCTGTCAGTACCTATACACGAGGCCGGTCCTAATGCATAGACCAAGGCACAGCGCAGCTGAGAACGAAACCACAGCAGCTCCAGTCCCAGTCCAGAATGTTGGCTGGCCGGGCATTCTGCGCCCTTGCTTGGTGTCGCGATAGAATCTCTCCCCACCTGCTACCCACCGACCCATCCACGCAGCGCCCGATCACTCACCCGTAATGAGGTTCCGACCCATCATGTAGAACATCAGCGGCCAGCCGTTGCGCGCGGTGTAAAACTGGTAGTTGTTGGTCTTCTCGCCGTGGCGGACGGAGAGCTGCAGGCCAGAATGTGAGGGCAGGGGCAGCGGGTGGGGGCGCAATGGGCAGGGACGGCGGGTCCCTCACGACAACCCTGTCCAGTTGTCCGGAGGTGGCGGCGGTGGCGCAATGAGCGGGGCTGTGGGCGCGCTATCCCCACGATGAAGGATAAGGGGGTGTGCCAACGTGGGAGGTGTCTCTACCAAGGGACAAGAGCCCATATGTGTATGGGTAGTAATGGAAGCTGCACCCGCTAGTCGCGCCACGATTCCAGCGGCTTCCTTGTACCCACAGCTAAGTCATGAGCGACGACTTCAACTCGTTTCAAGGTTGTGCAGGCATTCGATTCAGTCATTTGTGTTCCATTTCAACGTCAGTCACCCTCTGTCCTGTCCGGATCTGTATCTGGAGGACTAGCTCGTCTGCGTGGTATCGGGCAGGCTGGGAGATGCACGTGAGGTTCCGCAGCCCAGCCCAGGTTGCCCAGACACACCTACCCATAAGCATCTACTGCCCTCCCCTCCCTTTTCCTCTGCCGTGTCCTGCAATGCTCTGGCTCGCGCCACCACCTTCTTGTCCTTCATTCGCTGCCAATGGCCAACCCAACTTACACTGCCCCTTCCCTAGGTCTGCTCTGACCCAGTTCGCCCAGCTTCCCACCTGCCAAACGATCGCCTCGGAGTTGCGGACTTGCGCCGTGCCGGCATACGACCAGGTGCGGATATCCGGCAGCGGCTAGACATGTGAGTAAGAGGCAAGAAACAGACGAACCAACACAGGCACAGACGTCAAGCAAGACCCGACCGACAAGCGAATCGTAAGTAAAACGAAGGTTACTTCAGGCCCATTGACCCCTTGGCGTGGCGTGTATGTATTGGACCAGCGGTGAAAGGGTTGGCAGACGCTTTTGGTCACTCGTGGTATTTAACATCGGGAGTGTGCACACGCCTGAGGCCCCTATCCGAGTCGCCAGTCCGCCGGAACTGTCGCTGGCATACGGTTGCAAGTTTTGCGAGCTCCAAGCCGCGGAAGACGAAGAGCATGTACTCTTGGAGTGACCGGCATACAACACATGTAGGGGCTTGCTGCCGGATTTCAGGTGAATTAATCAAGACTGTGAAGGATGTGGCCTTAGCGGACGACCAGCTGACGTTGGCAAACAGCATCTGGCTAACGAGGCTTAGGAATAGCAGGCGTAGTCCGGATAACTTGGTTGGTTTGACATATTCCTCTTTTCGAGTGAACGATATATAGTGATAGCATAGCTTTTCATTTTACATTATTTATCTATTTCGGCTGACCCTTGGCCTCCTTGGCTCGTATTGCCCCCTAGGTTACACCTTTGGGGAGTAACGCAAACTCAAGGTTACACACACACACACACACACACACACACACACACACACGAGGGCTGGAGCTGGCTGTCTACATCAAGCTGGCTACGACAGGATGTCCAAGAGAGCTGGGACAGGTCCCTATGGACCCTAATAAGAAGTGATGGGGGGGGATGGAGTCCTCCTGCGCTAAGAATGGAGAGGGGGCTAGCTTAGCAGCCCTGCGACGAGAGAGGGCGGACTGTGGCCTCCTGAGCTTGGATGCGAGCGGACAATACGCCCCTCTGCAATTGAAACATATTGCCTCGGCTATCTCCCCGATGGGTACCATTAGGTGCCCCGCTCAGCATCATCCAGGCAGGTCTGTAACAAATACATATTACACATATACATACATATATATGATCTGTGAAACAGGGGGATATATCTTCACCCGTGGCAGCTACCCTGCGAAACCCTGCCTTCCCCGGTATTTCGGGGCACCCTCATCCAGTCAACCTAGTCAACTTCTCAGTGGATCGCTTAGGTTCCGCACCCACCACTAGCATCCAACGGAATCTGCCGGATCGACGACGGCCCAACTCCATTCCTGGTTGGCTCGCAGGTTAACTTTATCCCAGGTCACCACCGCCCATCAACTGATCGGGTGATGGATAAGCAACGCGTTTCGACGACCCTCTGCCCAGCACGTGTCCTTATAACCCCGAACTTCGCCCTTGCGGCATCTGGCGCCCTGGCTTACCGTGGCGGACTCGCCCTCGCTCAGCCCCAGCTGGCCCATCAGGCGCTGCCGGGCGGTGGGGCCCACGGTGCCGTTGGTGAAGTCACACGTCACCTCGGTGATACGCGGGTACAGGTTCCAGTTGTAGCCCTGGACGGTGAATCAAGTGGCACGGTGGCCCAGCCGCGGTGAAGTAGATTGGAGTTACAAGGGGGTTACGAGTTCCGCACAAGTGCGGGGGCCGTCCGTAATAGCCGGTGGAGAGGGGGATCGTGGACGGTCCAACATCAATATTGTGGACGGCGCCCATTGAGGACGGATGAGAGGTGTCGATGAAAGCAGGGCGGAAGTGGACGCGGGCGAGGATGTGTGTTGGTGAATGAAGGACGATGTGTCTTTGCAGCACGTAAAACCTGCGTGTGCACCTGGTGTGTATGAGGCAGGGTAAAGGGCTTCAAGGAGCCGGAGAGCAGGCCACTTCAGCAGCTAAAGCCATCGCCGGCATGGGATCCGGTAAATTCCTAGCAACTGGACTGGCTGGATGCCGGGCGACGTGGCACTTTTCCGTACAAAATCAAAGTTCTCGATTGGTTCTTCCTGGCACTTCCGCCCTGAGAGTTTGCCACAACCTGTGGGATCCCGACAACACCCTGGCACTTGCCTTCTGCAGGTCCCATCCCGCGCTGTCCATGCCGCCGTACACATCAAAGCGGTACCGTTGACCAGGGCCATCCCACCACACATGCACGGGGTATCTGACAGCAAAGGAAGATTTCAGCAACATGAAAAAAGGACGGGGTTCAAGAGAACGGGAAGCGTAAGCCTGCTAAGAAGCTGCACGCGCGGGGAATATATTTCCTTCGGCAACCCATTCAAAGCAGCAAGCGAAGTGGCAGGACGACTGACTGTTTTTAAGACAGGTGGAAATGCAAGTTCCAGGGAAAGGCACGCCCAGCTTAGTTCGCCACGGTAACTGCACCTACTTCAGGCCTCCAGGTTGAAGTGTTTGTACGTAGGGAAGAGATAGCGTATACTCCATCTGCATAGCGGTAGATAGCGCAAAACGTAAGTATGCGACAATGCTTGAGATATGACAAACCCTAGTTTAGAAAATCAGGAGATCTTTGTGCCCCATATCTCGTGCCAAACGACGTAAGTTGCATAATACCTCGTATGAGTCCGGCCACGTTGGAGGCTCTTGCGCATAAATTTGACCGCCATGGCTACGATCTATCATTCTTGCTGCATGTGAATTGCTTATTACTGTTGCAGCAAGGATTCCAAGAGCTAGAAGATGCATCCTTCAACCAAACAAACAAGCCCGTGTGAATGCTGTGAATGAAAACTTTCCACTTCACAGCACACACAACATGACAACTGCAGCATTCATTCAGGGGAATCCGGCCATCTCTCATATAGTTATATTTGACAGGGGTTCAGGTCATCGTACGCAATGCGCCGAAACCAAATCGCAAAATAGGTGGCTCTGACCTTGGAGAATCAGGCACGTTGCCACACCTACAAATATTTTTACTCGGCTATTGCAAAGGGGACGGGTAGGAACGCAGGACACATCCTGGTGGATTGACTTGCATCTTCTCTCCTTCCGACGCACCCTTCCATGCTGAGAATCCAGGGAGGTTGGCGGAGGTTTGATAAACCAGCAATCATCATGTCTTGGTTTCGCATCCGCCGGGACCTTTTTCCAGGTCCAGGTGCCCCATCCACATCAGTCCGGGTCCACTTCCGCGTCCAGGGACCCCGTGAGGAGACGGCACGGCGAACGGGGATCTGATGGATAGGCATAACCGCATTAGGTCGGTAGATGGATAGGCATAACCGCATTAAGTTCAGTTCCGTCGCGCCGAAGCCAAACTTCCAATGTTTATGGTTGATCTGTGATTGGCCCTTCGCACTGGGAACCAAAGCTACACTCAACTGACCTCGGACAGATGCGCGCATGGCTAGACACTGTTGTGCGCCTACGATGCCCTTTGTCGCGACAGTAAACATGGACGGATGGATGGATGGATGGATATTACAACGACTTGAATGTTACAAACTTCAGCGAGCTCGTACGGTTTAGACGAACCCGGGGTCTCATGAACCGCTTCAGCCACGCAAGGAAAATAAAAGAAAGGCTAGTGCACGCTTAGCCAACGCCTGTACCAATATTAAGTATAACGCACAGTCGTACTGCGATGTAACACGTAAGCGAAATATGTCATAAAAAACCACGCTTATCACCGACCTTCATGATATCAAAAATACAGCAAGGTCCCAAAGCTTCTTCGTGCCTGCGTTAACGCCGGGTAAACATATATTGCATCCGGAGGTCGGCAAAGCGTGTGGTCCCGGAGCCAAACTGGTGACCTGAAGCAGTGCATTTACCATGAGCGCAGTGCCTATACCCGAAGCCGAATACATGCCAGAAACCTTCCGAACTGAAATTCTGATCAAAGCTTGGTCCTCTCGAAACCGTAGTCCTGAGACTTTTGCCGATTCTTAATCGCAACCGCCTTCGGATGCTTTTCTTAAGTAGCGTGTGGTTGTACTACAACTTTGGGATAGTCATGGCTGTCTGAAGGAGCCTTCGGCTCGTGAGCTCCTGAACTGAAAGGTTTGTTGAGACGTTTGGGCAGGAAAGGTCTCTACGCTGTTGGGCGGTCATATTACAACTCTTGCGTCTTGCTTCGGGGGGCAGCCCTCGTATGCAAGGGTTTGCGCTTCGCTGTCAATGCGATCTCTATGTAAACCTCTGGACAGCAACCGCGCCTGGCGCCTAGTCCCAGAGATGTAAAAGTAGTTTCAATTTTGGGGCAAAAATATAGATCACTGCAGATCCTGTCCACTAACCTTAAGCTAAAAATACGCACGCTACGCGGTAAGCTGTGCGCATACCTCCAAAACCCCACTACCAGGCCCCCGGCATGGAAGTTCACTACGAGCACCCTGGCGGCGGCCCTCAGCCACCTCCCACCGGCACCGCCAACCCCTATCCTCCACCAGCCGCTGCTCATCTGGGCGCACCGGAGCCTCAGGGGGCTTCCGGGGAGCTGCAGCAAATCAGCGACAGCGGCCTGGCAGCATTGCCGTGCGTGCCATCTCCGCATGCGCGCCCGAAGCCATTTTCGGCCCAACATGCACCCGGTTACGACCCCGGGCAGCAGCAGGGCCTGCAGTCTAGCCACCAGCCTGGACCAAATGTACGATCCGGATTCGACCACTCCGAACCGGCTACAGGATATGGACCTGGACCGGGCCTACCTGGGAGGCCGGCCGCGAGACCGACGGATACTGTGGCAGCTACAGCCTATGGTGCTTGTAGCCTGCCACCGCTGTCATCAACACCGCTTATCCAGCAGCCAAGCGTGTTGGGAATGCAGCAGCTTGTGGAGGGAGGCGGCTTGCGGCAGGTGAATCAGCAGCTGCTGCCGATAGGACCGGAAGCGCAGCACGTGCAGCAGCAGCAGCAGCAGCAATCGGCACACCAAGGCGTGCTGATCCAGAACCCGGCGCTTACAGGGCATCCTGAGGTACAGGGCAGGGTAGGGTACGGCAGCAACTACCCGTCCGGTTCAGAGGTGCCGCTGCATGGGTTGTCCACGAACTACGTTCCACACCGACCTTCACTGTGCAGCGCGCCCGCGATCTATAGCGGCGGGTGCAACCCCATGGTGGGCGAAAAGCGTCCACGCTCTCCTGCTGCTGATGATGATGATGATCAGGGTACCGGGAATCGTGCTGCTAGGAGGTCCAGGGATGGCGCTAGAAGTTGTGAGGATGGCGAGGCCGCCAAGCAGGTAGCGCTAGCGGCTGCACTGAGATGCAGCGACGGCGACGGCACCGGCAGAGTCCCAACTGTGTTGACGCCGGCGATAGAGCCAAATGATGATGTGGCAATGGACGAGGGAGCAGCGATGGCGGAGGCGGCATCGCCACCGCCGGCTCCGCCAGCCCTGCAAGCCGCCGCTGCCCTTGCCGCCAGTGTCATTGGAGGCCCCGCTTGTCCCGGCGTCGGCGCTGTACAGGCTGCAAATAGGGCCGCCACTCTGGTCGACACAAATGTACTCGTGAAGGGCCTCGATCACCCGTTAGCTCCACTAACTTTTTGGGAACATGCTCTGCAGCGGGGTCTTCGCCCTGATGCAGGGGCTGTCGCGCCAGGCTGGCAGCCGCCGCGGTCGGTTGGAGGCTGTCGAGCGCCTGCCCCTGCCACCGCACTGTCCCCCACGCGGCTCGTACCCGGTACGTCGGTGACAGCCCTAAGTGGCGGCCTCAGTGAGTCGCTGCAGGCAATTATGGGCGTGTCCTCTGCCCGGGCTCTGGCTTCAGCCCAGGCCCAAGCCCAAGCCCAAGCCCTGGTCCCACCCCCTTCCGAAGCCCAAGCCCAAGCCCAAGCCCTGGTCCAAGCCCCTTTCGAAGCCCAGGCCCAAGCCCAGGCGCAAACACCGGTCCGAGTCCGTGTGGAAGTTCCAGCCCAAGATTCGTCCTGGGCCTCGGCACATGCACAAGTGCAAACCCAACCTCGATCGCTACCCCAAACCCAGGTACAAGGCCTGGACTTTTCTCAAGGCCCGGACAGAGCTGCAGCGCAAGCACAAGCCCCAGAAACGACCAAAGCTACAGTCCAGGACATGGCACCCGCCGCGACCACGGTGGCGGTGCCCCCTGAGGCGGCCTCCGGCGAGTTTGCTGCGGTGGCGTTGGCATCGGCTGCACTGAAGGCGCCGTCACAGCTCTCATTGAGGGGTCTGGTATTCAACGGCAGCAGGTCCAGTGGTTGGAGGGCACCGCCGCCACACTTGGTGAATGGTCCAGGGTCGGCCACGGTCGCAAACCTAGCTCCATCACAGTACAGGATCCCGATGGCGCTCAGGCAGGCTACTGCCGCCTTCACCGCTGGTAGAGGAGGCCGAGGGGGAAGGGGAGGAGGGGAAGAGGCGACTGGTGGCGGCGGCAACAGCCACCAATCTGGCAGCACAAATGCCGAGGGGGTTCTTGGGGCGGATGCAGCTGCCGCCAGTTGCAGTAGCGATGGCGGCAGTGGCGCTGCTGCCGCCGCGGCGGTGCTTTCTGTTTACCGCGAGGCGCAGGAATTGCTGCTGCAGCAGCAGGACCAGCAGGAGCCGCAACAGCAGCAGCAGGAGCCGCAGGACTGCGGCGATAAATCCGTTAACGGCGATATCAGCATGACGGAGGGTCTTACGAGTACCTACTACAGCTTACGAATTTACATGTGACAAATGCTTAATAAAGTTACAGTTACAGTGTGCACACAAGTGCAGAGGGTTCCGTCAAAGCCGGGGGCCCATGGATATATGTACACGTCACGGCCGTGTGATTATCATAGCGGCGACATTTGACATAGTTCACGTGGCTAATAGCGAGGCAGCGGCATCAGTACCGGCGACGGCGGTGGTAGTGGTGGCATCCGCGGGGTCCGTCCCAGCAGCGGGCGTAGATGAACTCGGGGGGATGTCTGAAAGGCAGGCACATTTAGGGGCAGCAGAGATTTCAGTTGACATGGTCAGCAAAGCACGACCCGTGCCGACGGTGATGTGACATCTTTTGGGCTGTGACACGGCGGGAAACGGATGAGGATGTCGGGTCATGCGAGTTTTAGTGCATGTTCGCGTCGTCATCATAACATGTACGGAAATTTGTTAATGCCGTACAAACATCTGCGGCCTTTGCGTCCGCGTATGTTGTAGTTAATGGAGTTGAGCCGCAAAGCCCCCTGCATGCATGTATTAGGATTGAGCAGCTCCTTGCCTTTGTGCGAGAGTGCATTGGTTCCTTGTCGCGTTATTTGCGGACAAGGGGTTTGAAACCTGGTCGTTGAGCGGGAGATGGCACTGCTGTCATGGCCGCTGTGTGACACATAAACCCAAGGAGGAGTCAGATACGCTGAGCAAAGCGAAGAAGACCTTTGAAGGGTGCGATGGGCGCGGTTTTATTGGTTGTGACACTGCGATCAGCGGTTATACCAGACCCCGCCTGTTAGAAACGTTGTGTTGGCGGCGCCGCTTCTGCATTGCGTTGGCTTCTTGGGTTCAAATTGTTTGCAAGGTTAGACCACTGGTCCCACAGTTGGTGGGGTGGTGGTCTGTGCGTATGTATGTCAGTGCTAGAGTTACAAGTTCTGCGCACGCACGTGCACACAAGTTCTGCACACGCACGTGGGGTGTCTATAAAGGCCTGAAGGGGGGGCCATGGACGGTATTGATGCGGGTACGGGGGCCCATTATCATATTCTCTCATCCGCTTTAGGGTGGAGCACCTTCGCGCAACGTGCCTGACCTCCCAGACTCCCGAGAGGTACCTGGCCAATGTCGGGGACGGCGGCTCGGTCATAATGGTGCGCATGCTGCGTCCTTGAAAAAACTAGGTCCCTATCTTAATTGGCCTATGTGCTCGTGTAAGCAGGATATTCCGCGAAAACACGCAATTTCGTCTCCAGCCGCTCCACAGTAGCAGAGCCTGCAGGTACGCGCGGTGTGCTCACGGCCGTTTGGCCGGTTAACCTCTAACTCCCAACGGCCCAACCGGAAACGCATGAGCACTCACGGCTCGAGTGCATTTGTCCTAAGCACGCGTTCCGTTGCAGAGCTTTAAGGCATCAGGATAAGCAGATATGGCTCAAGCAATGCTTCCTGAGTCATTCAGTGGCATCGCAAGGGATCAGACCGGAGCTGCCCTGAAAATAGATACACAGATACGAAGCACTGCGAACAACGGAGGTTCTGGCTATGGGTCACCGCGAGTCGCTATTTTCTCGCCATGCGCTGCACGCTTCCCGTTTGCGGCCCGTTCTTCAGCTTGATCTGACCCACGGGGCGTTCACCATCGCTGATGACGTCAAAATGAGAATAACTACTCGCGATTCGTTGAAGCAGTTGGCGTGCAGCGCGCGTGCTTTGGATTACATCACTCGTTAAAAGCCGTTGAGGTACAATACATATGCCACCAGCAACCTCATTCGCGATATCGACTTGTGCCGCCATTCCTCGGCTGGTACCGCCTCCGCCACGGCTGCTATGCTGCATCGGATTCGGGTCGTACAGCCGTCGGAAGCCGCTGACACGGGCACAACGAATGTAGTGAGGAGCAGCGTCACTGCACACTCGCCATACTTGGGAGCCAGCAGGTGGTCCCCGCAACGACCCGTCTCCCTATCATCTTCCCCATCTTCCTAGTATCGCTGTCTTTTTCGAAACTTACTCCTCTGTGCCGACAATACGACTACTGCTACTGCTACCGCTGCTCTCCACCACTCAGGGTGCACGCAATACACCCCATACCCTACCATGGTAAGACGATTGCAGCTCCCACGCTCCTCCATTTGCCGGGCGGCTGCCCGCCCATCGGTTTCTGCTCGCCTCCGAATTCGGCACGGGGCGCTATCGCTGCTACCAGCTCTGTCAGGTTCGTTATTGTCCCGCTGGGGATGTAATTAACTGGGAAGGCCCGCGTAGACCAAACATCCTGACATCGAGTTGCATGTTTTGAAAAGTAAAGGCTTCCCCGCCTTAGGAGTCCAGTTGGAGGAATCAAATGTTTTGATGCTTCGTTTGCATTCACGATACGTTTCCCCTGAAACTGGCGGCGGTATGGCCCCTTCGGGCAACTGAGCTTCGCCATCCTATCCGCCAGAACCCAGTCGGCATGGCCGCTGAACACTTAAGGGGAAGGAGGGGGACTGTACAGCCTGATTTGGCCTGCCGCGCTTTGGCCGGGGATACGATGCTAGGTCGCAGGCTGTTCCTTTCTTCTGTCGTGCTTTCGCCACGTACTCAGCCCCCGGCAGCTCCCCTGGCCTTCCTAACCCACTTTCTATGCATTCCACTTTTCCAACCTTGTAAGGCCCTGCCTCTGTACGGCCCTACCTCTGTACGGCCCCAACCTACGGCCCCGGCCCGTTCATCCATCCCATCTCCCAGCTGCAGCTGCAGCAGCTGCAGCAGCTGCAGCAGCTGCAGCAGCAGGGCCTCCCGTTGTCTGTTCCCACCATCCCGGCACAAATAACCCAGCTCCGGATTGACTCCCGCCTCCACAACCGCCACCACGCCATGGCCCCACCGCGTGACCCGCGCCCAGTCACATTGTCCGAGTCTATGACTGTCCCTTTTGTACCCCGCCCTCGCTAGGGCCCCTCTTGCTGCTGCTACTGGCAACGGCGGCGCTGCTGGGCACCCCTGGGGCTTCCGCCAGCCAGGTGGCGCTCCGCGGCGGCAGTCTGGTCGTACAGAACGCCACATGTCAGCCGGGCGCTGCGGAGTTGGCGGCTAGGGATGCGGTCCTGCTGGCTATTGCGGCCAATGCCAGCGGGAAGGCGGCGCGGGCTGAGTTCGCACAGGTAAGATGTACGGCAAGATGGTGAAGATATGAAGACCAATGATGGAAATGGGATAAGGAATGGCTGGGGCACGTGCACAAAGCAACAGCAAGCCAGTACGACAAGACCGTACGACCGTACCAGCAGTACGACGGTACAGCAGTTCGTAGTTTTTTTCTAACTATAGCCTCCCACGCACCTCTCTGAAATGGCAGTCCTATATATCTGCATGCGCTCAGGAGTCCTTGCCTATCTGGGTATGAATGTTTGACCCCTCGGTTGACCCCGCTCGGTTGACCCCGCTCACTCCGGCTCACGCCGGTCCCTCCCTCCCGCGTCCCTCTCTTTATTCACGTACCTGCTACGGCCACCACTCCCCCCCGCCATGGCTGACGATCTCATCTTACTCCCCTGCAGGCGTACCTCTGCCCAGACGGCTTAGACCTATGCAACGGCCTGTCCGTTCTTGAGGTGGGCTGGGGTTTCGGAGCTGCTTTAGCTAAATCCGCGGGTGGTCAATCGGCCCCTTCCTAATGATTAGTTATTTTCGGTTGTTGATTCTGCTGGTCCCAACCTCCACGCAATCAGGTCGTCGTCGCCGCGTGCGTCCTGCTCTATGCCCTGTTAAGCTGCTTCCGCCTCACCAGCCAAGCACCCCCGCCCACCCATCCACTGCCGGTTCTCCGTCAAAGAGGTTACAGTGGGGGAGTCGAACAGATCGCTGGTGATGTCCACCGCATAACCCAAACACTGTATTGGAAGCAAGGGGTGCACCCGCAGGAGAGACCCTAAGCACGGCGCCACAAAAGGGGGTGCCAGTACGGGATGAAATTCACAAAGGGGGAGTTAGTCAACCCGGGCCGACCCTAGTACTCACCAACCAACCAAGCTGCCACCCCTGGAACCACTCACTCCTCTCGAAGACCAGGGCTCGGCAGGGCTCGGATTCCTTGCAAATTCCATCACCATCCTTCTGGTTTTCCACCCAACCCCCTCTTATGGTTTCTTCTTCTCGTCGACTTCGTCGTACCCCCCCTGGACCCTACCCAGGAGCTCTCCTTGCTTCCCCTGTGCAACGGCTCCCTCCCCGGCCCTCGCTACTTCACGGCACGGGGCTGCCGTTTCACGATTCACGTCGTTGCCGCCACCATATCTAACCTTTCCCCGGGGCTGCAGCACGAATGCTGCCGTACGAGCCTCTCTTCCCCCTGCCGTAGTCTTCCCGCCCTCGTAACCCCTCGAATCCCCTCTCGAAATCTATCTTCGCTTCCTTTCTCTCCTACCTCGCCTTACCTGATCCTACCGACACCCCCCCCACCGCCACCACCACCACGCCTACCTTTCGTAACCCCCGAAAGAGCCGCGCTACCATTGAAGCCAACAATTCGTACATTCTTGGAGAACCCAATTCTGTGTACGAGTCCCTGGAGCTCGTTCTGCGCCAGGTGCGTACGGCTAGGTATGTACGACTATTAAAAATCGGATGAGGGTGGACTGTCCGCACGTATGTCGGCGCCACGTATCCACGTGGTGTGTTTCTGTGTTTCCCGGGCGTAACCCCCCTCCCCCGGGTAACCCCTCCCAGGCCCCCGCGCGGCTCAGGGGTCCGCCCCTCCCGCGACATGACATGTCCCCCGTGGCCTTCCGCAAACACCCCCAACAACCCTCCAGAACAATACGTTGGCTTTGTTGAGTGGCGGCAACACCACCTTCTATCGCTCCACCGCCACCCTGGGGGCCAATAACTGGTGGTACGTCGGTAACGGAAGCACGCTGGGCTTCAAAAACTCCCGAATGATCTTCTCCAACTACATGACGATGTGAGTAGTAACTGTTTCGGTTGGTGGTTGGCCAGCGATTAGCGCAACTTGTGTGCAAGAATACGGCGGCATAGTGTAGTAGCTGGTACTTAGTACGGCACACACATCGTCTATAAATACGCGCTAAAGCACCCCGCCAGCATGTTGAAAGGCCTTTCTGTGGGCCAGCTATTACACATAGCGTGGTAGTGCCTTTGAGCGAGACATACATACTTACACCTCATTGGGCGTTTTATGTTATCGCCTAATTTGGACAGCCTTCGGCTGCTTCTTGGGCACCCTCGGGGCTCGTGGGCCGTTCCACCTGTGGCAGCTCAAGGTGCAACACACACACACACATACGCATCACGATGATGTGCCTTAGCCCTATGCAAAGGTGTTGCTCTGAATCTTCTAGGCATCGTTTGCTGCTGTTGAAAAGGTGCCACTGACCACTGCGTCGTACTGATCGTACGACGACTGACTGACAGGAGTGTGGAAGACGGTGGTACGGTTACGTCCGACTACAGCGTCTTGGAGTTCAACGACGTGGTGCTGTACGGCAACAATAGCCGCTGGAACTTCGTGGACTCAACCTGGTGTGTTTGCGTGTACGGGCGTGTACGTGTATGTGCCCCCTTTGTAAAACCCCGAGCCAAGACGAAGAAATGCGGACTCCAGGGAGGTCCCTAGGGAACCAGGTTGCCGTGGAAATTGGCGCCGGCAGCACCACCCCGTCAGCGGGTCAGAGCCCATTACACCTTCCTCAGTTCTATCGCCGCCCCACCTTCCCCCCCATCAAGTGCCCCTCACCGCGGTGTGGGTTCCCCTCGCCCAGAACCCGGGGCCTCGTCCGATCACTCCCACTGTTTGATGTGCGGCATGTCCCGCACTCATGTCACGCCTGGCCGCCGTACATGCACGATGGTGGCCGTACAGGCTCGTCCAGTCGCAAAACGTCACCCCTCCAGGAGCTTACTCTAATCGCGTCGGCCCGCTGCTATGGTTCGAGAACTCCGACATCCTCATCCAAGGCAAGTCTTGACCCGTGTTAACCGTCCTAATCCATCAAATTCTATGCAATCGAGATTGCCGTGGTGCGATGTAATGCCTCCGATGGCCTGTAGCGGACTGTGTTTTCTTGTCTTGCTGCGGGCTGTATTCTTGACTGCACCGGACACTGCTTGGCGCCGTACCGCGCACCAACCGTTTCAACTACACTAACTAACTGCCGCCTCTTTCCCCCGTCGGTTGCTCGGCCCTGTCTCAGGCACCCTGGCCAAGTGGTCCAACTACTCAGCCCTGCTGGCGAATACCTCCCTGTTGCTCGTCAATGCAACCCTGGAGTTGCACAACACCACGCTGGAGCTGTGGGGAAGCCCGCTGGGACTTGTAAACTCGCGCATCGTACTGTACAACGGTAGCGAAATCGATGTGAGCGATGGGAGAATTCCTAGGGATCGGGGTTATAGGCTCTTCCTTGTTGCCGTCGCCAAGGTGAGAGAGGTTTCGGAAAGGGCCTCTGTGATCCAGCAGTTTTCGTGCTAAGTGAAAGGTTCAGTAAAAGGGCGTCCGCGGGTCTTTGTAGTAGCCAACAAGACGGGGGTTCTCACTGCAATCCGTCCCTGAGGCCGCCAAGACCTACCGCCTCAACGAGCACTCCCGCATCCACCCCACCCACTGCTGCGATCCCCCCCATCCCAACACCATCTCACATCCCAATCCTATCTCCGAATCCCACTCCCGCTCCACTGGCAGTTCTTGTGCGACTCCACCGCCGTATACGAAAACATCGTCGCTAGCTCGTCCTTCTCCACCACCTCCAATGCGCGAGGTGCTCCGGCACTGGGGCTGCCGCTGGGTACCTCAGACGCGCTGGTGGTGGGCGAGCCGTACGGCACAGTGGAGCTGGCGGCTCCGTCGGCGCCGACGTTTGCTCAGGCAATTCCTCAGGCATTTGGAAGGCCGAGGGGTGGGGCTTGAGGTGCCGTACAAATCTGGCACTGCGACCGCAAACCAGCCGGAAATTTGGGAGGCGCCCAAGTTCTGCCGCCATATGTTTAAAACCGGCGCCCGCGTGTGCGTGTACACGGGCACGGGCGGGGCCGGGGCCGTCATGGTGATCTGGACGACTGATCACCTCAGATGCGGAAGGAGAGGCCGTTGAGTACGGATATGCACAGGATAATACGATGGCAGCGGCAGCGGCGACCGCGACGCCTTCTTTGCTGGCAACACGGCTGGGTGCAGCTCCGAGGGCTTTCTGAGCGTGTGTTGAAATCTAGAAAGCGACGTGTGGTATTTTCGCTTTTAGTTGATGCAGGCTTAAGAAAAGCGGAAGGTGGAGCAGACCTGGGTGTATGTGCCTGTGTTTAGAATGATGCGTTGGAGCCAGATGTAGGACGTTGAAGCAGGATTTCAGTTGAGTATGATAGCGACGAATTCACGTGTTGTTATGTAAAAAAATCCAGTCATTACGAGAAACGGGGGGGTTGTACGTTTGTACGGGTCTCAAGTTTTTGTGTGACTCCCGTGGCTGGCCAAATGCATGTCCGTATAGGCTTGCCAAGTTGCCTGGGTACTGCAAAGCACGAGCGCTACTATGGACAAGCAATCTTGCTGCTGGCTACTGGAGCTATGCGCGTGACTCGCTAGGTGTAAGGTCTTCACTTAACAGTTTCAATGGGTCAGTAGGCGCATCTGTACCTACAGGCATATTACTGCTGGCTTGTTAATGCTTAGCAGCTTTCCCTGACGTCGAAGCAAGAGGGGGAAAGTGGAGGAGATGCGCCGCCATCGATGCAAGAAGGCGACCGTTGCATGCAGACAGTAACGGTACGGCAATGTAAGACTTGTACCTCTTACCATATTAACATTATGCAGCCATGTAGTGACAACCAACGGCCTGCAGTTGCCACGGAAAAAGGGAGTAAGTCTGTTTCCTCCGAGCTCTCGAGAGTTTGGGAAGGAAGCCGGCAACGGAGCCATGTGCTTCTACATTTTCTAACAGTAGCGGCAATGGGAACAAAAATGTCGGCGTAAACAAATCTGAACACAGCTTTTCCTCAGCAAATTCGACAGCAGGCGGCGGCGAAACGACTAAAACGTCAAAATCAAGAAGAACTAGGCATCCGCTAACCTGCCAGAGGATTTTGACCAGACCGTTAAAAAGGAAAATGAATATCGGCATAGGCTAGAAATGTGTGCAGGGGTGCCTTCAACTTGTGCTTAACGACACCAGAAGACTTGCGACCAGATTTCAAGCACTGAGTTGCAAAATAAAAATTTTCCTATTCCTGGAAATTTGAAAGAGAAGTGCCCGTCAAAAGTAAGAGTTCCGACGGGCTTATACCGATTACGAACTGCACTATCGACACAATATTTTTGTACGCTTTAAAACAGCATAACCATCTCATCTTGCATTATGTGTATTATGTCTGCATGCATTAGTAATTGTGTATAAAGTACTAATCATGGTGTACCTGTGCGTGGCGACGCAGGCCCCAGCCATCTCCGTAATGCCAATGCCAATGCAAGAAGCGACCCATGGGTCAGAGTCTCTGCCCCAGGTCCATAAGGTCCTGTCCATCCGACTGCGAAGGACTAGCGAGGAGTTACAAAAACATGATTCGTATACGCACAGGCGCCATACGAATGCGTCTTCGCCTTGGACAAAAACGCGCACATTGGGCCCGTCGACCAACTTCGACGACGAGCGACCCCTCGCTCCAGAATACGCCAGCGGCAGCCGTGACATCAGGCCCTCGGCAACGAAGGCGGCTCCCCGAAGCTCCCTCTAGCTGGCTGGGTCCCAAAACAACACTTAACACCCCACCTCCCACCAATTCGTCGACCAGACTTTCCTCCCCTGCACCTCTACCAACTACGCAATCACCACCACAGCAGGTTTCGTACCCAGGATTCTGTAGGCGAGAGTACCGTCGGCACTGTCATAGTCGCCAAACAGTGGGCCCCGCGATAGCCCTCCCCCGCCCCGGTAGCTCTCCCGGGTAAGTCCGCAGCAAGTCCCGCGCGGGCTCATTATCGCCGCCGAAGGTGGTCGTACGCGCAGTGGCGCAGGCTGTCGGGATCTGCAGGAGCACCGGTAGTTACCTGAAAGTAAGCGCTGAAAGTAGGTTCTTCGCTTGCAAACCCATTTTGTTGACAGCGCGTAAGCCTGTTAAACTTCATCTGGTTAGTATTGCTTGCCCCATCGTCAATATTTACGAAGTAGAAGGCGGAACGAGTTGAGCGCACTCCTTTCGCCGGCTGTCGTCGTGTACTGATAAATTACCCGAATCTCGCGAGGAAATGTGGAAAGCTTCCTCAGCTATATCTTGGTCGTCCGCGGCTTTGTGGTGCTTATCATCGCTGTGCGCGTGTTCATCGTCGACACGCAAGCCACGACGGCGCTAACGAACTGTTTCCAATCAGGGAAAATCCGCTGCGTCGCCGGTCCGACAGGTCCCCTAGCCACACGTTACCATGGCAACCAAGTCGAATACAACGTCGTTGCCGGGGGGCCGGCGGATCCAGCCCCGCAAATGCGCCGCTTCTACTAAAACCGCCCGCGAGGAGCTGCTGCCAACAGCTGCCTCAGGTGGGCTCCCCCTGACTGCCGCATTGCAAATCCGCTAGGATTTCTATCGTGCATATGTGTAGATGGGTTTTTCGAATGGTATGACATGGGTATGTTGACTACCCGATCGAGGCCCGTTCGTGTTATTCTAGCTGGGATGTGTTCGTGTGTACGTGCGCCTATGTGTGCGCACATCTTGAGTTGCGTTGCTCTCCGAAGGCATAAGGAGGCCCATACGAGCCGGCGGCCCAAAGGCCAGTCTATGTGCATGTACGTGCAGGCTTGGCAATCGGCAGTTGGGCCGTCTGGCATATGCGTGATTGCAACAGCACTGCACGTGCGCAAGCCACTTCTATCCGCCGCTAATGCTACCACCGACGGTTGTGTGGCCGATACGCCAGGGTTAGCTGCTTGCGGGATGATGGTGTTTGCCAGGTCCTGTTTTCTTTCCTCCCCACGCTTCAACCCCCGTTGGTGGTGGGCGACCACCGTCTCCCGTCAACACGCTGTTTCTATACTTCTGCCCCTGCCACTGCTGCCGGTGCCGGTGCCGGTGCTGGCGGCCCAATGTTCTGTCGCTCTTTTGCTCCTTGCAGCCACTATCTCCGCCGTCCTTCCGAGCCTGATGGTGTTGATGGTGCTGGTAGCGGCGAACTCAGTCCCGGCAGCACTCGCCGGCGAGGTGGTACTGCACAACAGCACCTTGATTGTCTCCAACGGAACGTGCGAGTTCGGCGTTTTGGAAACCGCGTTGCAGGACGCGGTCCTCACGGCAGCCGCACTGAACAACGCCGGACGACGGCGGCGGGCCGAGCACGCAATGGTACGACACGGCAACCGTACTGCAGCAAGGTTGAACACACACACACATGTACACATACACTTGCGAGAGAGCTGAAATTGAAGTGCTACTGATCAAACTCTTTGGATGCAAAAGCCTGGGCGATTATGCCAAGTCGTGAGCTTCTGCAGCGGTATGTAGCGGTATGTAGCGGTGTGTAGCCCGCATACAAGGGCTTGAACTTGAACCATCTCCTTCAAGCCCCCTGCCGACGGCTGCGTCAGGATGTAACTGAAACACGCATGTTCCCGCTTACCGGCCCATACTTCGCATGACCCCCAATGTTTCCGTGCCCCCCTCGCTCCACGCGGTCCGGAAGGGCTATCTGTGTCCAGACAAAGTGTCGCTGTGCGGAGAGCAAGCCGTATTGGAGGTGAGTGGAACTGAACCACATGCTGATGCGGGAGATGGAAGCGGTGGTGGCTGGGACTTTGGGGGATTGATGGTGGTTTTGGAGCTTGGTGGAGCGAAGGGATACGAGGTGGTGATGCAGAGTGGGTGGGCAAAGGTATCTGGCGGAGAAATTTGTGAGCACTTAGTGAGCTGCACATCGCCGCCTCAAGCCAGCATGTTATTGTGGTTTGCAGTGCAGCGACCAGTGCATCAAAAAAACATGAACGCATGACGTTGGCAATGGATTACGCGGGATCATCGTTGCGGAATACTGCTTGTGGCCGTCCTGAGAAGCGCCTTCCGGACCTGCGACCTGCACCACCACGCCTCTTAAGCCTTGCGGGCTATTGAGGTATTGGGTAGGGGAAAAGAAGGCCAACAAAAAACGCGTAATCCACGCATGAAGGCCCAAGACGTGCATCGTCGTGCGGCCACCCTCACGTCCTCCGTTCTCCTTCGCCACCTGCCGGGGGCCCCCCTCCGCATCCCTCGCCCCGGCATGCGCCACTGCCGCTACCCCCATTTCACTTTAGCCCATGCCAGTCCCTTATGCTTTGGTTAACCCCTTTGTACGACTGGCTGGTGTGTACGATGTACTGCAGAGCAGCGTCGAGATTGAGGCGAACAACTCGCACATCGTGGTACAGCCCCCAAACACCACCTTCACCTCCTTGTACCTTGCCCTTAACCAGGTGGATGTGCGGGTCGACTGTTGGCGCATCGGGGAAGGTGGTTGATGATGCGTTTCCGTTTTGTTTGTTTTAAGTAGTTTGCTTGGTTGGCCGGTTGTTTGAGTAGTACATAGGGTTACCACATCCATCCCACTGCCTTGCCTGTCCCCTTGAATATCATTAATTATCCCCCCGTTCATACTTTGGGTTTGTCCTTGGCATCCCTCTGGGTGGCATTTCTCCGTAGCCGGCCCATGTGCAGCACTCCAGCATCGGTCTTATCCCACCCCACCCACATCCCGGTTTATACGCAAACCTCAACCTAGTGGCCTGACCCCAATCCCCCACCCACCCATGCATTCCAGAACAACACACTTCATATGTACAGCAAGGGTCAGGGCCCTATCTCCATCTCCAGCTCCACCCTGGCCATAGGGCCCCCGGCGGCGGTCGGCGGCGGCAACAACTGGTTCTACATCACCAACAACACGGTGCTGCAGCTGCTGAACTCCCGCCTGAACTTCACGGACGGCCAGGCTTGGTAAGTAATACAGTACGACAATGAATACGGCACGAAGTATTAGTATTACGGCACGGAAGGCCGACCATGTCGAGCGCACGGCGGTGGTGATGCCTGGGAAGGGAAACTCCGGTAGATGACTGTGGGAGAAGGTATATGCCGATGGGGACGGATGATGCCAGGCACGTATGTGGAAGGAGGGTCTCTAATACCAGGTAGGCAGGATAGCAGTCCGGATAGTGCGGTTAGCTTCCCATATAGCTTCCCGTGTGATAGGAAATAGTTTTCCTTTGTGTGTTTCATGACATCTGCCTTGTTTACACAGACTTCAACTGGCCCTTGCGCCCTTTCATGGCTCGTATGAGCCCTTTACACACGTTTCGGGGGTGTAGAACGCACGCACACACATATTCCTGGCCCCCTCATGCGCCTATAACACTTTGGTGTTTGTTCCCTGCTTCCCTTTGTTCCCTGCTCGCCCCTTCCCGGTGCAGGGTCGTGGAGGACAGCACCGTGGCGACGTCACAGAGCATCGTGGAGCTCACAAACACCATACTGTACGGAAATGGGAGCAGCTTCGTCTTCTCAAGCGCCACGTTGTGGGTGGGGGCCCGAAGGCAGTGACTGCTGGTGCAGAAGCAGCGGGGTGGTACCTGTAACAGTGCTGCACATCGATGTTGCTGCTGCTTGCGCGTTGTTGGATGGGTGCAGGGGATGATTGACGATTACAAGGGGTGAATTGCGGGCATGCAGTGATTTGAGATAAGTTAGATGGCATCCAACTGCTCGACGGTTTAAGAAAAAAATGTGGGTTAGCGAGCTCCAGCCTTGAACGGCGTTCTTCGCCTCCCGGTGTGCTCTCTGCCGCCGTGTGGCGAACAATCCAACCCAAGTTCCCGCAAAGGTGTATGTGCACGAGTACGTGTGCCGAGCCCAACATCCGTTCGTCCAGCAATGGTAGCCCCAAACCTGCCTGTCAGACCCAGCCCTTTGGAGCCCTGCGGCTCGTCCCCTTTCCCCCTCCCCCCTTCCCCACGCTCGTGGTTCATCTTTTCCCCCCTTCCCCCGCTGGGGGTGGGCTGCTCATTGAGTGAGCGCTTGCATTGGGGACAGCGCTTGTCCTTTTTTTTACAAATATTGGACAAATATACAAGCCGACTGCAGCACCTTTCCTGGACTTGCTTCCCGGGCAGTCCTTATCGCACCTCTCGTCCTGTGTACATACCTGCTTACATCATGCAGCGCACGCAACCCAATATCGCTGACGATGCGCATCTCACAATAAACGTGCACAAGGGTTGCCGCCATGTCGCTTACCCCGCCAGGTACATCCATTCGGATCCGGTCAAGACCGCTCCACCGACGGTTGGCGGCGCATCTGTTGTACATCAGCCGTACATTTGGCTTGAGAACAGCGACATGTCGGTGTTCGGTGGGTGGAACGGCTGAGTCGGGTCGGGTTGGGTTGGGTTGGGTGGGAATTTTCGTAGTTTCACATCCAAGCGATCGCCTTTGACGCGAATTGAGGTCTGGTATATAGTCCTTTTCCTTGCATATGACACGTTGCTGTCGCGCCAACCAGCACCAAGCACGATACTCCCCAAGCACCCAATAGTGGATCAGACACGTAAAATGTCATGTTGCCCTGTCCATTCTTAACAGGCTGTTGGGTCTAATCTATTGCTGCGTTTTTGCTTGGCTTGCGACTGAACGAGCTCGTTCAGTCAGAAAAAAAAACATATATCTTCTTGAAGAAAGTTCGCAGCGTGCAGTTCGCAGTGTGCAGAGTTTGCAGTTTGCAGCACCATGTGCCGACCCTTAATACACACGCATACACACACCATCGCCCCGTCAAGACCGCACTGACCCCCTCCTCGTTACGCACCATGCGTGACACAGGCTCCCTGGTTATTATGAGCAACGTGACTGCGCTGCTGACCAACAGCACCCTGCTGCTCACGGACAGCACCTTGCAGCTGTACAACACCACCCTGGAGTTGTGGGCCAGTCCGCTGGGCCTCAACAACTCGCGTGTGGAGCTGTACGACGGCAGCATGATCAATGTGAGTTCCTGTGCAAGCAATGCCGTGCACCGCGTACCGTGTGCCGTGCAGCGGAGAGACAATTATGCCGTTCTTTTTCCCCATTCCTTCAACGTTGGGACCTTTTCTCCAAGCTGCCAATTCGTCCTGACCGTAGGTCCCTACTGCTCGATTTCAGTCAACTGCTGCCTCCTGAATTCCACTGCCGCACCGCTTCCCTCCCCGGCTTCTCGTTCCCCCCTTCTATTCTTCGTCCGAATGGCGGTATCGGCTAACTAAGTTCTACTGCGGCTCTGTGGCGGTGTTCGAGAACATCGTGACAGCCGCAAACCTGACCAACCCCATCACTCTACCGCGCCTGGCGGGCACAACGCAAGGCCTCGTTGGCGAACCATTGGGGACAGTGGACACGGTGCTGTACGACGAACCGTACGGCGTCCTAGTGCTATCAGCGGTGAGTACATGCCTGCGACCTTGCGACTCCGCTGTGTGTACTGCGCTTCCTTTCCATGTTTCCCTTGTCCGTAATAATCTCCATACTTGCCAACGTGTCTGTGTACGGTTACGCACAAGAATGCACGACACCCACTGGTGTCGTACCGGCTAGGACCATATTACACGTCGATATGGTCCTAGCCTCTGAACCAACGGAAAGCTCCATTTGCATTTGGAATCTATCATCCGATTTGGATAACGGTCGCTATCGGCCTCCTTGCCGTCCGGAATTTACTTTCCCCCCTACTTACTCTTGCTTCTTCCCCCCAGCGACCCTGAGCAGCGGGCCAGTGTGCCGAGGCGGTGGTCACCGAGGTGGCAGTGGACCATCCAGCTCCCGGACCAGGAGAGGGACGGGGCGGCGAGGGGACGGGAAAGGTGGGGGCGATCAGCTGTTAGCCCCTTGAGGCCGTTGGTTCCTTTCTGCGTTCCGCCTGACTCACCGGCTGACCGACACAGCCCGGGGAGAAGTCCGGTTGGTCCAGGGGCCGTCGCTCGGGCGCAAGGGATGCTTGACAAGGAGATAGTGGGCCTTCATGTCGGGCTCCTAACCATGTACCCACATGACCTATCCTGTTCTGATTTGGGGCAGGCCAGACATGCAGCCATATTGTATGGACGCCATGATGGTGTTGCTTCCCTAGAAGTGGTGTTGCGTTCCTAGAGGTGGCGTTGCTTTCCTAGTTGCTTTATGCTTAATGGAAATGGCTCTTTCCTTATTTTAATGAATATATCTCATGCAGTAAGGGACAATAGTTATATGTATATTTGTGTTTACTGCTAGCTGCTGTGTCGTACTGTTGCCGGATGCTGGATCCCTGGATTTCCAGTTGTCCGTTGCATAGCCCCGTGGATGCGGATGGCTTCCGGGCTTTGGACTCCGACGGGAAGACTTGCAATGCTATGGCGGAGAGGGGGGAAGTCGTAGGCGTGCCTCTTTCCTGGTGTTTTTTCTACTCCTTTCCCTGCGGTTACCATAGGATGCATATAGTTTGTTCGTTTGGCTAAGTGAACTTTGTCAGGCCTACCACCCTGTATTTGGGGGGGAGGGGGGGAAAGGCCTGGATACTAGCCAGCACCAGTCGGGTTGCGTCGAGGACACTGTAACTCCTGGACAATGTCAGTCCTCCGATGCGGGTCAGGCAAGTCGTGCGAGAAGCTTGTGACGTTTACGTAAAGCTGCCTGTTAATTGGAATCGTCTTACCAGAAGGTAGCATAAGGTAGGATATTCAGTTGTGCCGATGATACACTTAGCTCCAAGCACACATGGTTATATCAGTAGGAGAAAATTGGTAAAGTCATAAGAGTTACAGGGTGGCTGAAAGGAATGAGACATACCTTACCTGTCTACGAAAACGAACAATGGCGAATGAATGCGAAGGTATGTGCTACACAAGTCACAGGATGTGCGAGTCTTGGGCTACACACCTGTTGTGTGTGGTGTTATGTTACAAGGCCGCGACAGCACGTAAGGCCCAGACGAGCCAGGAGTTTGTTCCGTCTTGATGTACGGCACCGACCTGGCCCATAAATACTAACCTACTCGATCAATAGTAAGCAAGAGGATTTTAAATGCAGAGAATGCTGTGGGCATAGCGCGAGAACATCGCTGCAGCCCACCAAACAGTGCCTTCTAGGGTTGCTTAACGTCCGCGGTAGAAGCGTTGTTGATATCCGGTGGTATTTATACAAAATAAAATGCTCGAAAGAGCAAAACACCCTATGCCACCAGGGCGCGTGGCCAAGGCAACCAGTCGCAGGAACTGCGTGGCTTGCAGGGCCACCGCTATTTCCGTCGATACGTCCCGGCGAGCGTTGCTTCTGGGTGCTGCCGCGGCGAGCGTTTCGAACATATGGCTTCCTGGTAAGATCCAATATAAGTGACACGAGAAAGAGTTTGCAGCGATCCCGGATCTTTATCAGTAAAGTCGACTTCGTCGACCTAAAGTTGCGATTGGTTGTACGGGGCCCGCGCCCACGCGCTGTAGTTACACAGCAGTTTTGGTAACACAAACCCAAGTATCGATGGGGAGTGATGTTGCTTTATGGTGCTTCCAGTTGTAGTAGTCTTGAAAGCGATGGTCGAGCGCTGTGTTGAACGAGCGAGCGCTACACATTGCAGTTTACTAGAGTTGAGCTCCGAAGATTTTTAGCTAATCACACCGCTGCTTTTCGTCACCTGCAGGCGTGGCTTACGCAGCGACCGATATGCCTACCTCGGCATACGGCTTTTCGGCGCTGCAATACGAACAGGAGCGCAGCTTTAATATTTACCGCGGCAAGGTGCGAATTTCCACTCGTCACCCCCACCCTTTCACCTCACTCCGTTCCCTGCCCCCGTTGTTCCCCTCGCCGCACCTTGTCCGGAGTTAAATCCTTTATCCGACCCTCACCCTCTTGGACACATAACACCTCGCCCCGAACACCCCTTTTCCTCAAACGGGCCCTATGCGTCTCTCTCTCTCTCTCTCTGCCAGCTGCGTCCTCAGCTCCGTGCTCCGTCAGCTACTCATATCTGTGTACATGCAGTGCCAGGTATGAGTTGCGTAAGAGCTTCCCAGCCTCCACCCCCCCAACACATGCCAGCAATACCCTAGTCCGCCTCAAAAACCCGCATCCTCCGTCTGGTCCGTCATCGTCCCCTTCTTCCTGACCCATCGCACCCGTTCTGCCCTCCCCCTCCTTGTTTCCTTGCATATGACTCCCTCGCCACGCCTTCCAGGTTATCGTGGTGATGAATATCGCCTCCGAATGAGCCCTGTGAGTGGGTGGGTGTGTAGTGGTGGTGGTGGTGGTTGTAGGAGCGCAGGGGAGGGGAAGGAAGGAGAGAGGGGGGAATTATCACCCCAATTCCATGAATGAGGGGGAGACGTGTGTGTATGTTTTTCTGTGTGGCAGGGTGAGAGGGGATTGGTGAGGGGATGGAAGTTGGAGGTTCGGGGCTTCAGGGGGTGAACACTCGCCGGCGGGGATGCCGTACATACTCTCGGGGGTTATTATGTATTCCCCAGCTGCTCTCTCTCTCTCGCTCTCTCTCCTGCTCCTGCTCTTGCCCTTGCTGTTTCCATGAGCCCGGAGCGGCTCCCGAGGAGGGCGGGTCCCCCCACCCCACCACCCAACCCCCACCCCGTCTGAGTCCCCCTTATCGGGCGCCCCTGGGGGTTGGCTGAGTTACTCCTTGCCAGCTGGTCTCTCATCCCAGCGCGCTCCTGGAAAGGGGCCCGCGGGGGCTGACCCCTGGGTGGCCTCGTGGCGTAGCAACCCCTCCTCCCGCACCCATAGGTTGCACACACAAGGGAAACGACTTGTGAACCAAACAAGCTCCTCCCAGGCAACCCCGGCTCTGAAACCCTCCCCTCCCCTGCCCTTCCCTTCCGCAGGCAGACGGTCAATTACCCAGGTGAGCGAAGGAGGGCGGGGGGAGTGGGTGTTGGGAGGGGAATGTCGACAGTGATGTATTGGACTTTCGTTTCGGTACACCACGGGGCTGCGACCTCGTCTCGTTGAGACTCCTTTGGCAGTTCGGGTGCTTTGGACCTGAGCAGTTGGTTCTTCGCGCTTGGCGTAAGATCCTTCCCCCCTCATCCCTCCACTCCTGCGCCGCGCAAATGATGCTCTCAAACGCAAGTGTTTCCCTTGGTCTTTTCGCTGCTCCCCCCGCCCTGAAACCTGTCTCCTCCCGCACCACGCCGGCGGTTGCCGGTGCACAGGCCTGAGGACGCTGTACGACAAGTACAAGGCCGATGGGTTTGACCTGATTGCTTTCCCCTGCAACCAGGTGGGTGACAGGTGATACGCGGGAAACAAGGGGCCTGCGGGGCCGGGTGGTGACTTTGCACGAGTATGGTACAACGTACGACACCTGAGGTGGCGAGACCGGACACTGACATGGGCCATTAGTGCGTTTCCAAGTTCAGGGAGCAGAATGCGGCGGGGCCGGGGGGCTGTAAACGACTAGAGCTGTTGCCCTGCTGTGTTTCTTTCTCCGCCGTACGCTTTTCCACCCTTCGACTTCGGTATTTGCATTTTTCATTTTCTGACGTCGGGGCCCACTGTGTGATCCGACGCCTGTCCCCTTACCTCCCCCCCCTCCTGCCGCATGCCCTCCTCTCCTGCCCTCCCCTCCAGTTCGGCTACCAGGCTCCCGGCACCAGCCAGGAGGAGCGGGAGTGGGCCTGGAAGAAATTTGGAACCCAGTTTGATGTGTGAGTGCCAGGAAGTGCTCAGTAGTGCCCGTAGTGCCAGGTGGTCGGGGCGTGTGGCGTTGTTTTCTATCGAGAAGGGGAGGGCGGAGGGAGAGGAAAAGGGAGAAGGGGACTGTAACCGTGCGAGTTCCGCAGCCGAATTGCGCACATTGGCAAATTGGCGGGGTGGGTTGGAAGAGGAGGGGGCGGAGGGTGGGCGCGCTGGTGGATGGGCTTTTGTGGGTCGGTGGGTAGTCTGACCAATGGTCGGGTGTTTATACCTAACACGCATGGCTTAACCTTTATCTTCGTCTTTGAGGATACTGGCATATGACTACTGGCAGAATCGAGTGGCTCCTTGAACCTCGGCCCAAGTAACTGCCGTTGCTGAAGCATCATTGCCACCCCCTCAATTACAATAGATCACAGACCCACCATCATTGTCGCGGCATACTCGACCCAATTTCTGTCATCGCCAGAACATCATTACTTGCAAACACGGCTGCCTCCATGCCGCCAGCCAGCCACTACACTAACCTGCTGGATTACTCGGCCAGCCTCGCCTGCTACTGCGGCTTGCGGGAAGAGATGCCCCTGCGATCGATACCCGCGTCGCCTGTGAACCAATCCCACCCCACCTTAATCTCCCCCCGCCCCACCCGTCTCTCCCTGCTGGATATCTCATATACAATGTACGGGACGAACAGGTACGACAAGATAGATGTGAACGGCCCCGATGCGCACCCCCTCTACAAGTTCCTGAAGGCCCGGCAGCCGGTGTCCATTCCCTCGGATGTCCGGAGCCGACCTAACGGCGACATTGAATGGGTGAGTGGATTGGCTGTAGTGGTCGTTCACTGGTGGCTGTAGTGCGTGCCACCCTCACTTCCCTACAGCATCTCTCCTCTTGCTGCTTCTCTGTCTGAACCACCCCACCTGACATACTTGCATGGCGTGTTCCCTCCTCCTCCCACGCCCCCTCCTGCGCCCCGGGGTGCCCCTTGTCAGAATTACGCCAAGTTCCTGGTGGACCGGGAGGGCAACCCGGTGAAGCGCTACAAGCCATCGTACGACCCAGTGAACATGGAGGATGATGTGGGTTGGTGTGCTGACAGGGCTTGGGGTGGTGTGGGGCTTGGGGTGAGAGTGGCTGGGAGTTGTGTGTAGTGGCGAGAAAGCAGCTTGCGGTGGGTCAGGTATGTAAAGACCCAACCCGGGGTCCACCACTCCGCTCACGCACTCCCTATGCTCCATCCCGCTGGTCACGTGTCTTTGCGCCCGAGCTCGAAGTCGGGCCCCTTCCTCCCCTTTTAAACAAGGGAGCATCGTGGTGTGAGGCGGGGCGGTGGATTGGGGCGGCACCTATTTGTTTGTCCAGGCAATCCCACCCCACCCCAGGGTAGTTGACGGGGGGAGAAGTGGTCGACCCCAACAGCTCTCCAAATCGGATTGAACTCAACCTTCCGTCCCCCGCTCCCTCCTTTGGCCCCTCGCACCACCACCATTTAAGGTTCGTTTGGTGTTGGCTGGCCGGCCTCCCCAGCCGCCTGAGTGTGTGCTACATCCGGGTCGCAAGGTCTGCAAGGTGGACCTGTGAGGGGGAGGGACTTGCTTCAGAAGCTGACCGACGCAGCCACCTTCGTACGCCGGGGAGAGCTGTGTGTCGGGCTTGACCTCTTCGCTCCCTTCATTCCTTTTTGGCCTTCCGGCTAGCCGCGGCGGCACTGCTGGTGGCGGCCGCGGCAGCACTGCTGGTGGCGTTAGTGGCCTACACCACGGAGCGGCGACAGCAAGTTTTAAGGCACAAGTGATAAGGCAGGGGGTTGGGCCTTCCGTAAAAGCCTTAGGGGCCCCAAGGACGGAGTTAACATGGGAGAGGTTATTGTGCGCATGACTGACGACAAGGGATGCCATGGACCTGATCACCATGATCACACCCTCCAGCTGCTTGCCGGCCGACCGACCCACGGGTCTTAACCGGCCGTGTCGTCGGCGGGTGACGGGCTCGGCGGCTCATTGGGTGACGGGACAGGAGTATGACGGCGCACCGGTGCAAACATATAGGGAGTATCGCCCTGAAGCCGTGCGCCCGAGCGGCCGGGCCCTCGAGGAGGCGGCGGTGGCGGCGGCGGCGACGGCGACGACAGGCGTGCCGTCGTCGACCACCCGGTCCGCCCCAGCGCGCAGTGGCAAGCGTCCCCAGCCACTGGCGCCGGTAGAGCCGCCGATCGGGGGCCTCTCCTTACCCGTGGTTTATCAAATCAGGCGCCATGGAGCCCAAGCGCGAGTCAGCGCAGAACGGAGTGCAACATACTTTATGATTCTGGCTGTTCCTCGAATGCTCCTCCTTTGTGGGATATAATGGGAAACAGTTTGCAGCTGCGAGCCATGGTACGAATTGACGATGGGTGTATGTCAATGGTGTGGGCCGATTATGTACGTGTGCGTACGGGTGGCCTTGCTAGCAGCTTATGGACTTCACAGGAATAGCCAGGACACGGTCCTGTGTTTTATCTGACCGAAGCCCGCCTGGTGGTGTAAGCGATGCTCGGGTGGTGGTCTGAGGTAAAACGTTTTTTTTGGCTGGGCAATTCCTGTACAGAGTTGTTTTAGAAACGTCTCCTTATTCTGTAATGTTTGTAGTGGCATGTAATCCATGCTCCCCGGTGTAGCACTGAATAGCCATGCATGTTTACGTATTCACGCAGCGGCGACAGGCAAATGGGGACCTCAACCCTGACAACAAACCTTAGCGCCATCCCTTGGGATGCGGTGAATGGTGTAGGTTAACATATATCTTCGGGGGATACCGACCTTTTCGGACCCCCTATGCCTGCCCGAGGTCGTTGCGCGGGGACCCTTCCCGATTTAAGACCAGTGTTTTTTTTCATTTTTGCCGGTTAATTTTCCAGTCCGAACGGAGGAGTAGGGTTTTAGTCGCGGGAATAAAAGTATTCCGAATCTGTAAGACCCCCCCCCCGATGAGTTACAGTTTAGTTCGTGCAAACGCCGGGTTTGGGGAATGTCGCAACACGCGCACACACAATCTCTCAAGCACTGATTGAATAAAGTCCGTTCACCATCGTTCGTCTTATCACGTTGAAAGATAACACTACACGGCTTTCCAGGTTGCAAAATGATGAATAGCGGCAATGAACCAGAACCACCAAACGCAACCTGTTTCCTGGCCCATCGCGATTGTCTCCATATGACGAACGTTGATGTTTGGCCTGCGCGCTGTTGACAACTGGAGTGGCGTCATCGTCGTCGGCTGGCTGCAGCATTGCGTCCACATGGCCTACAACCTCTACACCGTCTTCATTAACGTAGCTAATGGCTTCAGTGAAGTTTAATATCTGCTTTAATTGCCTTCCACGCTTTGGGAGCTTCGGGTCCGGATGTTTTGCAGCGTTTGGTCCGGTCAGAAACAGTCCGATTCCTCGTTGACTTTCGGGTGTGAGCTTCCAAACAGTATCCATGGCATTAAAGTACTATGATATGGTTAACATGTATGTCTCCTGTGAGATTCTAGCGGCTTTGGCATGGACAGTCCATTTTTGGCTGGAGGAATGAACTTGTACGTTCGGAGCATTATTTTTCAGGACCACGAACAATTTTTTATTCCGAATTCGGAATATATTCCGAAAAAATAGCTGTTAGGTTTTCTCGTTAGTTGTTAAGTCGTTAACTTTACTCGTGGACAAGCATCTGGATTATGGATAATGTACGACCCGTTTCCGAAACGAAACGGAGCCCATTCCCTTTCAATAGCGCTGCCTAAGACCGCACTTGGTGGGAAGTATGGAAGGGGAGCGGCTGCCAGATTCCGTTAGGCGGCTGACAGTTGAACGCGCAAGAAGCGGTTATATAAACCTTCAGGAACGGTCGTGCACTGAGTGCTGGTGCATTTCCTAGGGATGCCTGCCATTCGCGTCAGGATGTTGTCGCGGCCTTTGCGAGATGCAGTTTTTATGACGCGCACCACTACTAATACCCTTTAGTTCCCCTTTAGGGCATGGCAACCTTTGGTTCATGCTACTGCCGCCAGCATTATCACCGCTGCCACTATCACCACTGCTGCCAGACGCTCTACCGCAAGCTGCGGGAGACGAGTGCCAACCTGGACTAGGGACTCTACGTAATTGGGTTTGGTGGTTGGTACTGGGCTGGGGTGGGACTGGGCTTTGGGCTAAGGGGGTAAGGCTCTGGTGTCAGGGCGTTTGGGGAGAACGCGAGGAGGGAGGGCTGGAAAAAGATGGGGAGAAGGTTTGCACCAATGTGCTTCTTGAGTCGTCCGGGATACCCATCGTCCCCACAACTAATGTCTGCCAACCATACAGTCACCACACATTATCTGCTACCCTCTCCCTTCCGCTCTGCGTAGGCGAGAAACAGGAGGACACACATTGCCGTGGAGTCGCAGGCTCGAGGATCTTGTCGACGCAATCAGACGTGGAGGGATGGCATTGTCAGCTTGGCTCTGGAATTGTTTTCATGCATCGAAGCTGCTGAAACCCGCGTGCGGCGTGCCGTTGGTAGGGCCAACAGAGCAGAACTGTGCCCTGGGACCTCAGGGCCTGGGTGCATTTATTGCATTCGGAAGGCCCCCATCCGAAACCCCATATGATTCAAATGACAACAATACGCGCGCAAGTGCTGCGCTGACAGTGCCTTATTCGTATAATGTGTCCTGTCGTGTAAATGACCGGTAACTCTTGACATGAAATTCAGTTTTCAGGAGTACAGAGTACCAGGGTGCACTGAAGACCTTTAGCTTTGATGATTATGGTTAGACTGTAAGTTAGGATCAGACATTGCGGTAAACTAACTTTAGCGTTAGATTTGGACCGTCCATGAGGAGTCAGCAGTAACCTTTCCTAGTGTACCTGTACAAATGGGTGCCTAGAGGGCGAGACATCATCTTCGTATCCGCCTTTGAGTTCCACGTGAAAACGTAAAACATAATTTGGGTTACATCAGAAGTTTAATCGTTGTTTAATCCAGAGGATACGCAAAGCCCTTTCCCGGCAGTAAGCTGAGCATGAATTCACAGCAGTAAGCTTTGTCTTTATTAAAGATTTGCTTACCCAGATCTTACCTTAACCACTCGAGCACTGCGACGCAACGGTATCACACACGTATTTGCAAGCCGTGCTACTAAATTCTTGAACTGTGTAACCTAGGTGATACAAGCCAAAACAAAGCAAGTGAAGAAAACGTACCGAATGTCTGTACTTGTTGTCACGAATACACGGCTCTTTAAATACTTCAGTCCTGCAAGGTTTTGCAACAGCTACATGACATCCCTTTCGTTAACTTACAAAGAATTCTAATAAAAGATCAAGCCATGAATTTATGGTGATTGGAGTAGTATGTTTGTGTGTTATGATATGCATGTGCGGCGGAAGCGTGTCCGCCCCCCTGGAGCGGCCAACGTTTCGGTGACCTTTTGCCACCCGGTTGAAACAAAGGTCTACTATTACAAGGACTATAAATAAGCGGGTGTTTGTAATCTTGATTACATCGCTACCGCTGGGTCACAGGACCCTAGCATAAGTTCGGTGTCGATCACGTTTTCAGCGCCCGGTACACATGGCGTCGCTCCTCGCCAGCAAGCCCCTGATGGGCGGAATTAAGCTTCAGCGTCAGGCTAAGCTCACTGTTCCAGCAGTGGCGCCACGCGTCTCCCTTGCTGCCGGAGCGCGCGTCACTCCTAAGGTGCGCGCCAATCAAGTTGATTGTTCAGAAGTTGGAGCGGCTGCTCGTCTCCAGCCTTACCATGTAGCTCAGTTCTTGACATGTAACGTGCAGGGTGGTTTGAGCGAGCTGTCTAGGCGGCCATTCGCTCCCAAGCCTGTGGAGAAGAAGGTCCTGGCGCCTGCACCCCAGGCCGCCGCCTCGGACGCACCTGCGCCTGAGCCTAAGAAGTTCCTTGGCTTCGAGCCCTTGACATGGGCAAAGATTCTGCCTCTGGGTGCGATGTTCTTCTGCATCCTTTTCAACTACACTATCCTTCGTGACACCAAGGTAAGCGCAAGTTCTGAGTCCGCAATCACAAAACAAAATTTAGCCTAGCGTTGTGACTACCAGCAATTGCTTTACCCACATGACAAGGATCATGATAATTGCATCTGAAACTTGCAGGACGTGCTGGTTGTGACGGCTCCGGGCTCGGGCGCCGAGATCATCCCCTTCCTGAAGACTTGGGTGAACTTGCCCATGGCCATTGGCTTCACTGTTCTGTACTCGTGGGTAGGTACAAGTCAGTTGTTATTAAACTGTCTGCCTGTAATCGTTGGGCTGTATTTCAATGATTCTTATTCCTTTCTGTAGCTGACACTACTATGTGTTCCCTCTGCAGTTGTCCAACCGCCTGACCAGCGAGGCTCTGTTCTACACCTGTATCATCCCGTTCATCGCTTTCTTTGGCTCTTTCGCTGCTATCCTGTACCCGATGCGCGATGCCCTGCACCCTACAGGTAAGATTTCTGCCCCCCTAGACATGCATATCAGTAATGTTTTTGAAATATTCTGTTTCCTGAAACAAGTATATAATTCAACAGCAATGAGCGGTAACTTATGTTTGTATTTGTTGCACCTATTTTGCAGAGTTCTGCCAGAACCTCCTGGAGACTGCCGGTCCCCGCTTTGCTGGCCCTATCGCTATTCTGCGCAACTGGACCTTCTGCCTGTTCTATGTGATGGCTGAGCTGTGGGGCTCCGTCGTGGTATCCGTGCTCTTTTGGGGTTTCGCCAACCAGATCACCACCGTTGAGGAGGCCTCGCAGTTCTACCCCCTGTTCGGTTTGGGTGCCAACATCGCTCTGATCTTCTCTGGCCAGGCTGTGAAGTACTTCTCTCAGGTGGGATTAATTGTTTACATGAGAAGTCTGAAATTTTGTATCTTGCCGATCAGCCGAAATACCTGAATTAGAACTGGTTAGTCCAACACTCGAATGTTTCCTAAACTGTTGATTCCTTGTGTTTTGGGTACAGGTTCGGGCCAACCTTCCACCAGGCGTCGATGGCTGGGGCGTGTCGCTGAACGGTCTGATGGGCATGGTCGTCATTGGTGGCCTGCTTATCTCCGGAATTTACTTCGCGCTGCAGCGCCTGGTAGTGCCAAAGATCAAGACCCTGCGCGAGGGCAAGAAGAAGAAGAACAAGGCCAAGATGAGCGTGGGCGAGTCCTTCAAGTTCCTTGCTCAGTCGTCATACATTCGCGACATGGCGACGCTGGTGGTTGCTTATGGTATCTCTATTAACCTGGTGGAGGTTACCTGGAAGGGCAAGTTGAAGGCCCAGTTCCCCAACCCCAACGACTATTCCTCGTTCATGGGCGAGTTCTCGACTGCCACCGGTACCGTGACCTTCACCATGATGATCTTGTCGCGCTGGATCTTCAAGCAGTTTGGCTGGGGCGTTGCTGCTCTGATCACCCCTATCATGCTGCTGATCACTGGCCTGCTGTTCTTCACGCTTGTGCTGGCCGGTGATGCTGTGAAGCCTACGCTGGCGGGCTTCGGCATGACGCCCCTGTACGCTGCCGTGCTGGTCGGTGCCGCCCAGAACGTGTTCTCTAAGTCGTCCAAGTACTCGCTGTTTGACCCTTGCAAGGAGATGGCTTACATTCCCCTGGATGATGAGGTGAAGACCAAGGGCAAGGCTGCTATTGATGTCATCTGCAACCCCCTGGGCAAGTCTGGCGGTGCTCTTATCCAGCAGTTCATGATTATCGGCCTGGGCTCCCTGGCGGCTTCGACGCCTTACCTCGGCGCTATCCTGTGCGTGATCATCGTGCTCTGGATCAATGCGGCTGCGTCGTTGAACAAGCAGTTCACGGCTCTGCAGGAGGAGACTGGCATGTACATCACTGGCGAGAAGCCCAAGACGGCTGACAAGCCTGCAGACAAGCCGGCCCAGTAAATCATTTGCATGGTTGCCCCTGTACTAGTGCCAGCGAATGCTGCGTTCTGAGACAGCTCTTGGCACGCTGTTGCTGCGGCGGCTGGCCTAGCCTAGCCTTTTGAGATTCCGCTGCGACTGGACGCTCTCTCTGGAGGGGCTTAGGGTGAATCGACAATTCACGAGGCAGGTAGAAGGCGACGGCCGTCGTTTGACTGGCCGTTGTCTTGTATGAGTGCTTTTCGGGTGGGCACATAGCTGGGTATAACACCGGGCGTTTGCATTCACCTAGGGCGCGCGGCAGTGTCAAATGTCATGGTAGGCTTTCGGCGCTGGTGTTCAGGATCACCTAGGGCAGGCATGTTACGGCGCATGGTGGGTCTGCTGTATGGTTCACCTTCCAGTGGGGTTAATTCACCGGCGGTGTTTGCCGCCGGTGACCCTCCTCGTGGTGAATCTTTCATCAGCTTCCCGTTTGTGGTGACGTTGGTTTGGTGCGTGCAAGCTCAGTATTTTTTAAGATGCACTTGGGTTGCCGAATTGGGCAACGTGCAGGTTCAGTGCTCCTCCGTCGGATTGTAGGTGGACGTCCTTGGGAAGAAACATTCCTACTTTGCCCTACTCGGTTACGGTCAGGAAGGGTTACACGATGTAACGTTCTGCTGCGCTCATGTCCAGCTGTGACGAAGTATGTGAGCTGATTGGAGCAGGCGCCGGATCCGGGCCACCCGACATTTATTACATGACTTCAGTGTCACCAAACTGAGCCTGGTTCACAATTTTGCCGAGTATCAGACGGTGATACAAAATTTTTTACACTGTAAAAGACATTTTTGGCCACGTTCGTCCACCGTCTCTATACCTAACAGATACATGTTAAACTGAAAAAAATTCAAACATACAGAAGATATATTCCATTTCACCCTTTCACCGTTGCTTTACCTTGTCCTCTACGCAAAAAAGTACCTGTATGCTTTGTGGTGGTCAAGGCTTGTTCCTGCGCTCTCTTTCCCCACGGTCGTACTTCACTGAGCACTTTAGCGAGCGCTTCATCAACATCTGTCCCACCAGGCCCAAACACGCCCACGCTACCCGTCTGCTGGTGAATCACATCGTTTGCAGACGTGCTGAAAGCCCCGCCGGCAACCAAACCGCCGCCGACAACACTGCTGGTAGCAGCCTCCAATATACCGCCAATTGCCGACATACTGACAAGGCCAGCGCCCTGCACCCCAGTGACATCCAACTCCCGAGTAGGTGCCCGCGGCAGCCGCGCTGCAGCTAGCCCGCCGCCTCCGACACTGCCACTGCCTGGTCCCCACTCCCCCGCCACCGCCATACCGATCGCGCCCGCAGACAGCGGCATGGGAGAACTCTGCGACAGGGGCCCATGCGCGTGGCTGGCATATTGTCGCCGGTTAAACGACGGAATAGGCGGTAGTGTGACACCTGTGCTTGATGCCTCGCCACCGCCGCGGCCGGCAACCACGGCGGCTGCAGCTGCGGCGGCAGAGCTGGCCCCGCCAGCGCCCGCGGGGACAGCGCCAACTAAGCCACTTCCCGCCGCGGCAATGCCGGCGGCTGCAGCGGCGAAAGGCTCGGACGCAAATCCCAGGCCCAGTCCAGGCCCCGTCAGCCCCCTGTTGACTGTATACACGTGCAGCCGTTCGAGCAGCCAGGCAAGAACGCGCTCCCGCTGCTCCAAGCTAAGCTCCTCCAAGCGGCCTATAAACGTTCGAGGAGAGTTATTGCGCGGTTCTGATATATTTAATTTTCAATTCATCACAAATCTTGTCAGGGTTAAGTGAGGGGCGGGTTGCAAATTTGCTTACCCAAAGGTTTTGAGATAACACGTTAGATCTGACAGGGAAGGTTTCAAAATCCAAAGACTTCTAGGATCCGGTATCTGCGATTGGGGAAAATGGCCACAGAGGCCAGGCATGACCCGGAGCCAGCATGCTTTCCCATCTTGTCGCGCTGCCTTATATGCGGCCTGGCCCGTAAGGGGCTTCCAGCCCAACCAATCTTGCTATGAATCCCGTACTGTATCGTATCTCCGCCCACCTACCTAATTTCCTTTGGCGGGAGCAATCTTCCGTGTATGCCTTCCAGCCCCCACCATTCACTCCCATATCTCTCATCCCACCTACCTGGCAGTACCGTTATATCCGCCACAGATTGGGGCCCCCCGCCGCCGCCGCTGCCGCTGCCTCCCCCGGCGCTATCACTGGAGCCCTCAGGTGCTAGCACCCTCTCCTCACGAACCACCGTTACGACCTTCTCGCGCACGTCGGCCATGCACTGTAACAAAAACTTGGCAGTCTCGTCGTACGACGCCGATACCGCCGCCGCCTCGGCCGTCTTGGTGTCAAGCTGCTCGCGCAGCTGGAACACAGAAGGAAAGTGCATATCGATGCAGCATAATCAGTACACATTAGTACAAACCCAAGGTGAGGCGGTAGAGGCAACGAAGCCTACCGTTCGCCAACCCCCTTTCATCTACTTGCCTTGTCCACCTCTGCGGTCTTTTCCTCCAGTTGTAGCTGCGCCAGGTGCAGGTGTTGGGCTAGGTCCGCTAGCCGCTGGTCCAGAGCCCCAACCACCTGGTCGTTCTCAGCGGCCGCGTAGCCCTGCTCTTGGAGCTTGCCCAGCTGAGGAGAGGAGCAGGCAGGAGGCGGAGGGATCGCGTGCAGCTTTGGAATTCTGGGTTTTGGCGTTCTGTATCAACCCCTTAACCTGCTCTAGGGATTGTAACGGAGGCGGAGAAGGAAAACATACGAGGCGCAGATGAAAAAGGAAAATGGAGTGCGGCATTTAAGTACGAAAGCCAACGAGCCAGGATGTGCTGCCTCCCCTTCCCTCGCAGTCGCCCTCCGGCCCCACCAGTGTCTTGATGGTCTTCTGGTACAGGTTGTTCCTGCGAGCCAGCTCCTCCTCGGTCTGCTTCGACAACTCCAACTGGCGCCGGAGCTCCGCGTTCTCCTCAGTCAGCCTGTTGGAGGGGTGTGGAGGGTGAGGGGGGGCAGTAGACGGTGAGGGCGGGAGCTGCCGGACCGAGACCAGGCTGCAAGGGAACGGGACGTCAACAGTCGGCGGCAGGTGTACGCTGGCAAAACCACCTTCAACTCTACCTTCACCCCAACCTCCCGCCACCAGACGCCGCCACCATCACACCACAGCTATGGCTCTCCCCGGCTCACTTCGAGTTTTTGTTGAGCAGTTTTTCTGTCTGTCGGGACTGGTAGCTGAGCTCTATGGACATCTGCTCATTCTCCATGATCGTGCGTTTGGTGGTCATCTCCAGCTGATTGTCCGTTAGCTTCATCATCTGGGTGGAGGTGGGGACGGGTGAAAGGGAGTGGAGAGACGTGTTTGCCTGGGCCTACCGCGAAGATGACAGTGCGGGAAGAAAGAAAGAGTAAACAGTCACACGACGACTGTCAGCGAAAGATAGCTTTCGCTGTCTGTAAGGAGGGAGAGTAGGAAGGTAGCACAGCGCGTGAAGAGGAGGAGGAGCGGCGGCTGGATGGCAAAGGTTAGTTTCCGTGCGGGCGGGTTCAAAGCAGGTCGACGCTGGCGGCTGACACTGCGCCTACCTGCAGCTTTGTCTCCTTGATCTTTTGCGCCATCTCCCGCTTCCACTTCTCCCGGTCCTGAATGTGCTGCCGGTCCATATCCCTGCGGAGAGGACGAGATGGTGAGAAGGTGAGCAATGAGGTGAGGGTGTTTTGTTTGACAGCCAACCACGTTCACGCGAAAGCAAACTGCACCAGACTGCCAACACCACACATACACACACACCGCTATGTGGCAACCGAAGTCTTGGGCATTATCAATAACCACCTCGCCCATTGGGCCGCTTCCGACCCATTCCCCCAAAACAAACACTCATATACACATACAGTCTTAAGACCCCCCGCGTCGCTCACTCACGTCATCTGCTGCTCGAACTCCTTGGTCTTCCGAGCCAACGTCTCCTTGAGGTTCTGTATCCGGTAGTATTGAGTTGAGAAAGGTGGCACGGTTGGGGCGGGTTTGCGGCGGCCACGCGAAACCGTTGCGTCGCATTACGACTAAGCGGCTGAGGCGGTGGAAACCCTAGGACGTCCCCAAGGAGTAGGGATGCACGTGCACGTGCGTAAATGGAACCGCCAAGAAACCTAGACACATTTGTAAGCAACCTGAATGCTGTCGCTGAAGTTGTAAGCTCGTGCCGTACAATCCTGCCGTACCTGCAGCTCCGTCTCCATGGCCTCCTTTCGGTCCAGGAAGTCCTGAGTGATTCGGGCCTTGCGCTCGTGCTCCCTGACGATGGCTTCCAGTCTCTCAATATCCCGGTCCTTGTCAGCTCGCAACTTGGACAGGGCGGCCTGGGAGTGCGGGAGAGCGGTTCGGGGATGGGCCAGGGGATGGTGGGCTGAGATGCGACGGGCTTTTCGAAGTAGGGGGACGAGGGGGGAGGGAAGCGGGGGCAACACCGGAAACCCTCAGCAGTGGAAGAACCCTAGGCAAACCGCGTCAACTTACGAGGCCGAACAACAGACCAGAGGTGGAATGGGACCGAGCCGGGAGCGGGAGAGGGGGCAAGGCAGGGGGTTGCAGGTGGCAGGGGGCCTAAAGCTTGGCTGTGTTCTTCCCACGGGACACATTTCACGGCAGCGGCGTTACCGTATGTTGCATGCCTGACAACATGTACACCCGTTGTGCACAGAGGTCCAATCCAACGTGCCCGCCTTATCTCACCAAGTCTTCCCCCCCCCCCAACCGCTCTTTCTCCCCCTTCCCCGCCCACCTCATGACTCTTGCGCACTTCCTCCATCAGGGTGTTCAGCTCGGCCAACTTGGCCTCCAGAGCTGAAGTGGTGGCGGAGCGGGCCTGGAAGGGGGGGGTGTCCGGAAAAAGGGTAAGGAAGGCGTGGGAAGGAAGGAGGGAGGGAGGGAGGAAATGCGATGCAAATTTTCTAATGGCATCAAGTGCCGGGTAATGTCCAAGCTTTAGAGAAAGGAGGGAGAGAAAGAGGGAGGTGACGAGGCGAGATGACGACATTCCGGGGCTGAGGAGCATCAGTTCACCAGCCTGTATGCCCCGGAACGGATGCACTAAACAACAATCAATTACATGCAAGGGAGGAGGAGTCTTCCGGAAAATATTAGGGGTGAGCGGTGAAAAGGTTGGGGCCGCGAGACAGGGTTTCGCGCCCACCTCACCTCACCTCACCTCACCTAACAGCGTGACGCCCCGGGTCCCCCCACTCCCCTGCACTCCCACAAAGACTCAACCTCCCCCAAGTCGCAACGATAAATCCTCCCACCTTGAGTTCATTCGTGAGGAACTCGTTGATGTCTCTGAGATTGAGTTTCTGTGTCTCCAGCTCATCCGTCAGCTTGAGCACGTCCACTTGCAGCCGGTCACCGTGCTCCTGGTACCTGAGGGGGTCCGGCGGGGTGGGGCCAGGAAGGGAGGGGGAGGGGGAGGGGGGGGAGGGGATGCAAACGAGGATGGATGGATTGCAATGGGGTGATGATGGCGGGGGAGGGAGGTGAACTAGTGCCCACCCGCCCAGGGCGGAGGGAAGTCAAGAAGGCAGAACGACAGACAGACAGACAGGCCGGTGGCTCTGGAGAGCTCATGGCGGCACATGGAGGTCAAATACGGTGTTCAAGGGCTACTGGGCCCCTTGGTGGGGAGGGTATGTGCGGCAAGGAAGAGCAGCAGGTACCAGGGAAGGGCGACCCATCTGTTGGAGTGCTTCACCTCGCCAGACCCGGTGCGGAGTGACCAGGTGGCACCAGTCTCAACCTCAAAACGGCGGAGGCCAATGGCGGAGGTGAGTGGTGAGGACTACGGAATACGTTTGACAACCAGCCGACTCTCCGGACTGTATTTTCCGACGACGGTGGAGGAGGGGAGCCCGGAAGATGTGAAATTCTGGTGGTCGTGGTTAAGACAGCCGGGTGCCTGGCTAGCAGATAGATTGTGCCATGCGACATGCGACTGCCGGCGGATGCGGCAGGAAGTGACCAGGTGGGGGAGCCGTGAGCCGATGCGAGCCACAGCCTTTGCGACGGCTTCCCTTGCATCCCCTCTCTGCAACCCTTCCCCGCTCTGGGTCCGGGTAACTGCCCCGCCGGGTGGGAGTAGGAAGGAGTCCCGTACAACCGTGTCCGGTCACTCAGGGTGCCGTATTAAATCCCGTCTCAGGTAACCATGGATTCCCCCGAGCCATGTGTATGTGTGTATGTGTGCTGGAGAAGGTGGCCGGTGTGGTTCCGCTCCCAGGTTTCGGCGGCTACCAAGGGGTGCTGGACAGCGCGATAAGCCCCGAGGGCCCTCGATTTCAAGGCTGGCAGTGGCATCACTAGCAAAAACTGCCTCTGGATGCAGCTCTTGCTGTTGCGCCCCCAACGCACATGTACAAGGGCTGTCGTCGGGCTCTGCACCACCCATGAGCCCTTCAAGAATGCGGCCGAACCAGCCGCACAATCTCTGTAAAATTCTAGTGCGAATATTCTATAAATGATGAAATATGGGACGTTTCAGGTCAAGTCGCTAAATGCACATATAGACCATGGCATGCGTCCCGCCCCAACGCAAGCGGCATGCGCAGATAGCTACAATTATTTACCTGTTCAGCTTAGACCGCAGGTAGCCAATAACCAGCTCCTTTTCCACTAGCTCCCGCTCCTCCTCAACCTCGTTTTTCGTTTCCTCCTTCGCATCCTTCTTCTTGGCATCTTCCTTTTTCTTTGGAGGCATGCTTCAAAAAGCTATAAAAACCTTTAATGCTGGTCCACGCGCAAGCTGCTGTGTTCAGGATACAATCAGCAAAGACTGTAGGGTAATCACATCCACAGTGTTTGAGTGGTACATATTTGCGGCAACGTGAGCGCAAAGGCAGGCAGAGTTTCTGCCTCAGCGTCGGCAGTACTTCGAGGCGCCGTTGAGAGGTTTTCCTAAACAAAATCAACCAATCGAATAAGTAGTTATACTTTCCTATCTAATTTGTGTGTTTGCATCCTCCCAACCGGTCGCAAAGTTGCCGCATGGATGTTGTACACAATCGGAATCGACATGCAGCCCTTTCACCCAGAAGCTTTGGAGCGCGCGCACTCATAATTTTCAATTATTGAATATGTAAGAGCTGCGGCTTGAGTCTCTGCATCGATGCACTTTGCCTATTGTGGTTAACGGCTCCCAAAGGCAACGAACTCGTACGGCTGATCCACGGTTCGATGCACCACAATGGATGCAATAGTGTTACCTAAGAAATGATTGCGGCAGTGAGCTCTCATGCCATCTCTCCAAGTAGCTGTTTGTGCCAGCATTGCATCTTCCGTTTCCTCCCATCGTTTTTTAGTTGAAAAATGCTGAAACCCTTGTCCCCGTAAGACAGTTATTGCGATGTGCACGGAGCGACGGCAAGTCGTGACGTGACACAGGAGAAATCCTTAGGTGCGGTCCAAAGTCATACACGCAGACCACACACACACGCAGACACAAGCTTCCGGAAATACCGCGATGCGTGAGCCAGCCAAAGGTGCGTAATAGCTGGCACTTATTTTACGAGAACGCAGCATGTGCCACGTTGAACGAGGCGAGAGATTCCGCCGGCAAAGCCCTACAATCTGCGTGATGCCACAGCAAACACAACCTTTGCTTCCCAGGTTATTCACCCTGACCTCTGCTGGAGCACACACGCCACCGTCGGGGCCCTGAACGCCACCGTTTAGGGTTAGGTACCGCGCCGTGTGCGGGAATCGCTGGCAAACCCTCCTCCCATACATGCTGCAAACTACAGCCTTAGTAGCTACCTGTGCCAGTGTCTTGTAGCGCATCACTATTTGGAGAGAGGATGCAGTCGTGAAGTCTAATGCGTCATGTAGATCTGCATATTCAGCCTGTGGGGACATGACTCCTCGCAGCTCCTCATTGTGGCGTTTACCAGAGTGACTTCACAGCACTGTTTTGAGAGGTCGCGCCCCTTTGGATTGGTCTATAAAAGTGATTGGGGCTGCTGAACAGAGTCTACACCCTCCATACGCAGCTATTTCCGTACTTCCAGTTCGGCGTGCTGTGCCATGCTTTGTCACAGCCGAATTCGCGTTCACATAACCAGGAGTTTAAAAAGGCAATTAAATTTGCACTTCTGTTTAGTGGTAATAAGATGCATGGCCTTCGGTTCACCAAAAGCTTCCCAAGCCATGAACGTAAGCCGACAAGAATAGCCCGAGCGGCTGTAGATCAAAGCGCCCCACTTTATACCAAATTTAGCCAGCCAGTTTACAGTTTGGCGACTCAAGGCACGGCCTCTTCAGGTGGCCGTGGAACGCTGAACCTGCTCACGTACGCCTCGCCAATAGCAATAAAGCCCGACCGATGTTTCGCAATTGGATTATATCTCGGAACTGCCAGCTATGCAAATATGAAGGCTCATCGGCGGGGCGTGCTGCAGGTGCAGAAGTTTATTGTTCGCCGACGCGCACGGGGGTTGCCCAACCGGAGGTTACAATCTCGTGTTACCATCAGCTGCGCCGCTTGCGTAGGTCCTGGGATCACGCCATATATCTTTGTTTCACCTACTTGGCAAGACCAGCGCACGGGACATCGATAAGCACGCTGCCATACAGACGGCAGGGTTTCGCCTCCAGGAACGCTATGGCATTATGACTTTGGAAGGTGAGGCTCCGGGGTACTGTACGCACAACTTCATGGGATAGAAGTTAGGTGAACTACCCAATAAAACTGTCCGCCTGCAGATGCTGTTAGCGTCATGGAGCTCGAGGTAGTGTCAGACTTCTTGCCATGCGGTAAGTATGAACAGTGGGACGATATAGGTAGGCATATGCCAAGTTATTGGTAGATGTTGGCAGAAGTGCCGTGGAGGTAAGCCCCTGACAAGAATCGTCGGACTTCACACGTATGGCCCCCTTTGAAACTTCTGCAACACATAAGGCGATCACGACGTGGTGATTTGCCGGGTGGAGAGCTATGAGAACTTCTCCGAGGATGCTCAGGATGTACTCTATACCTCGGCCCTCCGTACTGCTGGATTCCAGTGACGCGTCAGGGCTGCGGTGTTTGCGCGTTGCAAGGGTGCGATGTACGGTACCTGCTGCGCATGTAATACATTATTACATGGACCCATCATCAGCTTGGTCTTCTTTACAGGGTGTTTCCACTTGGCGGAATACTAATATTAAGTTGAAGATTCTCACACCTGGCGCAACGAATCGCCCATGCGATAAGATTTTTGTTTAATAGAGTAAATGAAAGCAAAAGTTCTTTAAAGTTTTCGCGTAAAGGGCCCTCGTACGTTGCGAGAACTGTGCTCAAAGAATAAGCCTACATATGGATAACTGCAAGCCACCTAACCCACACGGATAACAAGGATTGGTGTACAGTACAACGATCGCAGCATACATCATTAAGCCTAACCTTGCAACATGGCTGAGGAGTATTCTCGGTGTATAGCTAGGGTCGTGGCGGCACAAATGGCTGAGCTGACCGGGTTTGAGGCAGCACAGGAGTCTGCTATAGAAGTACTTGCTGAGCTCATGATTAAGTACATACAAGAAGTTTGCACAGCAGCCCATTCCTATGCGGAAACGGCACATCGCACTGACTTCAACATATGCGATTTGAATTTAGCATTATCAGACATGGGTACATCCATGGACGACTTGAGAAAATACCTTGAAACCTGGCTTGCTGAGCAGGTAAGCCCAAAGACTGTTTCCGCCATGGGGTAAGTACCATGGGGCACGAGGCAACGGAAACCATGTCACCATATATATCCATGCACCTCACTCCTCCATGGTTGCACTTATCGGGAATATGTACAAATTACTGCACCACCAACCCTGCCGGTCTGGAGCGTAGGGCTACACGACCCTGCGTGTTGATTCCTACTCCCGATTCCCTGCAACCACCGCAAAGCACTGAAACCACCCTGCCCTACACAACGTCTCGCGTCGGGCTTGCAGCTGTCCTCCATCGCTATTCTGCTTCCCTATTCCGCTCTTGGGCCCTTCCTGTTTTTGTTGGACTGGTACCCCGCCCAGGGTCCCGGGTCCTTTGACCAGGGCTTCGTGCACCCTCTGCCGTCTGAGTACCCGGTCCGTGCCCCGGGCCGATCGCTACCCAGCTGGGAGGAGCGACGCGAGGAGCCCCCGGCGCACATCCCATCCTGGCTGCCTGCCTTCCCAGACCGGCACACCTACGTGCGGGCGCCCGCATTTCCCGGCCATGAAGAAGACCCCGTCAAGCAGAGCGAGGTTGGTTTCAGGGGTGAATAAGGGACATGGAGGAGAACTAAGTGAGAATTGGAGGGGAAGCGAGGGGTGGTCAGCGGGCTTGGATTGTGGGTTAAGGGTGTTTCATGCACCAGTGTATTGGTCTAGGACCCCGGAGGGCGAAAGAGAGGCGGCTGTGGTGCTGGTGTGGAAACCGTAATGATACCCTTACGAAGGTAATTCGGCCGTGGACGTCCGGTTCAGATGCAACCTTCTTTAGCTTTCCTTGGCGGTATCGGGAATGACATGCGCAGCTCCTTCTTGGCCCGTTACCAGTAGCCTTCCCTGGCAAAATGTTACCCGCCTCGCACTTTATGGCCTTATTGGGCCCGGCAACTCCACCCTACCCCTGCCGGGTTTGCGCTTGCTCCATCATCCTGCCCCAGATCATTCGTCAGACCCGGCGACAGGCCGCCAAGACCACCCTCAATTTCAAGCAGCAGCTCCTGGCAGTCCCCCCGCACCCCAGTGACGTGGTGGTGGGTAGCAATCCGTTCCTCAGCATACCCACCCTGGAGCTGGTGGGTCCATCAGCAGCCGGCCCCGCACCGGGAAGCCCGGAGACGGGGCCGTCGGCAGCTGCGGCAGGCGGCGGGGGCTTGGGTAAGGACGTACTGCATCCCGTGTCGGCGGCTTTCGAGCCGGTGGTTGGGCCGGTGGTAGAGGAGGGCGGCCCTCAGGGGCTCAGTGCGGCGGGAGGTGGCGGAGGCGAGGATCGTCGGCGGGATATGGACGCGACAGTCAAGTGGCAGCAGGTCCAGGATGCGCAGTCAGGTACAGTGGCCGGGGTACAGGGGCGCAATCAGCTTGGCGAACAAGGGTGATTGTGGAGCAGCTTGTGGGGCAGGTGGCCTTACAAAAGACGAGTTTGTCGAAAGCGCAAGAAGTAGGGGCGGCAGGACAGGACGAGCAAGGAGAGCAGGGCGGGATCGAGAGGAGGTTGCTCCGGAGCTGGCCACGGGGCAGCGACGAAAAACATTCGTGCGACGAAGGTTTAGATGCAGGACGGCGTGCAATTTACAGTTAACCTTTCATGGTCACGAGGTGTTGCTTCGGCCTGTCCACGGTCGGTCTATTGCAATTGCACTGAATGCAATGACCTCAACCCATCCATTGATGTGATGTGTGTGTGTGCGTGTGTGTGCGTGTCCCACGTGTGTGAGTCCGCTTGTGTGGCCCCCAATACGCACTTTCCCAGCCGCCTAGCACCTGACGTCCATCCCACTGTCCGAACTCCTCGTCTGGCAGGCGCGGCGGCAATGGGGCTGCCAGCTGGCTACACTCTAGACTTTGCGGCGCGGGTTCAGCGGCAAGGCCTGGCGTTCGCGCCACGGCGGGTGGTGGAGGACGCGTTCGGCAGCCGAGGCGGTGAGGAGATGGCGGGTAGCCGCTCCAACGCCCGATCCAGGAGCAGCAGGTGAGCATGTGCCCAGTAGGGTCGGGAGGGGAGGGGGTTTCAGAGGCGGGGTAGGGGGAGGGTAGTAACATGACTCATGTATGAGTGGGGGCCGCCGGCGGTGGTGTTCGGGGGACAACAGTCTTGAAGCATTGAGTGCGATGTTTACCATCCCGGCCACTGCCCTGGCTTCCCTCTTGGTACTGTTGCCTTTAACTACGGTAGTGCCTCGCTGAGTGAATGCGGTGAGTGATGAAAACCCGAACAACACAGGTACGACATTGGGGACGAGCGTAAGAAGGCGGAGCACATCCTGGCACAGGCAGCGGAGGTGAAGGGCCACGGCGGTGCTGACAATATCTTCGACGATTGAGCCCTGCATCAAAGCGTTGCCACAGCACGGCGGCAACGCGCTTCTGGAGACTTTCGAGGGTGGTGGTGAAAAATTGAGCGGTTCGGTGGGAATCGGGTGCTTGCTGTTGGGCAGCCTGTAGCCGTGGGGGCACCGGGATGGGTAGGGCTTTGAGGGGCTGGGCGTGTGGATTTCCCAAACTCCTGGAAGGGTGCCATAAGACGTCAAGTTGCGAGCTTCCAGCTGTTCTTAAGGATCTGCGAAGCAGGAGCTTGGATTGTTGCAACCATGAGGGCCAACAGTTTTCGCCACGACGGCCGTGCAGGCAGGAGGAAATGGAGTCTTAAGGAATGAAAGGGTTGGGCCAATTGAATCCGTTGAGGCGTAAAACGCCGGCATGCTGCCGATTCGAGCTGATGGAGTGCGGCACGCGAGGGTGAATCCCTCTCCAAATGCAACACTTACGCAACGTATAGCCCGCGGTCAAAACCGCGGTGCCTAACGATTCAGCCCAACCACCCCGGGCGGGTATGGGAAATTACGAGCTCAACACGCGGCCTTCCGGAAGACACTAGCACGCGAGCCAATCGCGTTTGAACACGGCGTTATGCTCGTCAACCCACACGTGCACGCCCTCCATTTCCCTGGTGCGAAAATGGTAGGAAAATGGGAAGCAGAGGACGACCTCCCCTTGCTCTGGGGCAGGCCTCAGTCGACATAGCGCACGAAATACCAACCCACAATTTCACAATCCGCGAAACAAACGAACTCACACAGGAAAAAGTCGTCGCGGAGAATGCAAACCACTCCCATAATGAGAGCCTTTAATGCCTGCCGTAGTACGATATGAGTGTAAATGAAACACTACCTAGAACAACCCCCCCTGGCTACCCTTGTGTTCGGTCCAACAACCTGTGGCTTCACATGGCTTAGCTGCGCTACCTTGCCCAAGCAGCCTCATGACGTCGCAGCCTTCATCGGACCTCAAGGGAACCGTAGCAGAAGTATCTGGATATCCGACAGATGCCTTTTTTCCAGTTGTACCTTGTTCCTGAGGCCAGCTTCTCATGACGAGGCGCCACGCCGGTTTTCGTCCAACGAAGGATTTATATTTGACCCTTGGAACGATCTTGCCACTGGCCTCGTTCGTCATTCGCTTTGCAAAACTAATTTGAAGCTCATCCTTAACCCTAAGTTCCATTGCTGAACATAGCAGCTATACAAGTTAACGCCGCGCGGGAAAACTTGAGGTTTACCGCAGCAAGACGCTTTGCCCTTTCCTGCAAGGTGACCAACCGAACAACCGGGTGAACGCATCTGCAGCCGTCTGCCTTTCCGTCGGGAAGAACAGCCACCCTGCCGCACCTCATACCCAGTCGACATGGCCACCCGTGACCCCAGGATAGCCGCAACCCTGGCCGACCCTGAACTGCGTCAAGAAGTTGTTAGCGGCATGCCCACGTCGATCCAAGCCGGGCCCCAAGAACCTTCCCCGCGGCCGCCAGCCACCGTCACAGCTGTCGCCCGGACCGAAGAGCCCCTGGACGGTACCCGCCAGACCATGTTGTCGGCCTTCGCGCCTGCAGTAAGCCAAGCTAAGGCCGCGGCGGCCAACGGCATGGCGGTGACGTCACCACCGCACCAGGATGGCCGGCCTATACCCGTAATGCTGTGGGATCAGACGAGCCCCTCGGGGGCGGTCGGGAGTCGGCCCCAGCCTACGCAGAGCTTGGAGCGCGTGTCAGAGGACGTGGCGGCGCAGTGGTGGAGCTAAGGAGTTTTTAGCGTCGGTTGTGGTAACTGTGTGGCCATCTCTGGTGGAGTAATGGGAAATATGCTCCGTACGGTCTTTCGGTTGAGGCGCGTATGAGTCCCGATATGTTTATCTGTGCTGGGATTTGGGCCGAGAGCCTGCAACTTGGGGCTATTTCGTCTGGTAGCGGTAGTCCATCGATTAGGAAATATTGCAAAACGCTTCGGCAAGGTCCGCGGCAAGTTCGGTGGTGGTGGACGATTGCAGAATTGCACTCCGTGACACCCAAACGGTGTCACGTCTAATCCCTTACGCGCGGGTGGAGGCCCGTGTGAGGCACGTCGAGGATGTACGGGAACTGAGGCCCGAGCGCAGGAAAATCGGCATGTGAAGGGCTCGTTTGATTGTAGTGTCGGTCATTCTACGTGTGTGACTTCAGCTTGGCCCCAGCCGGCTCATATGCTTCTAGAAAGACGGGTTTGCGACGTGGGCTTGTGACATATATGCCGTGACACGCAAGGCTTGGAACTTGCAGGTTAGCACGGGACATGTAAATCCAGGAATCAAACGTCAAGTGCCTACCAATTTCCCGTCGCCAGCTCTGCGCATATTAGGTCAGCAGGATGAGCAGGCTGAAGCCGGCGAAGGACCAAAACCGCGACCCCATACTTAATGCGTTCATCTAGGCTGCAATTTACCGGATGAGCGACGTGACAGTAGGGGGGATCTGACCGGACCGGCAGTGATGCTTGCACCCAAACATTGTATAGGCCAGCGAAGGCCAGAGGCAAGGTGACGGCACGCGGGTATCCAACGGACTTACACGCGAGGGTCAACCGGAGGGAGGTGTGCCGACATGGTTGATGGGGAAATTGGCTTGTAATGGCTGCGAGTGGACCTGTAGTTTTATCCTTCTTCTCGCCATGGGAACGCTTTTATGCGTGCCGTGTTAGCGGGTACAGCAGACCGCGGTTTGTTCCGTATAACGTGTGTGTGGGGGTGCGTTGGTATGGCCATAGGACAATTACTAACCTCTAATAATAAGCATAAGATAGGGGAGGAACAAATAGGAAAAGCACTGCGGAAGGGAGCGCGCATGCGTGAAGAGCTAGCCAGCAAGCAAGCGCTAAAACCATCCCAGGAGTTTAGTAAGACCAAACACGCGGACGAGGAGAATCATATACGACGTGCAATGTCCTACGTTGGTGGCGTTCGGCGCCCTGCTGCGTCTTTTTACCTTCTGACGTACATGTGCAAACTAATAGCTGCCAAAATGGACAAGAAGAATGGCCTCGTAGTGACCCTGCTTTTATTAATTTCTGCTTTTCATCTTAAAACACAATTTTCAGATTAGTTTATGTTTCCAGTTGTACTTGCCAACTTGACTTCCGCCTGAGCTATACACCTGAGACACATGAGGGGACTGCGCGGGAGTCCATCGCTGTTTTTACGACTTACGAATCTTTTTGGCTATCTGTTCCTGATATTAGTGAACGTGCTGAGCTCCGCAGGAGCTCTAGGTGGCACGAACGCTGAAGTATCGGCGAAGTTTCCTACTCCTTTGACACCAGCAGGGTATGTGATCTTTGCGGATGAACTAAAGGGGAAGATTTATGATGAATCAGAATGGATGTGCCGGAAGGCTTGTGTTGTGCTCCTTCCGCAATGGCTTGAGCCCGGGAGCTGCATTGCCGGGCCTGCCAGGCCAATTCAACGGTTGCAGGGTACTATGCTTCAGTCTCGTAATAAGCACTTCAGGGCATCGGAACACCTTGCTTAACCTGGCGCGTCAATCTTTAACGCTCTCCATCGATTGAATGAAATACCTGCGCACTTGCCCTCACTTCCCTTTGTCGTTCCCGCTACTCCCTGTTGTCCTCCCTTTTAGATGGGCATTCGCCATTTGGGGTCTCATCTTTGCCTTGGAGGGGCTAGGGGTGATCTACCAGCTCATGAACAGCGGGTACCGAGAGGGTGGTTGGAAGGCTAGTGTAGTCGACAAAATCGGTGAGCTTTATCATTTTCTAGTACTCACGAACTCAACCGGCATATCCTGCAAGGGGCCTCCATGTTCCCGTACAGTGGCATGAGCATGGCCGAGGACAGTAGCCTAGCCTGGAAAGTTTTATGCCCCACTCAAGCCCCAGGCGCATCCCATAGATTTGTTTACTATAAAGGAATAGGCGAACCCAAGATCGTGTGGAATATCGATGTCAACCACCTTAATCGTACTCTGCCGGATGCAATCCCTGTTATGGGTTAGAGCTGCTGGGGCAGACTGGCGCTGCGAACCACCAGGCCACCAAGCCAGGCAGCGTATTAGAGGCCATTTCCTTAACGATAATGTGGGAGGTCGCTGCATTGCGTAGCTACATCGCACTAGGCACCTCGCGGGTCCCGGAACCCAGCAACCCGCGAACCGAGCTCCCCGCCCTTCCACGTGCCGCACCCTCCGCGACACGCCGGCCTATCATCTAGCGTTCTCGCCTCAAACATGCTCGCCTGCTGCAGGTTACGGCTGGCAGGTCGGCTGGCTCATGCAGGACCTTTGGCAGTTTGCCTTTGTGCGTGAGAACGTGCCGGGAATGTGGCTGGCTGCCATTGCCCTACTGGCAGCTCTGGCCGCCTTCCAGTTCACTTTGTACCGCCTGAACGGCACCACACACGAGTTGCGCGCACGAGGTTATCCCGCTATGCCGCCGCTGGCCTACGCCTTCTACAAGCTGCCCACTGCAGTCAACGCGGCTTGGCTGTCGGTGGCGGCCGCACTAGGGATTCTCATTGTGCCGGTTTCGTACGGCGTCAGTCAATCGCGGCTTGTGGCGCCGGCCGCGGTGCTAACGGTGGCGGTCACGGCAGGTGATGGACGGAGTTGTCAAGCGGGGTCGGAGGCCTGGGGGGTGTAGCGGCGTCGTCCGCCGGTGTAGTGTGGGAAACGGAAGTGCCCTTAGCGGACATGCAGGGTTGGTGATGCGGATGTGTTGAGTGGAAGCGAGATAGTATGGCCGCCCGCTTAGGAGAGCGTCGGGGGCTGGGAGAGGGCTTTGGATGCGCCTAAGAGGTTTTTCCGCTCGGTACTGATTATGGGCTGATACAAACGGCATAACGTATTACTCACTCACGCCCCCTGTGTCTGCCTTATCCTCTTGTTTGTTTCTCGCCGTAATCCTATATCCCTCCTCGTCCCGCTTTTCATTCACGTGCTTCCCTCCCTCCCCTCTCTTCTGGTGCTCTGTCGTGCCAGGCGGCGTGTGGCGTGTAGTGCGCCACCGTGACGCAGCGTATGGCTTCACGCTCATTTGGGCCCTATCAGCGGTTGCGTCCAACGGCAGTGGCAACGTCCCGCAAGCCGTCAAAATTGTCGGCATCGTCTGCCTTGTCGTACTCGCCCTCTGCGTAATTTCAGCGCTGGTAAGGACGCACCGCGAGCATTCTACCGCTGCCAACGCTGCGGCCACCGGCGTGGGAGGGAACCTGCTGAGCGACCCATACAGCAGTGCATACAGCTTATACGGCGATCAGCGAATGCTGCTGTCGGACCCCGACACGCCCACGTGTTTACCGAGGGAGTCGTCCGGGAGCTTCACGTTCCCCCCGATCCAACCACCCGCCGCGTTCGGCACCGTCGATCCCGGGGCCGCCGGCTCCTTCCCGCCGCGTACCTCCACGGAAGGCGTAATGGTGGCAGTGTCGCTGGGTGTTGGGAGCGCGGGGCCTGGTGGCAAAGGCAAGCCGCTCTCCTCATCACAGCTTCCATCGGTGGACCTTGGGAATGTCGCCGGCATCATTGGCAGCGGCAGCGCTGTCGGGGGTTTGGCTGCATTGCAGCGGCAGGCGGGGCAGACACCTGGGGGCGAGGCGGCGGTGTGGGATAATGGGGTGGAGTCCTGTAAAGGGGCTAACGGTAGCGGCAGGAGGGTGCGCTTCCAGGACGACGATACGATTACGGAGCGGCAGTAGAGCACACGTCAGCGCTGGCTTGAGAAGGGCTGCTGTTGGCCCCCAGGGACATAGCAATTGCACGGCTGCGCAGCGTTACATTTTTGCCTCCGGGTGTGAGGCTCTTGCCGGTAGTGCCTTTGGCTAATGCACAATTTTGTCATGAAATGTACAATATAGCACTACGAAAGCATTTTTCTTTGCACCAAGTCATCATTTCTTTTCATGTCGTCTAGTGCTTCATCTAGGGTGTGTGTGATGTAGTTAAGAAATTATATGGTTTATGAGGTTTTGCGTTAGTTGAGCAAGTGTGGGGTTTGGCAAGAATATCGGGCGCCGAAAGTTGGGACAGGGATGCCAAATGCTACGGACCGTGAGCAGCACAGCGCATATTGCGCGTGTCCGCACTTGCTTTGGGGTGCCCTTACAGTCACGGCCCGTTCTATTGTGGGTACCGTACGTCCACTGGTTTAGCTACTCTGCACTCTGCTTCGCCGCTGGATGACGTGTCGTTTCGTTTCCTGGCCTTGGTAGTATTGCTTTGGGGTCCGGCGGTAGAGTGCAGAGCAGGGGTATACTTTCAGAAGCAACGATTAACGGAGACCATGGAACGCGAGGTTGGCTGGGTTCCCGAGGTGCCGGCTGCAGTTCTGTATTCCAGCTAGCAACGTGGCAGCAGCGCCAGCACCCGTCCGCTGCGTGAAAGGAGGATGAGTTCATTAGCCTGGATGTGGACATGGCATGCGGACGTGGGGTGGAGGGGCCAGGAAAAGGGCGGCCCCGGGCACGGGCCGTTCCCTTGTGCGTTCACCTGCAAAAATCTCGTGGTGGCCGTGTGTCCTGCCCGGCCGAAGCGTGTGGATTGCCGAACTGTCCAATCGGCTGTCGTGCTTTTCGCGCGTGCATGCCTTAATTTGCGCAATCCCTTGTACACATCTTGGGGATTGCATGGCGTGGAGATCGCGGGACGTGCAGGTGTTGGTAGTCTTTGAAGTGGTGGCTGCCACCCGTATATGTGAGTGTGGCGAGGCGCGCCACGATGATAGCTTGCATCAGGCATGTGACATGAAGGGGAGACGTATTCTCCCCCCGCCTTTACTCGCATGCATGTAGGATTAGGGATTAGGGTTTTGCGTCAATACAACGTGTTGTGTGCCCGAGCCCCAGAGTGCGGCTGGCAGGCAGTTAAGCCTCAATGAACGCGCATGCTGCAAATCGTTGAGTCACATTTGCATGCTCCTGAATGCATGAGTTACATGATCCCCTGGCTGAGCTGCAGCTGCTTGGTTGTTGAGCGAAGCTGTACGATCTGTTAATGAGTTGCTGCTGAAGGCTGAAGCGTTTGGGGTACACGGGCCATTCAGCGGCGCGGTCGGGTCAGCTGCCGATTTAGGCGATATGGATGACATTGCTTATATGTTGTTTTAGGCTTTGGGCCAAGGATTGGGCTAGGGAAAGAGGCAGAGAGCGAAGCCCCGATGACAAATTAGAGAAGACAAGGCTTTTTGCTGCGGCCGACTGGCACCCAGCGGTCTCCCTAGTCAGACGATCATTTTTTTCAGGCTGCGTTTGTGCAAGCCGCTAGGTCGTCCGGCATGAAGGTTCGCAGCCCAAAATGGTTACAAGAAGTGAAGGGTTCGGCATAGAGCGCAAAGCGCATATGTACGTTCTCAGCGTAATTAAGCTCTCAAACGTTCAAGCTCCAGATGTCGATAACCACAACGCACAAGTCGAATGATCTAGCCATTACTAAGGATTTCGTACATCGGTGGCGGTTAATGAAAAGGCGTTACACGTTTTGGCAGCCTTGGACAAGATTACAACGTCCGTCCATACCTAATAGGTATGGCGACGTTACGTTTCCCGTCTGGTAAAGTAGTTTCTGTCCCGCACGGTATTGTGAAGTCCCTTGGCCGCGCTGATGTTGCTCGCTACCCCGAAGCCGTTACAGTATCTAGGTAGAAATGTGCTTGCATATGCGCATATAAGTTCCTGGTATCATATTAAAGCCCGTGCGTGCAGGGTTCACTGTACCGTTGAAAGCGTCATTTGCGACGACGGTCAGACAGCTTTGAAACTCACCAGCAAAGGATCTCAAAACCCTACTTTGTTAGTCATACCAGGGAAACAGGCCTGCGACTTGCACATAGGTATGTCTCGAACACTGGAGCTCCCATGAGCACTCTGCTTCACGTCACAGTGCTGGCCAAACAAATGTTTCGCATCTGGTATTGCTTAAAAACGCGCATTACAGGCCAGTCGGCAGTTCTTCAGGACGGCGCCGCGTTCAGCCTCATCATCACTCGCCCGGACTTAGCTATTGCAGTCCACATGGAACCGGCACAGCCCCTAGCCGGGGCTGCAGCCAGCACCGCAGTTGCCGGGCCAGCAGCAGGCATGGCAGAAGCGGCGCGCCCTGTCCTCGCCGGGGAGGCCCAGCCGGAGACCTCTCCCGTAGCCCCGGGGCCGGCGAGTGCTGCAGCGCGGGGACAGGGCGAAAACCCGGCGGATGCCGCTGCGACGAGCCTCAGCGGCCACGTCGCTGGCCAGGACGCGACCTCCTCGCCGTCAAAAGCCCACACCTCAGATGGCGACGACAAAGGTGACGGGCTTGCCTCACAGGAAGGCGCCTTTCCGTCTCCCGCATCTCCCGCACCGGACGGCACCGCTGGCCGGAAGGCCGCTGAAGAGAACGCGGGGAGGAAGGCTGGCGGCAAGCTGGGGAGGGCTGTGATGCGAGGCATTGGCAACGGCAGGCCGCCGTCGCAAACAGCCCCCCCTGTGTTGCTGCTTTTAGCGGGCTTGCCGGGATCAGGCAAGTTGCACGATTTGCTGTCTCTGGGTGTGTAAAGAATACGTTCGATTAGGCTAACCCTTATTAAGGATATATACGGCAAGTTGAACCAATTCGGCAAGGCAAGGCAAAGAGAGACGGGTGCGGTGAGACTGCAGGGCCCGCCGCAGCGGCCGTTTGGCTGGGAGCGGCAATAGGTTGTGGTACCCGAAGGCTGCCCCGCAGCGCGGATGTCGATGCAATCCCACGCATGCAGTCTAGCAAAGCACCTTAAGTAATCTAGCGAAGGCAGTTCATTTCACATCACTGTATGGATTTACGTATGCTCACGAGTGGCGGGTAAAAGCCGTTCATGGCTTGGCAATCCCTCTGATATGTGTATCTGCTAATGTCGGTCCAGCCGTTCGCGACCTGGCCACCTGTGAATGTACGGTAGTTGCTGTTTCCGCATAACCCGCAGGCAAGAGCACCTTCAGCCGGGAGCTGCTGGCGGCGTCCCCGGTGGCGTGGGTCCACGTGAACCAGGTACGGCAACACTCATACACCCTGTAGCCCTGTAGCCTGGCTGCTGACTTCGTCAGGGGCTTGAGGACTGAGCTGCTTAAACGGCACGGCGGCGTGCACACCGACATGCAGTACGATGTGCACGGACATGCGGAGGTCTGCGGGTTGGTAGCGGCCGTGTCTGTCAAGTGGCGGCCTAAGCCTTGTGCACCCTGTAAAATTATTGCGCGCTTCAATTATACTCTTGCTTGTGATAGATATCTGGCTGTGTTAAGTCATCTGCGTAGGGGGATTGGGGCCCGCCAAAAGGTGCAGGCACGGAGGCCCCAAGGGCATCGCCCCAAGGGCCTTTGTGCGTCAATTCTTGTACCCCATACATCCCCTGCCTCCAGGACGCAATCCGCGACGGCAAACCGGGCACTCGGGAGCAGTGCATCGCGGCGGTGCGTACTGCACTGGGTGAGGGAGCTTGCTGCGTGGTGGACAGGTGGGTCGACCCGTGGGTCGTTAACTGGATAAGCTGCCGGTGGATCCACCACGGCACGGAAGATGTGGGGCTCCGAAGTGGAGCGCAGCGGCGCCATTCAGAGCAGCAGAGAGTCAAGGTTTGGCAACCTGATTGGTGTTTGGGATGAGGAGATTTTACCATCATTAGAGCGACGGCAACCGATTGCCTCGCCGGTGAGCACGTGTATGCTTCCAGGCTGCGCTTCAGCGGGTTCGATGTATCGCGATCTCTGGGCTCAGTAGCTCCATGCGGTGTAGCGCAGCGAGCACATCACTTCATGCCGCGTGCGCCGGTGCACTGGAGCATGGCTGCGTGGGTTCGAAATGACAATCCAATAGCTGCCCGTGCGCAACGAACTCTCGTCCCCTGCGCAAGGCGCTTGGTATTGCTTTAAGTGCCTTTACTCCACGCAATCGCGTTGCCCTGTTGCCTGCTCCGGAACCTGCTGGCTCGCCGAACTGCCGAATCACCGAATCGCCGAATCGCAAGCTCTTGCTCCCATTTTTCTGGTCGGACTTGCTCTACCCTGCCCGGACACAGCTCTTCCCGGCTTTCTTCCGTCTCACCAATGCCCACCAGGTGTCACCAGGATGGGGCGCAGCGGGCCTCCATGCGCGCTGTGGCGGCAGAGTGCGGCCTGGCGGTGCACTGCGTGGCGCTACAGCTACCAGAAGGGCTGTGCGCCAAGCGTGTTTCTGATCGGACGGGCCACCCGGGAGGGTTGCAGGTAGGTGGTGTTCGGGCTTTCGACTTCAGCCCTTGTTTCCGCCGGTACGACGTCGGCTCATGGGGCCCATTGCGTTGCGACGGAAGATGCGGTGCCTGGGCAAGCGGAGCGGCGCGTGGTGTGCAAATTTGGCGTGCCGCTTCGGTGGGAAAAAGTGGCGGAGAGCAGGTCACCGCAGGTTTAGTTATCATCAAGGTATTGGCCTTTGAACGAATCCTCCTTCATCTCTCAGCGTTCTGAGACGTGCTGTCCCTCATATGATGCCGTGCAGCTTTGGTTACCGCAACCTGGTTCACGTACGACCAAAATCTCTGAAGATTAAAGATTAAAGTGTCTGCATCCCGGCTGCGACTGTTCGTGCTGCAGGGTGATGGCTCTAAGAAGGTCGTGTTTATGATGGCCGGTCAGATGAAAAAGAACAGTAACTGGCCGCCGGCGCTGTCCGAGGGCTTTGCCTCAGTCATGGATTGCCACAACGACGCTGACGCGGCCGCAGCTGTACGAGCATGGGCGCTGTACGGCAGCGACGGCTCCGGCGCACAGTCCACCGGACTAAAATTGGCTGTGGGCAGTACGGCGGCAGCAGCGGACGCTGTCGGCAGCAGCGGCAGCGGCGCAACAGCGCCTGCTACAGCAGCGGCCGAGCCAGTGGCGCAGGGGTCAGCTACGGCCCCGCAGGGTCCACCGGCAGCAACCCCCGCCGCGGCCGCAGCCGCAGTGACTCTGGCAGTATGGCGTGAACATGTGGCGAAGCGCAAGCCGGTGGCTGCAGGTATCACATCGTTCTTCAAGTCCGCAGGCGTAGCAGGTGCAGCTGGAAGACAAGCGTCCGGTAGTGGGGCAGGTGCCGTGACTGGCGCGACTCAAGGGAAGCCTGGCACATCTGGAATTTCTGCACGCAACGGCAGCGGCCGCAACCCCCCAGGTGCAAGCAACGCCGCTGTAGCTGGCGGTGCAACAGCCTTGCACGTCGCGATACCAGGGCGGGCAGGCCAGGGTGGCGAAGATCAGAAAGCGGGCAATGCCGCAGCAGGTGCTGGAGTAAAAAAGGCCACGCCTCCTACGAGCATCAGAGTGAGCAGTCAGCAGCAGCGAACTGAGCCCCCGGCTGACGAGCGCAGCGCAAAGCGCACAAAGCGGGTGGAGGCCTCCGCGGAAGGGGTGGGCAGGGGCAATAGGCTTGGCGGCGGCAGCGGGGATTTGATAGCAGCAGCAAGTGGGAGTCCCCCGAGGACTAGTAAGTCGAATATGACAGATGCAGGCGGCAGCTCGAGCCAGGGGCGTGGTAGGGACTCAGGCAAGGGCTGCGGTAACCAGGCTGGGCGGAATGCCTTTACCGTCCTTATGGCATCGGTGTCGCGCCAGGCGGCTGATTGCAATGGGGGCTCGGGCGGTGATGGCGGTGGCGGGGCCTCAAAGCGCGCCAAGCATTCAAGCGGCGCTGACACCGGTAGGTTTAAAACTGTGGAATCCGCTCTATCCAATGTACGACTACTTGATTGTTGATTCCTTGTTGGAGAACAGGAGTGGAGCTCGACTCAAGGTTCAAGGTGAACGCGCCTTGGGCGCAAGCGCTACGCATCATAGCGCTTCATCCTGAGGAAGCGCAGCAGGATGTGCTGCATCAAGATGACAAGGTGAGGTACATAATCAACCTGCAGAACTGCCGTTTCCTTTGCTGCGCGCCCTTGCGCCACAGAATCCCTTTGGCTTTGTTCCGACTTCCACCGTGGCTGGGCACGCTGTCTAGGTGGTTATGATCCGAGACCCTTTCCCAAAAGCAAAGCATCATGCGCTCGTCATCGCACGCGACCCTGTGCTGAGAACAATCGCGGATCTGCGCAAGGAACATCTTCCGCTGCTGGCACACATGCAGCGAGTGGCAATCAATTGGGTGCAAGAGGTGCGCGGCAAGGTGAGTTTACCTGGAATTGAGGGGTTGCAGCTTGCAACGAAAGTCAAGTCTGTGATTTGCGCCGCAGGACCCAGCGGTCGTGGCCTTCAAGCTGGGCTTTCATGCGGTGCCGTCGATGTGCCAAGTGCATCTTCACGTCGTGTCACAGGTGCGTTGTACTGGCTACTAGACGAAGGCCTTACTACTGCCATTGCTGGGAACGTTCACCCGATCTTAGGGTTTTCCACTTCGGTGGCATCACTATGTCTTTCCTCCTTGGTTTGATTACAGGACTTTGACTCAGCGGCACTGAAGAACAAGAAGCACTGGAACAGTTTTACCACTGCGTTCTTCCTGCCCTTGGATGTTGTCGAGCGCGAGCTCAAATCCCATGACCGACTCAAGCTTATAGATCCAGAGGAGCAGGCTCAGCTGGAGGGCCGCGAGCTGCGGTGTCATGGCTGTGCCAAGCCTATGAAGTCCATGCCAGAGCTGAAGAAGCATATTGTTATTTGCGATGCCGTAAAGCACCTCCCAGGCATTTGAGTATAGGCGATCTGGGGCAGTGTGTTAGAAGGGGCCTGTCATGTAGTGCTCGTTGAATGACGCTGTCTTGGATTAGGAGCCATTTGTGGGCCCTTAAGCGATGCCGCACGCAGGTCAAAGGTGCAGATTAGCTTGGGCCACAGTGCCAGCTGGCCGAGATACGGACTTGGTGACCGGTGCGGTTCCCTGTCGTTTGACGGTGGGTTGTGTGGATGTGTGGTTGCAATGTTGCCAGTGTTTGGGCAGATGAGTTAACCCTCCCACTCCGGCTAGCGGTCCAACACGGAGGAGCAGTTGCGTGGTGGTTGTACCTGTACATAATACGGCTCACATATTGTCGATAAATACGTGCCAAGGAGATCTGCCAGCATATATAGAGGCCTTTTCAGCAGCCAGCTATTACGGCGGTGGGACGGCCAACAGTGCCGGTAGCAGCGGTGGCTTCAGCAGCAACTGGGAGCAGCTGCATGAGGGTCACAAGCTCGTTCCCCAGCCTGGCATTCCTGCAACGTTTGGGCACTCAGTTCAGTGTGAGGATAATGGCAAGGATACGTGAAGCTTCGCTGATGACAACATGTTCGCGCCCATAGATGCCAGGGGTGCTGCTGCTGCACTGTATTTGTGTGTCATGTATAACGACCGTTGTCATGCCCAGGTGAAAGGCCAGGGGCCGAATGCATCCCCGCTCTTCCCATACGCCGACCTTGCAACTGCAACCAGCAACTGGGAGCACACTGGGGCAGTGCGTGGATTGGTCGCTAACCGGAATGCCTATCCCGTGGAACCAGGAGGTGCATTAGGGTTGTACAGAGAAGGAAATTAGTGGTTGGGATATTAAGTTGTGGGAAATGGGTCGGACTTTGTTTATCTCCCCTGATTACCGCGGAGCTTTACTCCAGGCGAGCTGTGAACCTCATTGGGTCGCCGGGCTGGACACGACAGCAAATTTCTTGCGGGGATAGTGGAGGCCATACTCTAGGGAGGTATGCCAACGCTGTAACAATGCGCTGTACATTTGGCGGTAGAACCATTATCCCAAACCAGGGCACCCACCTGGGACATAAATAGACACATGGGATTGTACGTCGGGTAAAGGAAAGAGTGCATGAAACTGGCTGGACTATCGCCCCCACAAACCCAGCACGACCATCGCGCTTGAACATGCTCTCGAGTGGCTGTAACGAGCATGGGTCACATTACATGGGTCACATTACTCTCTTTCGCATATCCATTATCGTTCGTCCTGTAATTCGGTATTCGCCATGAGGCCTTCGCTTAATCTGATGCGTTTTGCCGTACTTCCGTCGGTGAGCGGTCGATAAGACGGCTCACCACCCATCAATCGGGGTCTTTCAGTCCCACCACACATGTGGAGAGGTTCTTAAATAGGCGCGATCGTGACAATGGCTGATGCCCCAGTCAATCCAAGTCAGAAAAAACCTAGAATCAGGAAAACCTAGAAAATGCGCGCGTAACCGTGGAATGCCTGGAACAAGCGCTCTGTCGTGGTAATAGTGTTACGATAGCCAGTCGATGATGAGTCGAAGTGCAAACTGGAACGATAGAGGAAACGATGAGGGGAATGAGGTTGGTGTTCGGAGGGAGTTTAATTCTGTCAAACCGCGACCCTCCCGACACACCTGTATTTCACAAAATAAGAAGGCCTTCTTATTTTGCCGCGCCTCATATTAGGGTCGCGCCTCATAGGAATGATCATCCTGACCTACCCTTACAACATCGCCAAGAGACTGCACATTGTTTGTCAAACGCCTTTCTCTGATCTATACTGAGATGTCCTAAGGTACATATTGATTAAATAGATGCGGTGACCACACCATGTGAACGAAATCGGCCCTACACGGCCTTGGGGTATGTTACCGGAAGTAATCGTGTCAATGTTTCTATTACTTTAAACTCGTGATGAAAATGTTTGCGCACTAGCACCAACACTCCAGCGGTCCGGGCTTTGTGCAACATGATTCATGTTACCAGTTAAGAACACTTAAAATTTACATGAGGGAAGCTTTGATGATAAAACAACTTAATAAATTTGACTATGATTAATACGCGTTTGGGCCACTCATTCGTGACCGCTTCAGAAGCGGTATAAGAATCTAGGTCACCTTTACAGCCAGTACACCGGAATGGAGCAGAGAGTACTATATCATACCTTGTAATGTGTTGGAGGGACTATGGGATCGCGTGAGCTGCCTAGGCTGAAGCCTTTGCATTCTCGTACCTGTCGTAATGCAGCTCCTGAGTTCGGAAGCTGCAGCTTTGACTTCGTATTTCGTCCATTCCTCACTTCTGTTAGTTTCACTACTGAGCTGTGACGCTTGCGTATCCCAAAACCCCATGCAAAAAGCTTGCATATCACCTTTATGTTAACATGACGGCCTTCTGCTTTCTAACCCTTATACCCTGACAAACATCCATATCCGGTCTCGCTTCTGGCAAAGTCCCTAGGCTCCGAGGTGGGAATTTTTCGCCGCCTTTAGTGTTTAGGACGGAGGGCCATGGCCGAGACGCTGCTTGAGCAAACTCGCTGTAAGTAACACAGGCCGGCGCCATAGAGTTATTATTCAACAGTCTGTCAGCTATTGGGTAATGGCCTTGCAGCTTTACACGAGGATGTGGAGCGGTTTGAGCGGATTATTGTGAAGGATCTAAAGCAAGAAACGAAGTCACATAAAGACAAGATAATGCAGTCCCATCGCGTTCGCAAACGGCTCGACCAGATCCAGGATGCTGCTCGCAAATTGGTGAGCTGCCGGCAGGGTTATCGTGATAGGTTATACGATAGCTACAAGGCAGCTGTCGTCTTGTAGGTTTGAGCTGTCCGCTGGCACGCACCCTGGGGGAGGGTTTTGAGCTGTGCGCCGTTCCTCCCTATGTAGCTGAAAATATACGAAGACGAGGACAAGGCCCGGAAGGAGGAAATCGAGGCTCTGGGGGGTGAGGATAAGATTTTCAGCAAGTTCTATGACCGGTTAAAGGAGATTCGGGAGTATCACAGAAAGTTTCTCTCCAACGACCTTACCGAGGTGAGCCTGAAGTCCATTGGGCTCGTTGTCCTGGCACTCTGTGACCTGCACTGGCGACGTGGCTTCCACCTTAACCATTTTTTCCAGGCAGAGGACGACACACTGCTGCTGAAGGAGGAGCCCCACGTGGACTTCACGGGCGAGGAGGGCTTAGGCCGATACCTGGATATGCATGACCTTTACCTACGGTTCCTCAACCTGCAGAGCCTACAGCAGCGCAGCAAAGGGGGTAAGGGGGGCAAGACCGCTGCCACAGCTGACGCTGGGGACGGCATAGTGGCTCGGGTGGGCTTGGACGGCAACGAGCTGGCTGAGGAGGGCGGCGGACAAACAACGGAGAAGCCGCTAGAGTATTATGAGTACCTAACAAGCTTCTCGGACTTCAGCGCTATGCCGCGGCAGCAGAAGATGGGAAAGCAGTACAGGTGTGTTACTGGGGTTGTATCTGAGCCAGCTAGCGGTTTTGAAGTCCATGATCGTGGGCCAAAAGCTGTATCATCTTTTTGCAAATCAAACAATGGTGCCATTAATTGCCGTTGACAACGATGGGGTTAGGTACCGGCATAGATGCGGTGCTGGTTAGCATGGAGGCCCTGCTGGCAGATTTGCCATCGTGAGAAACACTCCGGCCTAGCGTCGACGCATGGGTTGGGGAATCTATACCAACTCGCGCGGGGAGCGAACCTTGCGCTCTTTCATCTGGCGTCGCGGGGCCACAGGTGTAACCTTTAGGCCGCCAGGTGTGCGCGTGCTCGATATTCCTCTGGGGTCCCATGCATGGCTGCTGTGCTGCTGTTTTTGCGTAAAATGGACATGAATTAAACTCTATTGACTTTCTAACGCAGCGAGTACCTGGCGGCTCTACTCGGCTACCTGTGTAGCTTCTATGAGAGGACGCAGCCCTTGGCGCAGCTGCAGCGGATGTTAAACACGGTGGGGCCTTGCGCTCCGGAAAGGAGCGGGGACTTGGGTCGATGGGGGCGGCGCCCGCTGTGCTGCCGTCTGTGGGTTTGGGGCCCATAGATAATATCTGGCGCTGAGAATCGGGAACATGAAAGCCTCTTGTGTGATGGATCCGTCCTGAAATTTCCTGGTGGCAAACCCAACACTAGGTAGCAGGACCATTAGATCAGGTTGCCACGGCGCCACGATGGCTTTTTGATATAGCCGCCTTGTGGTCTAGTTTGCAGTGAGTGTCTTTGCGGCTTGTCGTATGTGTTATCCTGCGCGGTGCCCTTGGAGTGTCGGCTTGCAGCCAGCTTGGTGCGCAAAGAGCTTTGGACTTGTTTGGTGGGTCATGCACGTGCGTTCCTGACCTTCACGTCCAACGCCCTCACCTTACTGCCATCATATTTCCGCGGTTGTGGCACATGGGCAGGTGGAGAAGGACTTCTCAGCCCGCTGGGAGCAGGGGCAGATTGCGGGCTGGGAGGACCGCGGCGTCGGCAACGTTGCACCATCGACCAGCGGGATAGAGCTGGAGGCGTTCAGCAGCGCGGAAGAGCTGGAGATTCTAGGTGAGGGGTGGGGGCTGGGAGGGTTTAATAAGTCATTTGATTACACCGATACGGATAAGGTGCTCCCCTGGGACCGTCAGCCTCCAAGCACAAAGATTTTAAGCTCGGATGTTCTGTGAGAATGGGGTATCTGGCGCAACACGCGGTAATTCGTACCTGATTGGCATGGGTGGGGGTTCGAAGGAGGCTACTCAACCACGGAGTGAGGACCACGAGGCTAGCTCGAGTTGCTAAGGCGCTTACATCCTGAAGCAGGCGCAGCAGGAGCTGCTGCACGCTGGATGTACTAATACAGTTACTCTAGGGCTATGCGTTCGGATGCTAGGAGTATCAGGCAGCCAGAAGAGCAGCATGCGGGGCTGGAAGTAGATCCCGCTGCCGGGCCCAGCCAGGGATGGTGCAGTTGCGCACCCTTAGAACCCCTGTCCGTGCACGGCGGCCCGGAGTGCGCCGCGAGATGTGGTCGCTCGCTTAGCTCGCCCCGTCACGCGGGTCTCAGCCAATGGACTCGTTGAGGTGAACAGAGAGCAGTGCCATGGCGTCTCCGCACGTGATGATGTGCGATGTCATACTTATATCTGTAGATGATGGGAAGGCCAAAACCTACGTTTCACTCATCCTTACGCATGTGCGCGCATACACGGAATGTGTGTGCATATGCAGGCGCTGACCGGCTTAAGGAGGCGCTGACTTCACTGGGCCTCAAGTGCGGCGGCACCACCAAGGAGCGGGCGGCGCGGCTGTGGCTCACTCGGGACACACCGCTGTCGCAGCTGGACCGCAAGCATTTCGCTAAAGGGGTGGTACCGCCTTCGGACAGCGACGTGGCGACCAACAGCAAAGCTGCACATGCACGACATGTAGGTCGTGGGGGGGCCCCCCGGGCCTGCTGCGTGATGTTTTGGGGATTTGTTGACATTGCAAGGTTCATAGAGACACACCTGACATCGACTGCTGTTGTGCCTGGCCCTGACAGGTGGCGCTTTTAGAGGTGGAAATCCGCAAGATGGCGGAGCTACTAGTTAACGTGATTGCGGATACCAAGGGCAAAGTGGAGAAGAAGCAGGCGCAGACGTATGAGGAGATGCAGGTACGGGTGCCGGTGGATGCGCACGTGGGAGGAGGGGCCCGACGGCAGTTATGGGTTGTTGGTCGCTATCTGCTATTTTAGAATGATGGAATTACCGTTGAGCGCTCGAGAGCACGTTTACGCCGTGTAGGCGCCGAGGAGGTGTCTTTGCCTGGGCATCACAGGCGCTACTATCGCCGCGGCATTTTACCGTGTTTTCTTTCGAAGCCTCTCCAACAGACCACTTCGTGGACCTCCAACCTTGTTTGCACCGTCTTCCGTTCAGGCTGAACTTGCCGAGGCTGAGGCCGAGGTGGCAGCCCCCGAGGACGACGAGGAGGATGAGTTTGTTTACAACCCGCTCAAACTGCCGCTGGGATGGGACGGCAAGCCGATCCCGTACTGGCTGTACAAGCTGCACGGACTCAACCAGGAGTTCAAATGCGAAATCTGTGGCAACTACAGCTATTGGGGCAGGTGCGATGACAGTGTGTTTGGGGACGGTTGCGGGTATTGGGTTTTAGTACTGGTATGCTGAGATGGATCGCGGTTCAGTTTTGTGCAGCGTTGCCGCCCATCTTAAGTCGCGGCTGATTTAGTCGCGGCTGATCTGCAACAGTATAGCAAGGAGAACCTTATACCGTACTAAATGTACATTGCTCGCTCAGGGCTTGTTGTTCAGGCGCGCGAATTGAGTTCTGCATCTGCATGCTGCTGCCCCATTAGTAACCCCTGTCCTGACTCAGCGCAGACGTGCTTACGAAAAGCATTTCAAGGAGTATCGCCACCTCAACGGCATGCGCGCCCTGGGCATCCCCAATAACAAGATGTTTTACGAGGTCACCAAGATTGAAGACGCACTGCAGCTGTGGAAGAGCATTCAGGTGCGAGGGGCAGGGAAGCCGGCGAGTAGATTCTCAGCTTTTACGAGAGGGAGCTACTCGAATGCGGAGTAACGTGGAGAGTAGATGGTGTGGATTCATCACCGAGGTCTGTCTAAAGCCTGGAGAAGTGAGCGGGGACACACAATTGGGAAGGCACCTTTTATCGGTTGGCCCATCGCCTTGCATGAAGTAATTGACGGTTGGGCGCACTTGCGACGCTGCATGCAAGGCCAATCTTTTTCCTTCCTCGTCCGCGCCGCAGGAGAAGGCCAAGGGTGATTTCAAGCCCGAGGACGAGGAGTTCGAGGACGCGCAGGGCAATGTGTACAGCAAGAAGACATATGACGACCTCAAGCGACAGGGCCTTATCTAGAGACCCGGTTTTTGCAAAATGGTGCTGCGAATTTCGTTACGCAGGTGCTCATCGTGCACGACATTTGGCGGTGTTCATGCGTGCAACGAAAGGTTCAGGGCGGGAGCCTTGGATATCATGAATGTGCCGGCGTAACGATAATGTCTAAACGTAAGAGCACACGGCGTGGCCCGGCAAAACTGACGGGCACGATTTCTGTGAGCATTTGGGGTTGGGGCGAAACAGGGGCTGAGCAGGCGATGCTGTTTTGGATGGGGGTTGGGCGCCATGCCACTTTTGGGCTGCCTGCACTGGAAACCTGGACGTGCTAGTGTGGAGGAATAAAACCCTTGGTGTCGCTGCAGCATTTGTCCTTGAGAGACGTCCTTGGTGCGGTATTGGTGCGCTGTGCCATACTTCCAACGTGCATGTGCAAATTGCATGTCGTAGAGTTCCGTCGCGAAGCTATGCATGCATTTATGGTGGTGTGTACCCGCATTCGCTTCCCACGCGCACACAGCAATGCTGCTATTGTGTCGGGAGAGGAGATGGCCGTCCCTTCGATACCGGGCAGGCACAGCCCCAAGCCTCCGGTCACGTGAAAAACATAGCAACAGAATGCCCCCCCCCAATCTCATACAAGTTCCGCACGGATGCGGAAGACGTCCGTAAAAGCTGGGACGGCCAATAGCCATTATTGTGACGCCGCTCGCAACATGGCACAGCACCGATGCCGCATTTCACGGCAGGGCTGAAGAAGCTGCTCCGCCGGCTTTTCCCTTATCGAATGTGGATGATGTGGTCAGCGCGATGCGATCAGTTTAAGAGGAGTTGCTGGCAGTTGACAGTTGCGGCTGACGGTTGCTTCTTAGTGATACGGAATGATGTGGGGAGCCGGTTTGCCTGGGATACACCTGAAAATACAGATGCAACCAGGTTTGCCCCCCGAGATGATAAGGAGGTTGTGCAAGCACCTGATGTACGCAACTAGGTGGTTTGACAGCAGGAAAATGATGCCCAACGGGAGCATGGTTATCTGTGAAGCCGATGGCAAGGTAAGACAGGGAATTCGTAGTTTGCAAATGGAAGGGATGTTATTGCACTCCTCACCAATATGTGTGTGTTACATGGTCGTGGGGTGCGTTCCCCGTACCTGCAAACCGCCCAATACGAGCCGAGGGCTTAAGCACCATAAACACCATCCTACCTCGCACTTCAGACAAAGCAAGTGATAAAGGATACGACCGACCAAAGGGAACGATAGAGTTGCGGTGGGACCATATACGTTCTAGCATGCTTGCCAGGCGTTCAGGTTCCCACTTCATAGCGTCCTTCATATGCTCGAAGCGTGGAAAATCCATACCATATCTGATTTTGTCGTACACCGGGCTGTCCACCAAATGTGTCTCATCTTCGATATGGCAATGAATGCCGCAGCAGGGGCATACTCCCTCCTCCCTAGGTATATAACGCCGTCCCTTGCGCGCTCTGTTAGCCGCCAATGCCCAACAGCAAAGCCTAAACTGCATAAGCTAGCGATTCGCCGAACGCGGGATAAACATTTATATGCGGGAGCACCTTCCTGCCCGCTTGTTAGGCCGCTAGACCCATCCAATGCTTACACTTCGCCATGGATTCCTGGTTGCTTGCCGTCTGACGGGTACACGTCTGCCTGGACATCTAGACGCGTATGCTTCCAACCACTCACCAATCGGTCCTTGAACTCCAATACCACACCTTCTGGCAATGGCCTGTTCATCAGCCATTCCACTCGTTCGTCTAACTCGTGTAGCCCTTGCGGGGCCTGTTTCCATACGTCGTGCCCCTGAAAACTTAGTAAACTGAGGAGTAGTGCCCCCTATCCGGGGCCTTCGGGGTTGGAGGGGGACTCTACGACCTCCTGTCGCAAAACTTGGTATACCACAGACCCACGCTGTAAACGGACACGGTTCCAAAACCTCACAATCCGCTTGAAAAACGTGGTAGTGTAGGGGTAGCCACGACAATTCATCGAACAGGAAGCGATGCGTTGGTCTGACAGCTCCCGCAATTCCTCGCATGAACGATACCTGAAGCTGCACCGCTCCGTGCCTCGAAGGGCCCCTCCGCAAGGTTCCTCGCATCACTCCGCCTCCTAAGCCTGTACAAGACTTCAGCTAGCATAAACGGGCCCCACGCTTGACAGCCAGTGACAGCCATACAACAGTATTACTCGTACCTGCGTATCAAAACACCTCATCCTCACATATGGGGCGAACACTTTAGCTTATCCAATTTTGTACTCAACGCTAACATAGCTGCTCTAGCTGTGTCGTACAACTGTTGGCAGCAGGCCTTAAACGGCGTTCTGGTCCATACACTAACCCCAGATATCGTGCACTCTCCTTAGCCGGTATGGCCTTACCAGCAAGCCTGAGCTCATCACACGATCCTTGAACAGCACTCCTTGTGTCGCTGTAGCTCGCAAAAACGAGGCGTTCACATTTCAACACATTTGGCCGCATCCCAAAATCATCACAGAACATGTCCACATTTTAAGCGACTCCCCCATGCGCCCCGGTGTCGTTGCCAGAAGACTAACAGGAGGGTAGGATTCGGGCTGGAATTAGGGAAGAGCTCTGTCGCAGAATTAGCCTGGATTTTATTCCTGACAAAAGAATTGGTCTGCCGAGGTCTGGAATTGTTCTGGCGGACCCGCCGGAGGTATTCGAATTGCGCTGTGGAGCCTCGGAATTGGGCTGTGCTGCGCCTGAATTGGCCTGTCCGGGTGTCGAATTGGCCTGTCCGGGTGCCGAATTGGCCTAACAGGGTATTGAATTAGCCTGACAGGGCATCGAATTGACCTGTTCGGGGTGTCAAATTGGCCTGGCAGGGTATCGAACACATGTAGTCTGGTCGAGTGCCGGGGGCCCTTAGCAGGACTGAAGCACAGTTCAAGACGAGGCGTGTGGATATGTCTGCTTGTCTGAACGAAGGAATGAATGAATGAATAGACCGGGTGTTAAAATTGTGAGCGACTTGCCATGCAGACACACCTTTGGTTCTGGTCGGTTCGGGTGATGGTAACTTTTCACACATACACACACAATGAATGTATGGGTGAATGAGTACGGAGTACGGTAACAAGGCGTGTGGGGCTCCTGCCACTTCCTGTCCCATATGGGGCAGGAAGTACAAGCATGTACGGATTTGAAACCAACAAACATACGAGAGATATTTGTAAGTGCTCCCCTTGTTTCGTAAAGTTCCTTCAACTTCCGCGATTCTGAATGCGTGCCTGAGAGTTTGGGGGCAGACCCTGCAATTGGTCTAGATTGCTCGGTAGAAGGGTTTAAATTGACACCTGGGACAAGTTGAATTGCCGGGACAGGCCCTTGAATTGGCCTGACAGGGATATGAATTGGCCTGGCAGGGACATTCCGACAGTCAGAATTAGCCTGACAGGGATACGAATTAGCCTGGCAGGGACATTCGGACAGTCAGAATTAGCGTGTCCAGGGTGCCGAATTAGGGAAGCACGGGAATTGTGCGACCGGGGCAGTCAAAAGAATTGCTCTGCCCGACAGTTTGTCCTACCCTCTAGACTAACGTAATCAGCATATAGGAGGATGGGCATTCGCTCGTTTCCAACCTTTAGTGCATCCTCTGGCCGTGCCCTGGTGTTAACACCGTCATGCATATCGATGGCGCAGGGGCCATGCTAATCTTCTCTGTATTTTTCCAATTTTAACATTTGTGCCCTTGGCCCTTCGGCTCGTATGGGTAGTTTTACAGGTATGGGATTACGCACCCCCAATCATGTACCACACACACACATATTAAGACCTAACTTCTGCTCCCGTCCGACCCGGGTTCAAATCCGCCTGCCGACTTATCGGGTGATAGCGAGGTGGTGTAATGGGAGGTGGCCGTTGATCCGCTGGATTTGGTTGGATGCTGGTGGCGAGTTGCCAAACTCACAGAGTGCTCTCTGAAGTCGGATGGGGTGAATGGTTTAGGGTGCCCCTCGAGCGGGGGAGAGCAGGGAATTGCCTCGGGAAGCCACTGGTGAAGCTTAACCACCATGTAACAACATCAACTTATCGATGGCGTCCGCAAGAGTTTTAATATAAAGTCCCGGCAGCTCGGTTGATAGTGGACAGCCTCGTTTTACACCCTGTTTTGACTCAAATGCACCCCCTGTCTTGCCATTCGTCTTGATGACCATCTTAACCTCGTCGCATTGCCCGCATCAGCGACCGCCGCGGCTGCTGCGGCAGCATGGACCCTTCGACCCCTCTCTCCTGCAAACGAAGCCACATTATCTCCCGCGGCACCTAGTCGAACGCCTTCTCGAAGTCAATTTGAACAATGATTAACGGCCGCTGTCCAGGTTGGCTATGCCTAGCAGTAAGGTGCTGCTTGGCAAAGAGATGATGTGTAGTACCGAATCCTCTCCTGAAACCCGCTTGGCCTCGGTGCCTAAGTGAGAGTGTCTCCCCCGTGCGAACGTGCCTATCCAGGAGGACCAGCGCGTAACATTTCGCCAAGGCGCCCCCTACTGCTATGCCCCGGTAGTTACTCGGCATGGTGGGGTCACCCTTCTTGTATATTGGGTTGAGGACGGTAGTTGTAAACTGCCGTGGGAAGTCCCCAGTCCCCCAGATGTGTTCCAAAAACACGTGCAGCACCGGAACAAGCTGATTCACTTCCCGCCGTCGCCGTCGCCTATCATTACTCGCGCGGAGCCTTCCTCTCCTTGAGGCGAACGCGCATAGCGGTAAGGCACTACCTCCAAGCCTGGTGCCTTACTGTTATGCAGCCGGTCAACAGCACGTGCGACTTCTTCTCTAAAATGCGGGCGGTCATGGTGCGTCAGGGGGGGAACTGGGGGGAAGGCGCGATGTGGCGTTCGGTTACAACGAAGGGGGCGATTTTATGGGCAAAGCGGCTTTAAAAGACTTTGCCTTAACAACGAAGGCCACAGCAGGCCACGCACAAGACGAAGCAGAGCACGATATCCGTCGATCTGATGCAGCGATTTTGCGCGAAATCGCGTCTAGCTGTGATGAAAGAGCGCAGCATTCGTGCAGGGGAAGGCCCCTGAAGGAGGGCACTATGTGGATGTACGGCAGCAGTCAACAATTCATGCGACAGCACTATTTGCTGAAGCTAGGCCTTAAGAGCACAAGCAGCGCTTTGATTTGGGGAGGTACAGAACACAGGCAGAGCGCAAGCTGGAGCACCGGACAGTGACATCTGTTCAGGGGAAGACGTGCGCGGCAGAAAGGACGCAAGCTCCGTAAGTCTGAGCGCGTCTGAGAAATACAAAGGTGGAGGCGTGGGATGAGGACAATTGGGCAAAACATTAGCTATTTGTGGCCACGCATTGGCGTTTTAAAGTACAGTATGCGACCTGCGGGTACCCTACGAGGCATAAAGCAGCGGGCATGGGCAAGAAATGGAAAGTTTCGGTCTGTAGCTAGGCCAGTTTAGGTCGGCACCTTCAGTTGCGCTGGATGAACTAGAATCTTGATGGATAATAATATCCAAAAATTGAAAAATATTGGATGCCTTTCTTTTGCTGGAAGCTCGTTTGCAGTAGGTCTGAGCCGAGCTCTGTTCCGCGCGCATAGCGGAAGGTGCAGACGGCGTGCGGGAAGGTGTGGGGACTGTGCATTTTAGCCCAGACTCGAAGTCCCTACAAATAAACTGTTTGTCGGTATAGCCCCTTGGTCGACGAAACAGCGGTTATATTTATAAGAATGGTGAGCTGCACCGCGAAGAACGTGCACTGGTTAGCGCGGCTCCGCTGCCGATGGCGTCGACTCCAGAAACAGTAGGTTTACAACTTCACGAATTAACATTACAATGGCATCGGCAGTGCCACTATCGACGACATCGAGTTATCGACGACATCGCGCCATTAACCACAAAATAACAGGACAATAGAAGGTAAGGAAAACCATGATAACATATGCTAGACGTGTGCATGTTGGAAGTTATGGAGCTTGCGGAGCGATGAAGTGGTTGTCGACGGCCCTCCACTGCACCTACTGCAACTCGCTCCATACTTTGCTCCGCAGCCATAGGCCTGAGCCTCAAAATAGCGCAATTTTATTAGTTCAGATGAGATAAATGCATTCCAACGACACAGCTGTAATTAGTCGTATGCAATATCGAGCGCCACACGCATGGTTAATAACATCTCAGGACACCGTTGTTCGACGCATCATACTCATGCCCCCGGCGCACGCCAGACAAAAAGTAAGACAAAATTCTAGGCAAGATCTCACAAAATACAGCATTTGCTTCAATATTTCAGTATGCAACCTGCTTTGCTGCGTGCTGTGTATACAGTGCAGGAGTAGTTCCGTGCGTTTGACCCAGAGCATAGTAGGTTTTTGCATGTTGCAACGGATGGATCGGTAGTAGATCTACTATCTCGAAGAAGCAGATAAAACAGCAATTTCGACACTCAACATTTCCAGCCTCTTGCTATATGTTGGCCTGCTGTATGCAGGTACTTCCTTCATCATTTACCTCAATAATGGCAAGCACTTATTAGTCAACGTTTCTGCGAACTAAACTGTTCTGTCAGCCTATTGTAAAGCTTTTGTCCGTTAGGCCGCCAACCGCATTTAGGGTAAGGACCGTACAAGCCCCAGTCCACATAAGTCCACTCAATAACAACACCGTCCGCCGAACGGCTGGAGAAGAGTTGACAAGTGGAAAAGTGGACATGGACCAATGTATGTACAACCACGCAAGACCGCGCCTTGGGCTCAGGGAAGCCCCAGCACGGCGGATCGTTGTCGCCCTCGCTGCAGCCGCACTGGTGGTAGCGCTACTTTGGTCGCCTGTTTGCCCTGTCATGTTTGCACGGGGGCAACGCGTGGCCGGCAACGTTGGCTCTTTCGAGGAGGTTACCATCGCTGATGTCATAGGGAAGGATTGGCTCCTGACGGGCATTAGCACCCCAGAGGCCCAAAAACTTGGTCTTGTGGATGGCACAGTGACCACAGTTACAGGCGATGTGGTGGATATGTCCTCAAAACTGTCTGCCCCAACGCAATGCAGCGGCCGTCTGTGCGTCGACCTCCAGCAGTACGCCGCCGATCACCCCGAACTGGCAGACATCAACGCCAGAGTCCTGCTGTGGCGTCCGAAGCTCGTAGGCACCATTGCCGGGAATCTGTACGATCCAAGCACCAAGGATTGGGCCTCGGTGAGTGTGCCATGCGCATTGGCAAATGTGCGTGCGGATGTGTTGAGAATGTGTTTTAGTGAACATCCTGAAAACTATACTCAGCTTAGTTTTCAGGATGCTCACAACAACAGAATGCCCAGTACCGATTTAGCAGGTCCAGGAGCAAAAGGTCTGCTCCAAGGGGTGGAAGGAATTTCCATGCGCGCCCGCCCACAGCGGTGCAAGGTAAAGCAGCTGGTGATCAGCATGCAAAAACAAGAGGTGGCGTCAGCGTTTTCCACAGAAGCTCAAGTAAAAATATTGAGGCTGTTGTTGGGATTAAAAAACACGAGCAGGTTGCCTGAGCGAGCAGGCCGCTTGGGCGTTCTTGGGCAGCCGGCCTACCTGCCCTGCTAGCAAATAGCCATGCAACTAATGCTCTCAATGCAAATTTGAAAGTCCACAGAATGAGCGCAATACATGTGATACCATCGACATGCTGGTGAAGAGCCGGTTGCCGCGAAGAAATAATAATGGCCATTGCCCACGATGACAGGCCCCGAAGTAGCGAGTTATCCTTGAAATCTTCTTAAACTGTTTTAGTTGACATTATAATTGAAGCTTGCAGCTTGAGATGGGCAGCTGCAAGCGTTTTATTAGTGAAGGATATTTTTCCTGTACCTCTGCACAGTCAGTAAAGATTTTTTATCGTCTATAGAAACGTTCATCGTATTATATATCTAGGAACCAGAAATAGATTGTATGTATATTCGTTGTATAGAATAGACCGTGTCATAGTATGATAGGTAGGCCTGAAAGCCTGTAGGGTACCGTAGTGACAGGAAATGTTCGTGATTTTATTGTTCGAGACACCCTCAAAATTACACCCGAAATTATTGGTGAAACTGTTGAATTCGTGAGAAGCCAACGCAACCGAAGCAACGGTGCCTGCAATATTCGTTAATGGTTCCGACTCAGAACGCCGATTGACGCAAAAGCTGGCCAATGCATGCACGGTTATTTAGGAGCGGCAAAACCAGCTCTATCCGTAGCTGGGGCGCCGCGAGCAAGTGTGAAGAGTCCGCATTGAAGGAGGCTTTGTTGCTTAGGCCGCTTGGCCCTCGGATCCATGTCCGTTCAATTACTATGGATGTATATATGGCCAGGAAAGTGGAATTCTACGAGTAATTACTGTGTTGAAGGCATTATACGATTTGGCTTCGGAGCACACATATATTCGTGACGACCATCGCCTGGAACAGCTTGTAATTTATATGTGACATAATTTCGTGATGCCGTCACGAAATTAAAATCACGAACATTTCCTGTCACTACGGTATAGACGACCAAAATGTCAACATCGTGACGATGTTGATATGCAAATTGGCAAAGCCTTAAAGCAAGGGGCTTAATATTTGAACCATACACGCTGCAAATTTGCTGCAGATCTTGTGAAGGTTTGCAGTCAGCGACATGTGCACGCTACAATGCTAGGTATTATGCGGACTGCTTGGACTGATCGTGCGCACTTCGAACTTCGCAACTCGTGGCTAAGGAGGAACGAATTATGTTGTTAGCTTATAACAATTATCATTTTGTCTTCCCTAAGGAGATGCATGTGCGATGTGCCTGTATGTGCTGTAGGTCATTGCTACGTGCCGTGCCATGTTCGAACACGAGAAGAGGCTGGCTAGCTTCTTTATCCGGGCATCCTTCCACGACTCTATGGCGGTGGATGTGAGCCAATGCCCGGGACCCAACTGCGGCGGAGCGGACTGTTCGTTGCTGCTCACGATTGACGAGATGACCCGGCCAGAAAAGTGAGTTGCTGGATCAATCATTGAGCCTGGCACTCCTTGTGAACCACCCTGGCGCCGCAAAGTAACCGCCAAATAACTCCGCAGCCAAAGCTTCATCGTACTGGTTCCTAATACGCCCCTCAAACCCTGTGCTCCACTTCATGCCACACCTGTGCAATCACATTTCCGCTGCAGCGCTTATGACGACTTCTCGCTCCTCACGTCCCGGGCCGCCAAGAAGATTGCATCCTTCTTCGACATCAGCGTCGCGGACACGTTAGCGGTAGGTGAAGTGGCATGAGCGGAGCCTTTCATCATGATGCCATAGCGCCTGAGCACCGTGCTACCGTGTCGTTCAGCTGATATATATACATATATATACATATATATATACACATATATATACATATATGTATATATATGTATATATATACATATATATACATATATATGTATATATATGTATATATATACATATATGTATATATATGTGTATATATATGTATATATGTATATATATGTATATATATACATATATGTATATATATGTGTATATATATGTATATATGTATATATATGTATATATATGTATATACTTAGATAGGCAGATAGGTAGATAGATGGATGGATAGAAAGATAGATAGAAAGATAGATAGATAAATAGATAGATAGATAGATAGATACCTGTAACCGTGACGCATATACCCAGCAGCCTGCGGGGACCGACTCAGGCACTTTCATATTCAGACTGCGCCATTTGTGCCCCAAACCACATACGAACCTGAGATTTTGTGGTTGCAAAGCCTCATCTTTACATATTTGGTTTTTTCGCGGATTTATTCCATCTGTTAATTGGGCCCCAGGTCTGCGCCGCAGTTGCGCCCGAAGTTCTCAGCAAAGGTCGGATCCGGATTCTACCCGCCAATGGAACCCGGGTGCTACCTGTAGGTCGCTTGGACTCCATAACCCCCGCCCCGCCAGGCCAGCTTCCGGAAGTTTCCGCCGGCGTAGGAGATTTTGTACATTTCTGGAACGCTCGCGGTATCACCACTCAAGAGGCCATGGCGCTAATGGGCAGCCACGCGCTGATTGATAATCAGGTACGGCCCATGTACGGCATTCAGTAACATTTATGGCACTACGGCTGCCGTCCCTGCGTATGGCTCGGGGTCGCTTAGTATTTAGGCTGACTTCGCTGCTGAGGGGCAGTGGAGTCGCATTGCTGTGAGTGATGGTGTATCCCCACGAGGGGTGTTGCAGCTGTAGTACGTACCCAGCGCAAAGGCCTCCCCGATGGGACGGCCTAGGCGGATCATGTCATGGATATACGTTACACATGCTCCCATCCGTGTCTGTTGATTGCAGCCGTGCAGTGTTGCGCCCGTACTGTTCCATCACAGTCGCACGGCATCATCTGCAATCAGGCGTGCCATTTGTTGCCTCCCGCCCTATGCTTAGGGGCTGTTGGGGGCTCGTAGTTGCTCGTGACTACATGCGGCGGTGCACTTGTTTTGGTCCGCGCAGGGTTGCTTCCAGGGCCCCACACGCAGTAAAGTGTGCGACCCCACGTCGGAGGATTGCACCAATGTGCGCATGTTCAGGTGAGGTGGGCAGATGGGCGCTTCGATCGTTTGTTTCTCCTATCGGGTTCACTTAGGGGAACATTCGAATTGTTCGTGCGGTCCGGTGATGCTCCGCCGGAGCCGGCGGGCCTCCACAGGGCCAGCATGCATGTGTGTCTTGGAAAGCTCCGCCCCGAACGAGGAAGTCTCATGCATGTTTGTGTGTATATGTGCATGTGTCCGTGTGTGTCTGCGCGATATAGACCTTGTCTTGTCCTTTATCGGTGTAACGAGCCAGAAGGAGCCGTGGAATCATCGACCAAAAAAACGACCGATTGAACAAGTTATGAAAAACGCAGGGACAAACACCAGAACTACCACAAAGAATTCTGGGATTGTGCCGTAGCAGCATTCCTGCTATTGAGCGCCCATCTGATGGCAAATACTGCGCAAAACGTGGGGCTTTTCGAGGTCACCCACCCTCCAGGTGACCTCAGATCCTTATAGCGGTCTGTCCCACCCCGCTGCCCCTCTCCGTGTTGCCACCTGCCGGCGCCGCCGGTACACCCGCAGGTGGGAAAACCACTACTTCCATGACCTGTGCTCTCCGACTCTTAAGGTTACTGTGAGAACCGACGAACCCCCCGAGCCACGGGAAACACCCATCCTGGGTATGACGGAACCCGAAATGGAGGCGGAGTCCCGCTTGGAAACGTGCTTGGTGGGTGGGAGTCGCTTGTGCCGCTTGTGTTGAGGGATCAGTATGGTGCGATATAGGGAGAGGCACGTCGGGGCGAAATCGAGCAGCTCGGAAGTCGTTCTGCCTGGCTGGACGTCATGAAATGTTTAGCTCTGTTCAGAAATCATTTATAAACGCTGTTCAACTGGCCATTCACATGCATCGGTGTGCATCCCCTGCAACCCCAAAATGCTCGTATGTAACGGCAACTGTTCTGATGTTGCAGTTCACCAGCGAGGAGTTCCGCACCTCGGCACGCAACCAGCTAAGGCTGATGCAGGCTGGTCTGGTTCGGGAGCCCCCTCCCGACGTGCCCGAAAACGTGATCATTGACTGGAGCAATCGCAACTGCACGGCCGCCGCGTTGTTCGGAGTCCCATCGTCCACAACCTGCCCGCACGCCCCCAAGTGGCTCTACACACCCAACGATGCCTTCCTGGGCCAAGCCTGCCAGGTGCGCAGTCGCTATCGAAGCCCTTTCTTATGCGGACGTTGAGGTTCCTCTTGGAGGCCCTTCCTGCATCCGATAGACCTAAGCTGTAGGGAAACCAGCTTGGAGGGGACGCAACGGCCGTCTACCGGGTCGGACCTAACGTGGTCCGAAATATCCGCAAGGGGCAGTAGTTCGTGGCAGTGTGGGCAATCGATTAGCATATGTGGATTTAGATTTGCTAAGGAGACCCGCACACTGTCCGCTGCCCACATGCCACAGGGACTGGGTACTTCGGCTGCACATGCGAGCGTGCGAACCGCCGCCAGGGCCTTCCTCCACCAGCCCTCCTGGGACGAGACCTACCGCACCGCCTACATCAAGATGGTCTCCAAATTTGCGCGCTACTCCCCGGCCGCCATTGCGAGGCCCTTCAACATCAGCGGGAACGAGTGCACCAGCGGCTATCATTTGGAGGCAGCCTGCGCGCAGTCGTACATCGGGCTTGCCACGCAGGACACGAAGGATTTGTACGGCGGGCTGTACTCCACTCTCGATAAAGCGGGCTTGTGTGCATGGTGTTCCAAGGGTGAGTGGCGGTTCTGAATGTGAGCTGGCAGGCGGATGAGCACGGGCATGCTTGCAGCTGTGGTGGACTCCGCAGGATGTATGTATCTATGTATGTATGGGGGCAAGTGCGTATTCGCTGCTCTAACTGGCCATGGCCGTAGACGTCGCGTGCTAAAAGGGCCTCTGTTGCACGCACTGAACCGATTCCCTTTTGTGAGAGGCGAATGTCCCTAAGCGCGTGGCCCTTCTTGTGTAACCTGCTGCCTGCCCGGTGCCTGTCTGCCTCGAAGGTACCTGCCCCCTCGATCGGTGCTATTCCTGTGTTTCATCCTTTACCGCTCGGCTGCCCAAGATCCGCAACGGTAGGCGTTGGGCTCGCCCTGGGCGTAGGTGGCCGGGGTAGTTGTTCGACGCAAGTCGGTCCTGTCGGCGCCTGTCTTGATTTCAAGACAGGCTTCAACAACTCAGCATACAGGGCGGGGATCTCTCACAGCTATTTACCGTTTTGTGCGGTTTCTGGATCTTTACAACGTAGACAATTTAGCAGTACATCCAGTACGTCCTCGGATCCCTTTCCGGGTCCGCACACCCTTGCCTTGCCCCGCCATCATCAGGGGCCCCATCTCCGGCCATGGTGCGGTTTCGTTTAGCCCATCATTAGCCGGTATCAGAAAGCCATTGCCTTCAGCACATTACCCGCAAATGACCCACGGGTCATAGCCTCAATTCTCCGTCACTCCGTACCTGTATGCCGTTGTACATAGCGCTGGTGACGGGTCCCAACTGCTGCACCTGCTCCACCGCTCTGCGCAAGTTCCGCTATGACCCCGGTTCTCAGGAGGTACGTCCAGCGTGGCTATCTTAAATAGCAGACATATCTTTTTAATGTTACGCTAATTTTATGAGGAAACGTAAGTCGTCTGCTTTACTACTAAGGCCAGATATCCAAGAGATTCTTACCGATGCTCATATCTAGGATGGCAACATTGCCCTGTTTAAGTTCTGACGTGGCATAACAAGCAGTCTGTTAAATACGACTACTGAGCACATCAGAGTCAGACTTAACATGCCGTGTAGCTAGGAATGTTTCCAGGCTATTCAGCCAACTTTCCATTTTTCCCTAAGCTTTACCGACGAAATCGTGCCAGCCATCAGCTATGTCTTGACCAAGTCCATAAGCGGGAAATAGCCCCCTTAAGGGGGCTGCCATTTTCCCATCGCGGAACATAGCCACGGTGGGTACGTCTCTTCATTGCCCGCCATTACGTAAAGGGGGAGGGGGAGGAGCCGGAGGCGTTTAGAGGTCTCCCACCTCCCTGCATGGCACCCTGATATTTGATGGGATTCAGGTGGATCAGAAGGATGCGATGCTAGCGGATGGACAACTGAAGTTGGCGATTCTATCCACAGTATCCGGCTAAGGGGCCTTTCAATTAGCAGGCGCTCTGCTAGGTCACAACAGTCCGGATAGCATGGCTAGTTCGACATAACGTTTTAGGGACGGTTTATTAAGCATTATTACGATATAAATCTATTTTGGACAGCTTCCGCCCGGCAGGACTCCTACGCCATGTAGCGCTCCTTCGGGAACGTCAACGCCTACCAATTGAGGTCACCCTACCCCCTCAGGAAAAACCCTCTCCCTACCTTGCTTAAACTCCTTATGCCACCCTGCCTATGCATGAGCCTTCACGCCTGCTCTATGAGCCCCTCATCGCGGGTTCCCCCCATGCACATGGTCACCAAGCAGGTGCTCGATCTGCCCGCCGTGGTGCGCTACCTGGAAGTCCTGCCCGCCACCACCACCACCATCACCACCACCGGCGGCGACACAACAGGCGGCAACATTGACGGCACACGTATCGTGACGGTGGATGGCATTTCAACGGTAGAGCAACTTCCCAAACCTGTCCTCGACGGCGGTGAGGAAGATACCTGCTGCGCCGGAACCCGGGCTCGCTCCGAGACCCGCTCTTCGGCGGGTCAGCCATTTGGCAGGGGCTTATTTGACCTCACCCCTGCTTGTGGTGATGGCACATGAAGTCCCTGAAGTCCCCCTGTGTATCCCCACATGCCTCCCGCCCCCGGGCCCCCACAGCGACTCAGGTCGACACAACTTACGCCCCCCCGAAGGAGTACGTGCTGTACACCCAACAGCCGCTCAAGCGGCTGCCACTGCTGGAGTACATGCGCATTCCCGATCGGCGTCTGGACCCAATTGTTATTGATGATGGTGAGAGACATACAGCGCTGAGGCGCCCGCATTATTAATCATAGCGTACAGCCGCTCTGTCCGTATGTATCTGAACACCTCTCATGGCTCATTTGATATGCTTATGCAGAAATCCCCAAACCCCATAAGTCCGGAATCAGTTGCCGATGAAGGGACGTTTTTGCAATTATACGACATTATTGCTGGGTACAAAACATCGTATCCTCCCTTGGCCCCACGACGGGAAAGCCCTTTTTCAGGGACGTACCTGCCGCTGCTGATGCTGATGCTGATGCTGATGCTGATGATGCTGATGATGATGCCGCTGGTGCATGCAGATATCGCACCCGTCGTGACTGTCAACGGCTCCTTCAGCAGTCTCCCAGTCACGCCGTACTATGCCAATCCAGGAAAGGCACGTACCGTGCGGGAAAGACTTGCTGCCATGTGTAAATGTGCGATGTATGGCTGGCTGGGCAATATCAGATTAGAAGCCCTTTGTGCGCTGTTTGGGCGGTGGAGTGGAGGGTTGAAGTATTACGGAGGGTCTTGATGAGATACGAAAACGAGGTTTCGGTGCCATACGCACGCTCCAGCTGCATCAAGGCACGATATTCCTTATCGCATGGCGGGGGGTTTCGGCGCGCCATTCAGGTCTCAAAAGAGGATAGGACGGGATAGTGAGCGGGGCACTGCGTCTTTCACGTGTACGATGTGTGAGAAAGGTAGTAGAGACGCGGATGCTTTTACACCTGGCGTAAACTGGCCATTAATTAATCTTATTATCTTTGGGGGGCAGCCAACCGGTTTATCAGAGCAGCTTGTTTGGCAATGTGGACTTCATCCTGGTCGGCACGCAGGCCACATCTTCGCGTCCTCCACCGTCGTTCGGCTTTCAGAACTGGCCGAACGCACCACCAGAACGATGCCGCAGCATCTTCCCAGCGGGGCCATAACATCAATCTTGGAACCTCAGGGATAAGCAGGTCGCGCTTGAACACTTGCAATGCGGCAGTACAGTTGGTGTATGTATACGGCTTTCCGGGGGTAGACTGCTTGCTGCTTTAGGCTTCCCAATCCCGGCTACCATTTGCACCTTTGACCCTATGTTGTTGCCATGTTAACGGTGGCATGCGGGCATACATATTTGCGCAACTGGTGTTCTGCCAGGTGTGCCCTGCGTCGCACGGCATCTCGGTCAAGGTGGAGGGCTTTCCGTCCAGCCCTTTTAAGTGGACCCCCTTCACTCAGCCCTTCGCTCTGCCGCCCCGGGCTCAGAAGGCGAGCAGCTACTGCAAGTGGGTGAACGACTAGCGATGGGGTCGATGGGAAATGGGCGCTTTGTTATACGTCCTTGATTCATTGCACCGGAGGCCCCCTTGCGGAGTTGGAAGCGCTTGTTGCCGATGATGATGCCGCCTTCTCCCACAAATCATAGATAACGCCATCCCTCCGCCGTTGCCTTACATTCTCAGGCCTGGCACCACCATTTGTATGGATGCGTACGAAATTGACGTCTACCCGACAACCGTCAACATGGGCTGCCCGAGCGGCCTCACCTGGATCCTGTCGTACAATGGATCCTCGCCCGGTCCTACCATCCGTAACCCTGTCGGTCGACAGACCCTTATCCGCTTTAACAACCGCATGACTACCCCGGCGCTTGCCAGCACGCCTTTCTCGCCGTACACCCCGTGCGATACAACACCCGGACGACAGGTCGGTGCGACAAGTGCACGCATTTAACTCAGATGACGCGTATAGTTCGTTCAGGACAGTGATAGTGCGCGGCGTTGGGGCGTTAGGGAGCATACACACGAGAGATGAAAGGTAGCTACAGAAGAAGCCGTACAGGCGGGCGAGCGGGCTCTGTGTGCGCCTGCGCGATTTTGCTCACCCAAGTTGTGGTTTAAGCCGTAGAGGCGGGGCCTGGCCACTGCGTCCTAAGCAAGGTTGGGGAATATGCTATGCCATGTAGTCAAGTATGAGTACCTGTCACGTGCACAAACCCCGTGCCATGTCCTGACCCCTGTGTGCGAATTCCGGGGACTTTACCCGTGCCATAGAGTCGAAATCCCAACACTTCGCCCATACAGACGCCAATCCAGCCTTTTTTCCCCGTTCCCGTGCCGTCATAAGCCCTAAAGTTCCTTCACACCAACGTTGCAGGGCCGGCCGATAGCTGTCCACAACCACGGTGAAGCGAGCCTCGCACCATACGACGGTACGACGTCCGAATAAGCCTTATAAGCGGGACTTGCAAATGGGACGTCAACCAGCCGCGGCGGTCGACGACCGAGCTGTTGTCAGGGTTTTCCCCCCCTCCCTAACCCTCCAAACTGCGTGTTCCACCTGCCCTTCCTCACCTGACCAGGGATTTGTTCCCTGGTCCCCTGCTAGCATCATCTAGTAGCATCATCTAGTAGCATCATCTAGTAGCATCATCTAGTAGCATCATCTAGTAGCATCATCTAGTAGCATCATCTAGTAGCATCATCTAGTAGCATCATCTAGTAGCATCATCTAGTAGCATCATCTAGTAGCATCATCTAGTAGCATCATCTAGTAGCATCATCTAGTAGCATCATCTAGTAGCATAGAGACTACTTCTACGCCGAATGATCGTTAATAGATCTTCATTTATATGGATTTGTTTATGTCCATCCATGTTCCATTCACCGGAACTAGCCGCATGATTCGGGTGCATCCCCTCCCCAGCCCACTCGACCCTGCATCACCGGTCACATACGTGCACGCGGTGCCTCCTGGGGCCCCACGCAACCCACTGCCCTCCTCCCAGGCTGGGCGGAGGATACGACCTGCGGCGGGGAGAGCAAGGACTACTACTACCCCAGCCGCCGTGGGGGTTTCGGCTGGTACCATGACCACCAATTGGAGCTCACCTCGGGTGTGTGGGGGCACTGGGCAGCAGCGGCGGTTGGGGAGAATGGAAAGAGGTTCTTTGCGGCTTAGGAAACCCAAGCAGCCCTTCTGCCTGAGGGAACCAAAGACGATGGATAAAGGAACATTATGAATTGCTGGACGTGATGAGCTGCCTGATGTGTCCCCCACCCGTAGAAAACGCATATTTCGGCTTGTCCGGCATGTACGTCGTGCACGACAGTCCCGCGGAGGGTGGCTGCGGCGAGCCCTGGAACCTGAACGGCATTCCCGACACGGAGATGCAGTTCAAGGATGCCGTACTGGATGGCAACTGTCAGCTCTTCTACGACCGCAGTGTAGGTGTTCCTGAAGGCAGACTTGTCCATCTGCAAGTCGCCTTTCGCATAACTGGCAGGTGCTAAGGATGAACATGTCCTACGTCATAGCATAGAAGAAATGGGCTCGTATGAATGGCCGGCGGGTCGAACAGACCGCCCGGTGGCCAGCTGAGAGTGCTGAGAAGGAGCGCTGCCTCGCTCTCGGATGGCCCCGACGCCATCGTGTGCAGCGGACCCGGGCACGACATGGCCAAGTGTGTCGGCACTAAGCCTCAATGCGGTTAAGAGGCTTCGTTCTTATTGAGGACCTGGGACAGGCAGATAGGGCTCCTCCCTCCAACCTCCCACGGGCTCCCTGCCGACCCAGCCCTGCACCGTGTTCATGTCGCCACAGGGGCCCCACCGGGATAACCTGTACGGCGATGTCAACTTGGTCAACGGCGTCCCGTGGCCGGTCATGACCATAAGGCCCCGCTGGCATCGCTTCAGGTCTGGACGGGTATACTGGTACACGGGTGCTGTGTGCCTTCATTTCCTTCAGTGCGGACCTGCGCGCGCCATTCTCGTGCTTTGTAACTCCGTTGGGGGGGGTATCCTGGGTGCCTCGAGCGCTGCCAGGTAAAACTGATCTGCGGCAGAACAGCGGGTCGCCAATGCTTGCAACTCCACCCTCAACATCCGCTGCAAAAGCTTCACTCACAGCCACACCCACCACCAAACTAGGAAAGTAGCCAACCGCCGTATCACTCTAGCACCTGCTAAACCGACCAACCACCGTACGCGCCCAATGCACGCAGGTGGCTCAACTCCGCCGTGACGCGCCCCTACAAGCTCCGCATCGTCGCTTCCGACGGTTCCGACGTCAGCAGCCGCATCTGCCAGGTCATAGCCGGCGAGGGTGGCCTGCGCCGCACGCCGGCGCGCTTCCCTGCCGCCGGGCTTTTCTTGGGCGTTGCGGAGCGGTACGAAGTCGTCTGCGACTTCAGCAGCTACAGCGGCCGCACCTTCTTTCTAATGAATGTCAAAGACGAGCGCCGCATGAAGAGCGTCCCGTTCTTCTGCCACTCTCACCTGCTCATGAAGATTCAAGTCTTCGGGATCGCCAGCGGCCCGACTTTCCAGCCGTTCGTTCCTTCACGCACAACACTGGATGCTGTCCTGAAGGAGGCCACCGATATTCCTAACGCGCTCAGTATGGTTCGCAGCCGGCAGTGTACCAGGAGTTTCCGCTTTGGCCGCCGTCACGGCCAGTGGTACGTATGTATGTACGCGGCAGCAGGGTGAGGGTTGGGTTAGGTCGTGTGGTTATGCGTGCGTGTGTGTGGTGTTTGTGTGTGCCTTATGCTCGTATGACGAAGCATCTCTAGCTGCTGTGGCCCGGCGTTGCAGCTTCTGATCTGGCGAGGTGCGTCGTAGAGTGTACAACAAAAAGGAGGGGATTTTAGCAACGCTGCACACAACACACACACACATCCATATATATAGTGTGTATATAGTGTGTATATAGTGTGTATATAGTGTGTATATAGTGTGTGTATATAGTGTGTGTATATAGTGTGTGTATATAGTGTGTATTTATAGTGTGTGTATATATATCCACATATGCACGGCGCATACACGAAGCCCCCCGCACGGGTATGCACGCGTTTGCACCCCTGCTCCGCACTATTGCCCAGGGTGATCAACGGCGAGACTTGGCACACCGCTCGCGTGGCGGCTGGTAACGTGGGCCAAAACACCTGGGAGATTTGGTGCCTGGAGACTGGCGGCGGCTGGTTCCACCCCATCCACATTCACCTTGTGGACTTCTACGTGCTGGCACGCAACCACGACGAGTCGCAGGTTCGTCCCTGCTAAGCGACCTTCGCATTCTGTCCGGGTTTTAGGGTTCATTGTTTGGGGCTGCGTGGTCGTACTGGTACTGGTATTTGTGTTGGTGCTAAAGCAGTCGAGAAAACAGGTTTGCTGAGGGTTGCGTTGGGCGGGGCCTTGGTCGGTGGATGATGTTGGGGTCCTAGGGTTTACCCGTCCACCTGACAGACGAGGAAAGGCTTAACTGTTGGCGATGAGCGGTTTTGCAGTAATTGGATTGCTCAGGTTGGGTTACGCAGTGGGGCGCTCGGTGGGGCGTTAGCTGACATGCTATACGGAAGTGCGCACAACGGGTCCGTCTGAAGTAGGAGCAGAATTTGAGACCAGGTTCTTAGGTCTTTTAATACACAGATGTGGTGGTGTAGCCGACGGGTCAGTTGAGTGGCAGCTGTGCGCAAAGGGCCTCCTCTGCCCTTTTTTGGCACCTCGGTCACCTGATTTTCATTCTTCTGGCATCTGCCTGCCTGCCTGTTCATCGGGCTGTCTAGGTACACGAATACGAGCGGTGGACGTCCAAGGACGTCGTACAGCTGGACCCAAGCACCCATGTATCGCTTCTGGTCAGGTGGGTGTCGTACGGCCCCGCTGGAAACGGTTGTTGTTGTTTGTTGGGCCCTCCCCGCCCACCTTGGCCTGCAGCAAGCAGCGTGACGATCTGCATACTTCCTGTAAACATGTGCAAGGTCGCATCACCCGGCTTCACCTCGCCATCCCGAGCCGCTATTTAGGTCGCATGTTGCTCGTACTTCTGTTGCTCAAACAGGCTCCCCTACCTGTACTTCCCCCTACTCCCCCTACTCCCCCCTACTCCCCCCTACTCCCCCCTCCTTCCCCCTACTCCCCCTACCCCCCCCTACTCCCCCCTACTTCCCCCTACTCCCCCTACCCCCCCCTACTCCCTCCTACTTCCCCCTACTCCTACCTCTAAACCGACTTATCCCTCTCAGGTTCGGTCCCCACCGCGGCGAGTACATGTTCCACTGCCACAATTTAATCCACGAGGTAGGTATGCCGCCGTACATCCGTGAGTTCCGTACATCCCCCCGGGCTATACCCACAGTCTTCGAACATGCAATGTGAACGTTAGGCACCGCTTTGCCTTGCAAAAGTTACATGCGTACTAGGAAGAGAATGCATACCGAGCTAGCCGCATGTGTATTGCCGCGGTGGTGAGGTCCAAGGAACCGCTCCATCGCACCGTATCCATGCACCTACCCCACTTCTCTCCGGCTCCGTGCTGGGGCCGCTATACGTGTATGACAGCCACCACGGTTGTTCCTCGCCCCATTCCTCACAGGACTTTGAGATGATGCGTTCCTTCCGTGTCGCACACACTGCTGCCGGACATGCCGGTACAGCGTTGTCGATGCAGTCGCAGCCAGGTCTCGTCACGAGCCTGAATGTCATATACGACCTGTAAGTTATTGGGCGCTGTATGGCTGAAACATCGAGCTGCTGAATAGGCGAGCACAGATGTCGTACTACCGACACAGCGTGACAGCATGTGCAACTGTCATCAACCTCCACCAACTACTACCTAACCGCCGCTCACGCCCCGGCAGCCTGGTGGATGCCTGATACTATCCCGATGCTCAACCTCTACATATTAACCTCACCTTGACACACGAACCCGTGTTGTGAACTAGCGCCCTTGTTATCCCAAGCCTAGCTAGCGCCCATGTTAACATTGGCGCCAAAATCATCATCCGCCGATTCATTGCTGACTAGTGATAGCGATACCCATCCTGCCGCCAGCGTGATAGCGGTTGGCGCCGTACGACATGTCCCGTACATCTCCATGCTCGTTATGTGACGCAGGTACAACGATCCAGTCTATCCCAGCTACGGGCCAAGGTCCACGGCGAGCTTGACCCCCCTGCACTTCACGTTCAACCCTTCCGTACAAGCTGCCCTGTCGCACGCCATTAACCACGGAATCTACAGGTAAGCGCGTGTGCTTCCGTTCAGGCATGTCGTGGTCTGGCGCTAAGCCTCGCCTCGGCAGGGCTCGGTCACAGGACATACCCACACGAGCATGTATCGCAAGAATGAACCCCCCGGCTCCGAGCCACTGCGACTAAATCTGCATATGCACGTATATCGTCTCACCCACACCACTGCCAGCAGCACTGCGGATCGCGGTTGCCCGAGAACCGGATATATACTACATACATGTATTGAAGACATCGCATAGACTTTTAGCTTCCCCTTGGTTGTAACACCGGGCAGGAGTACTCAGGGGAGGTTCTCAGCAAGGGGAATGCGATCAGGCCCCGTCATATCACACTCGTGATGGGAATGGGCGACCGAATAGGTCATGATGCATGACGTGCACCGTATAAGACCGGCTTACCCGCTTTACCCCCGTTCGCCCCACTTCGTATTCCCTCTCCACACGGCCGCCACCTGCATGAATGCCTGGCTGGCTCTCACCCCGCACCCGCACCGCGCATCACGTCGTCATGCATCAGGATCTTCTATCCCGGCGGGTCCAGCGGAGAGAATTTGCTGCTGTTCAGCGCAACGCACAACCCCTGGCTGGTGTCGCTGCCGACAAGTAGCCGCTGCTAACTGAACACATGCTTGGATGTGTGGGTGGATGACATGCTTAAACAGGCTTCTTAAAACCATAGCTATTAGCTAGCGATATAATATGTCCATGATGGGGGAGTTGAGGGGGCGATCCGTTCCCAGGTCGTTGGGCAGAGGTTATGCGGAGGCTGTGCAGTAACCTCTCGATGCTGGGTATGGAGAAATGAAGACCAGAACGAAGAAGACGAAGACTGCGTCCGGATATCAAACACGCATAACTGTACTGGTTGCGAGTATTCTTTAAGTATATGTGTACTGTGTGTACTGTGTGTGTGCTGCTGTTTACCAATGAAAATGTTTTCTGCCAAGTTGGTTGTACGTATTCGCATGCAGCGGCAGTGCTGAATGAATTCCCGGTTGATCTGCGTGAGCGCCGGGGCACGGCACCAGAGGTGCACACTGACGTGTGGGTGGCCGGACATGCACGTGTAGATGTCATACACGCGACAGACATTCCTGACCGACACGCAGCAAGCACCTGAAAGGAGCTTGATAGTTGTATGTGAATATGTATTGTATGTATTTTATGTATGTATCAGTTGCAATTGAGAGAAGTTCACTTCTTTATTTATCTAAACTCAGAGGGTAACGGCCTATGTCGTGGAAGAGTCACCCCGCATGTATGTGAACACCGTGCGATTCTTGCCCTTCATTGTTCTACAGGCTTGTATGTTGTGGTTTAGGACGGTCGTTGCATACCCATTCGCATGTTGAGGCGGGAGCCATGTCGCACGTGCCTCTGCACGACGGCCGTGATGCTAGATGAACACTGCGACTGTGGGTACTCCCACCAGGCGTGCGTCAGCATCGATCTTAAGAGAGTTACAAATGTCTGAATGCATGAGTGTGTGTATGTGTGTGCGCGCATAAATGATAATCGCTCGGCGTTCCCATCTAGTTCCTCAGCCATCCAGCATGCGCATATGTGTACGGCGGATGCCCTCTTCCGTACACCCCCCCGCGGCGATATGACGTCTACCTTAGCCATTCGCGAACGTGCACTCATCTTAGCGGTAAACTTGAATGGATTGTATTATCTTCATTCATCATTTGATTGCTGTACGCATGCATGTAAGGTGCGTGTGCTAGCCATGTTTCGTTTCCCTTCATAGATACGCATGTACTTCCGTTCCTAATCAGTTTTGTTCAGGGTTTTAATATGGGAGTGTTGACATATCCAGGTTTCTGCCGCTTTCAAGGCATATCTATCTACTTAGCAGTGGAAGGATAGTTATTGGAATGTTTTTGCTCGAATAGGCGGTACTCGGGGGTGTCGCAATGGTGAATGTGTTCCGGCCCTTTCGGAGATTTTATCTTTCGCACACAGCCATATGATGCTGCCCTGCATCCGAAACAGATAGTCGTTCGTGTCGTCAGAACTGTCACCTACTGGTTCCGAAGACAGTGAGACATTTCTGGCTTCGATCATAGATGGCTTGAAAATGTAACGATGTAAAGACACTAGCCATTTACGGACATCGCGCTTGCACAGTCTAAAGGTATCGCAACCGCTGGTGAAAGCTCCGGCGGTGGGTCGTGCGCGTCCTCGGCAGGTTATTTCCTTTCTGCTGACTGCTGCTACAGTCCGGCGGGGCCTTTGCTAACTGGTTAAACTGGGTGTACATGCCCCGGCTAGGACGTGCAGAATAGTGAGGCAAGGCGACGGAGGGACGTGAGCATGTTAGAAGCACGTTAAAAGGTTGCGGGAATGGTGCGCGAAGGAGAAGGAAGGAAATGGCCGCCGGCCTGTAGACATTTCCCACACGTGTACCTAGCGTGCCACAACCCACCAAGGATTCCGCTGCCATCCCAGTCCCGCGCCCTCTCTAGGTAGAGAGCTTTCGTTCAGGTTCGTAGGCGGGTGGGCTTCCACAAGCCCGGCCCCACTTCTATCTGCGGGTGCGCCTTGTACGGCCCTGCTCAGGTCGTATCATGCCGGCGTGCAGCGGCCTGTATCACCACTACCGTCCCATCCCACGCACATAGCATATATCATCTGCTTGTCCCCTGATACGCACGGTAAGCTTTAGAGCATAAGGGGTCACAGCGCTGATACAGCACAATCTGTTGCTCGCCACACATAACCTAATGCCAAGTTCGCAATACATGTCACTGCTGGAGCATTGCACAGTACGTACGGTCAAATTGAATCAGTTCTCTGCTACGTACCTGCAAAGAATGTGAGACCATGTTCCTCCACTGACTGAATAGTGTTCGCGCGTTTGCAGCTCACCTATCTACTACGACCACAGCCACACAAAACTGCACATGCCATCTGCGAATCCCCCCCACCAATCAAACGCCCGCTAACGTCCATCCAGCCATTCCTCTTCACGTCCTAGATAGTTTACCCCTCCCCACTTACCACCTGCCCCACCGGCTAACCAAAGCACACCCCCATCAAAGCGCACGGCCTTTTGCGGCCAACCGCCCCTCGCCCCGCCCCTCACCCCCGGCCCCCCTCACACTCACCACGCGGGTGAAGACACCAAAGGTGGCCCAACCCCCGTGTTATTCCCTCCTCCCGGTGTCCCCGCACTGCTCTCCCGGGCACTCCCCCACGCACTGCCCCCCGCGGAGTCCAGCACCCCCCCCGGGTCAGGCACCGCCGCCACCACCACATGGTGTGCGGCCCAGTACTCGGCCTTGCGGGATCCACACGGCAACAACACCGTCGTCAAGCAGTCCTCCGCATCGCCCTGCAGCAGGTTGGTGTTGCGGCCGCCGAAACCCGCAACGAACTTAAACACGGGGCACACATACGAGTCGTTAATCCGCGTGGGCACCGTGGCCCCGGGCAGCGCCAGCGCCCGAGCCAGCTGCGGCACCGCGGGGCTGGCAGTGGCGCGCAGCCACAGCAGCGGCATGCCGCTGTGCAGCACACCGGGCTCGGGGTCCGCCAATGCGCGGCGGGATCGGTCCCACCTCGCTCCTTGCAACACCAGCCCGCCTACCAGACAGCCCTCGGACAGGGCCGTGCTCAGTGTCAAGGTACTGCCATCCGCAGCCGTGAGGGGCGTGGTGGCCAGGGCCCTAGAGCCCAGCTGCGGCAGGCGGTAACGGGGAAGCATCTGCTCTTCGTCCTCCTGCAGCAGCACTGCATCCAGGTAGACCTGACCCACGGGTCGGCTCATGCGCTCCGCGAAACTTTGCTGTACGGCGGTGAGGAAGCTTCGCGGCCGGCTGAGCATGCCCAGCGGCACGGCCACTGGCGGCCCCTCCACTGCCCAGTCGTACAGGAACTCCAGTCGAGTCTGCAGGTCCGTCAGCCAGGTGGCGATGTTGTCACTCTGGAGCTCCACCCGCTGGTGCAACCAGGACCGGGGAACCTGTGGGGGCCATGGCGTGGAACATTGGGGAGAGGGAGGGGTCAGGAGCGGACGGTGTACGACAGCTAGGACTGCATACATATAGTGGTGGCAAGGGGAATATAATACAGATGTGGGGTTCGTCCGTCCCGTACAATATCCCCTGCCCGCCGCGGCACTTAGGCGGCCCTCGCTCCCACCCGCACATCCTCCTCCCTCCCCCCTTTCCTACTCCGCCTGATTACGCGGTTGCTTACATGTCCCTGTGACAGTTGCTGCACCAGCTCCGCCACTCCCTCCGACACGCCCTCGTAGCCCTTGATGGCTGCATTGACCGCCCGGATGGACGCGTGCACCGTGTTGAGTAGCGCCGCGAAGGAAGCCACCTCGTCGTTGAACACCTGCACCATGGCCTTCTGCATGGTGGGGTGCGTGGCCGCCCAGCGCTCCTGAGCCGCCTCACTCATCTCCTCCGTCATCTTGCCCGCCTTGTAACGCGGCAGGTAGTTCGAGTTGGCCATGGCAGCAGCCCGGTACAGCTGCTCCCGGGTAGCCGCCTCCGCAGCTTGCTGAGGCGACATCGGAGGATGAGTAGAACCAGGCCCTGAGGCCGAGGTTGCCGGTGCCGGGGAGCCCGACGTTGACGAGACCGCACCCCCACCTGCACCGCCAGAAGACACCGACGCGGAAGCCCCTGCCTGCCCCACTCTCGCCCCGGCTGCGCCCAGCGGTGAGGAGACCCTGGAGGAGAACGAGCCGCGACCCGAGCCGGGTTTGCCGCCTCCGCCGCTGCCCGGGCCCAACCCCCGACCCGAGCCTGGACCCGCCATCGCCGCCCAACCGCTCCTTGTCCCCGGTATAGGAGTGAGGGGCAGCTGCTTCAGGAGGTCCTGACATACGCTGAGCGCTAGCTGTAAGGGCTTGGTGAGGTCGACTTCGTCGGAGGAGGACCTGAGCAGGTGGACACGCTTGAGCGTGTCAAGAACGTGTCGTGTGTATTGGGCTGCTCGTACGGACGCGGCTCCCGGGGAAAGGCCGACGAGGGTGGGGTCCCCCCGGGGTATCGCCAGGGACCGAACCTCCTTAGCCACCACCGAGAGGTCCTGAGTGCAGGAGGACAGGCGCTCGGGGAGCAGACTGCAGGCCGGGGCCGGGGGGAGGGGGGAGGCGGGATCAGAAGGAAGGAGAGAGGTCCCCAGTGGAAAGGGCGGCAGCCGAGGAAAGCGGGTACCGTCTGGTTGCAGTGCCTCGTATTAGAGAATGCATGTGAACAAGATGAGCCCCCTGTAACCCCAACCCGCCAGCACTTTTCCCTTCCCCCACCCTTCTTCTCCTGCTCTTCTCCCCATTCCTCTGTCCTGTCCGCCCCTCCCATCCCGTTTCCCTAACCCTCTCCCCTCCCGGCGCCCCGAACCCGCCACGCCCCAATCCCCCCCCGACCCCGCACTTACGACTCCAGGGTGGCAGCTGCAGCCACATCACTGGGCTTCAGTTGCTGACTCAGCAGACACACCAGCAGCCGCCGGTCCCAGTCATGAGTCACCTTGCCGCCGTACAAGCACTGCCCCACGACGTGCAGCAACCCTGGCAGGGCCGCCCCCAGCTCAGCGGCGGGAGAGTCGTGCACTATGGACATGACCTGGTTGATTGCGGACAATACGTCGGCGGCAGTGAACTCGTACGGCCGCCGCCAACCCAGAGACCTGTACTGCAACCGCTCCGTGAGCATGGCGTGGAAGAGACACAGCCGCAGCACCAGCTGCTTCCAATCCATAGGCAGGATGGTCACCTAGGGGGGTAAGTGGGTTGGGAAGAGGGGGGTAAGTGTGCATGTGTATGTGCGTGTGCGAGATATATACCATGCGACGGAGTGACAGCGATGGGAACGGCGGAGGAGCAATGGACTGGAGCCCCCACCGTACAGCCGCCATTCCCGCCTTGAATATCTAAAATATATTCGTGCAGATGTGTGGATGCACATACATAGCCCCTATTTTGCATAATCGTACCTTCCTGCCGATGACATCATCTTTGGGGTCCCTCTCGCTGTCCGCGCCGTAGCTGGGTAGCAGCTGGGTGGCGTACCGGCTGTTGGAGGCCACCTCCACGGGGAGCTGGGACATAACCTGGGGGGGAAGAGGGGGGGAAGAGGGGGAAATTTGGGGTGTTCGTGAATGGGAGCTCGGCGGCAAGCACGAGGATTTGGGGTTGTCCTTCACATCTTAAACATATTTGGCCACTTCCTTAAGCGAAAAGGCGAGTTGGGAGCCGGTGTCGTCTCCTCTGTCCTCTCTGTCCTTTGTGATGGTGGTGGTGATGGTGGTGGTGATGGTGATGGTGATGGTGATGGTGATGGTGATGGTGGCAGAGGGGAAGAAGGGAGAGTAAAGGGGTTGGGAGCCCCTCTTGGGCGCTCCCCTTTCCTGGCTGCCGAGGTGTGCCCTCCCCCTCCCCTTCACATCTCCACCTCCACCTCCACACATAGGAACACAAAGACCTGCAGCCGACACGCACTCAGACATACCCTCGCCATGCTCCCTCTCTCCCCCACCCAACACGCACTCACACCCACCTGCAGCAGGTTGGCCTTTATGCCATGCGGTGGGTCCATCACTAGTTTGAGAGAGGACTGCAAGATGATGTCCGGGTACGCGGAGGTGGGCACCATGGTCAGCCACAACCTGAAGTTGATGTGCGGCTTGAGCAGCGGCAGGGCCTGAACTAGGCGACACAGACAGGGCATCCAGTCACCCGCCAGGTGACTGTTCTCCAGGATCACCCAGCGGTCCATGGCTGAGGGGGAAGGGGGGAAAGGGGGGATGAGGGGCACGTGTGGGGATAGAGAAGATGCAAAGGCGCGGACGGCAGAAGGGACAGATCGGATATGGACAACATCTAGTACCGACACCTCTTCGCACATGCACACATACATATGCACACATACATATGCACACATACACACATACAGACACACATACAGACACACATACAGACACACATACAGATACACATGCATGAAGGCAACCACAAACGCGCATGCAACCGCCAGCATCCAGCTCACCTCTCGCCCCAACACTACCCCTCCCCCTCCCCCCCCCCTTTCTTCCCCCCAGTACTCACCCACAGCGGAGCGAATGAGCCGGTCCGTAGCCGCCCCCTGGCCCCTGCCAATTGCCATATGCATCACACTGATACCCCGGCTGTCAGCAAACTGCTGCAGGAAGGGCAGTGTGTGGTCAGTGGAGGAGATGAGCACGATGGGCATGGTGGCCTCAGTCACCGCGAAAATGGCCTCGAAGTCCACCAGCTGCTCATTGGAGACGCAGGCGGGGCCCAGGTACTCGCGGACCGCCGCCTGGGCCTGGGCCACGAAGCCCCGGGGCTGTAGGCAGCGCACCAGCAGCAGGCGCTGGAAGGTGTTGAGCTCCCGGATGCGGGGGTGGGGCGGCTCAAGCAGGTCGAGTGGCTGATGACTGGTGAGGGGCGGGGAACGAGGTGGGGAACGCGAGGGGGAGGGGGGCGAGGAGGACGCGCAGGCGGAGGAGATGCTGGGGCTCTCCAGACTGCACCCGGCGGGGGAGGGAGGGTGTAGCGGCGGGCGGGTCCACGGGAGGGGAGGAGGGGGGTTGGGGAGGGGGTTGAGATCGGGTTCGGATTCGTGTGAGGTTGAGTTGGTAGGGAGTACGAGGGGTCCAGGTGCAGGTCAATGGAAGCGATGGACGGAGGGACGTGGGACGTAGGTAGAGCGGGAAGTGTAGCCGGGTGCGAGGAAACGTGGACTCCAAGACCTGCGTGTCGTCTTGTGGCCGGATGTGCAGCGAAAACAACCCGTGAGCGATTCCCCAGCCACTACCCCCCACACACCCACACCCATACCCACACAGGCACAATAGGGCTCTCCCCCTTGCCGGATAACGTCGATCGGGTTCGCTGGCGGCCTCCTAACCCCCCACCCACCTGGACAGGTTCTCGTAGTACCTCCTCAGCATCTCGATACTTTGATAGCTCTCGAACAACGCAGGTAGGACCCGGTTGTACGGCTGCAGCTTGCCCAGGTCTCGGAGCCGGGACCAGCTCTCGTCAGGCAGCCAGTCGGGGCGCAGGTCGTCAGGCAGGTAAGCGGGGGCCGAGGCGTCGTTGGACAACAGACTGGGCAGCAAACCAGACAGACGCTGAGAGTGAGGGGTGACTGCGCTGCGGGGCGCCGAAAACCTCACCGAGCCCGTGGAGACCCCTGCTGCCGCCGAAGCTGCGGCGGCGGCGGCGTCAACACCGCCGCTGTCATCGCCAGCCGCGGCGGCGAAGAATGCAGCGTCGGCGGCGTCCTGCGCTGCCTCGAAAGGGCTCGTAGTCCGCCGGCTGATATCGGATGGGGAGCTTGCTGCGGCGGCCAAGGCGGCGCTGTCGCCGCTGCCATTTTCATTGGTGGTAATGGCGGAGGGCCTCGTCGCACGTGACAGGCGGCTAGGGGTCTCCGGTGTGACCGCAGAGGGTGCGGCGGCAGGCGCCTTGGCGGGGCCGTTACGTCGACGGACAAACATGCCGCCAAAGGGGTCCTCCTCCTCCTCCACGCCAGCTGCAGCCGTGCCGCTGCGGAAGCTAATCTCCGTCGCGAGCAGCCCCTCACCAGGCTGCACGGGTGACGGGGGGAGTGGCGAGGAGGAACCATCCAGCAGCGGCACTGCGGCGTCTTGCCCCTCCGCCGCGCCGCCCTTGTTCAGAATCTCCTCGGGGGATACCTCCAACGTCACCTGCTCGCCGCCTCTCAGCCCGGCGCCCTCCCGCCGAAAACCCAGCGGCGACGGCAACGAACTCCCACCGCCGCCACCGCCGCCGCCGCTGCCCTCCGACCACAACGACCCAGAGCGCGCCAGAGAGCGGCGCACTGCTGGGCTGGGAGTGCCCGTGCCCACCCCCGGGGCTCCCCCGCTGGTACTTGTGTCACGACTTCGGGCATTACCCGGGTGGCCCCCCCCTCTGCGAGGAGGTGTACGACCTAATCCGGAGCGGCCTGAGGCCAATCGCATGAAGGTGGGTTTGGCAGTGTAGGTGCTGTCGGTAGCTCTGCCGTACAGCAATAGGTTGGCCTCGTCCTTGGTGGCGTAGCCGCTAGCCTGTTTCAAAGTGTGAAAATGGGTAATGGGCAGGGTAATGGTGATACGGGGCCGGTTGCCTCGGCGGTTAGGGGGGAAAGGGGAGCGGTTGGTGTGTAGGCAGGACGTGATAGCTCGCCCGGGGGTGTGCGGGTGCCAGCTCCTCCACACGCCGCGGTGGCACCCCCGCCTACCAGGCACATCCTAAACAACCTCTCCAGCCCGGTCGACCAGACCCCCACAACCACTGCCATCAGCGGCCGAACCTCCTCCCCCTCCCCCCCTCCCCCTCCCTCCTCCCCCTCCCTCCTCCCCCCCTCCCCCTCCCTCGCCCCCCTCCCTCCTTACCTCCAGGAACCGCACCATCATCATGATGGCGAAGGGGAGTTTGTCCTCATCGAACAGGGACCGACTCACGTTGGCGTAGAACATGGTGGTGAAGTGCATGGTGAGGCTGGCCAGTCGGGCCTTACCTGAGGGGGGAAGGGGGGAAAGACGAACCACGAACGAGTGAAGCTGCTGCCATGGAAAGAGTGTACAAGAAGCAGGACTGACCCGGGGGGAAAGGGAGGTAGGGGGGCAGGAGGCGGAGGGCGGGTACCAGGGGAGCAATATGCTGGAAGAAGAGAAAGCAGGGCCGGGGTCGGAACGATTGGCGGCAGCAAGGATGGGGTTTAAGTGAGAATGGCGGAACCTAGGGTGTGTGTGAGGGGGCATGGCCCACGGCAGTAAGGTGTTAATGTCAGCAGTGAGTCACTGTGGAGATGAGTGGGGTAATTGTGGCCATGACCCGTCCTCAAGCTGCAGCACTGCAGGGGGGTGTAGGGTAGGCAACGGCCAGGAAAGGGGGAAGGCGACAAGGCTAAAACCAAGTGACAGGGCCCCTTGACCCTCACCCACCGACCCACCAACCCACCCGAGTTTGTCTTGAGGCAGGTGACCAGCGCATCATTGAACAGCCTCATGAACCAGTGCAGTCCGAACTGGTAGGTGTGTCGCACATTGGCCAGGTCGGCCAGGCAGAAGAAGAAGGGGGTCACGCGGGCGACAAAGTACTTCTCCGTGTCGGCCCTCACGATGTTGATGGCCTTCTGGGAGGCCTCGATGCGGGACACCTTGGCCTTGATGGCGTCAGTGGATTCCTGGGTTGCACAAGAGGAGAAGGAGGAGGAGGGAGGAGGGGTCAGGGTGGAGGGAGGAGGCGTCAAAGCAAGAAAGAGCTGCAGAGCGAAGCTGGGGTAATGGGGTCCGACAGGGCTTGCGCGTGTCAAACACTCTCTACCCACCTCCCCGTCCCTTCCCAATCCACATCCAACTACCCCCCTCCTTGGCACACACAACGCTACCTTCTTACCATGGCCTCAGGCCCCTTACCCCGCCCCCCCTCCCCCTGCATGCGCAGCACCTGTAAGCTCTTGAGCAGCTGGTACACCTCACTCTCCTCCAATAGCTCCTCAGTGCTGGTGTTGGTGATGGCCTGCAGACCAGCGGGACGCAGGGGAGTAATTTTGAGCCAACAAACGAATGTATCAGCCATGGGGCAGTAGAGGCTGAGAAACTAAGCTGAAAGGAAGGTGATGGCTTCCTAACAGCGCGACAGGGAGCGAACCGAGCGATGGTGGAGGCGACAGGAACGATGACAGGCACAGTCCATCGCGCATTTCGCATGTAAACTATGTGTGGCGCACATACCGTACATGTCGTGTACGACACGCAGCAACGTACCTGCAGCACCTGGTCCTCCAGCTCCATGAGGTCTGCCTCCCCCTTGGCCTTCTGCCTGGTGAGCACCAGGTGCTCGTGTTCCAGGTCGGGCATCTCGTACCTCAGGGTGGCGGTGATGAGCAGCTCACACAGCTGGGCCCGGGTAATGGAGAAGTTGACCACAGTGACGTTGCGGAGGATGTCGGAGGGAAAGCGGGGCGAGCGGAGCCGAGTGGTCACGAACAGCTGGAAGCTGCGTAGTGAGGGGGAGGAAAGGGCAGGGCAAGGAGGAAGGGTGAGGGAGCAAGGGGCGGGACGAGGTCAAGGAAAGGGGAGGTACGTGCAGGGCGAGAGCGAGGCAGGCGTGCGGGCGCGGTGACGAGGTACAGGGCCTGACGACCGCGTAGGCACACAAGTAGAGATGGACGGAAACAGATGCGAGATGGCCCCTCTCGCCAGCCCCCACTTCTCCCTCTGCCTCCCACCTTTCCCCCACCCCGCCCCTCTCCGGCCCACCACTTCCCAACCTACTCCTTGTGGTGGGGTATGAGGTTATCCCCCAGCCTCAGCGCCACTGCTCCCCGGGTGTCGCCCACCAGCTTGCACGCCAGCAGCTGCTCCGTGATGTCGTCCATGTCCTCGTCCACGTTCTCCAGCAGCACTGTGGAGCCGCTCTCTATGGCCCGGAACAGCTGGGATGTGTAGGAGGGGTCGGACTGGTCCAGAACTAGGAACGTAACCACAGGCCGACCCCCAATACCCTGCAAGTGCACGGGACAGGAAATGAAAGCGAGTCGGGGTTAAGAGGAACTTAGGGTTCCTAAGTGAATTTTAGGTGGGAATATGGTGTATCACCTCACTGCTCCAGCTTATACACACACATACACTCACCACACGTCCCCACGGCTCTTCCCCCCTTCACCTGCAGCCACACGTCCCCCCCGTAGAATCCTTTAATAAAGCGGTGCCCCAGCTCCTGCGGGTCATGCAGCAGCACCCAGCTGCCACACGCCGCCATGATGCCCGCGTTCTCCAGTGCAGTGCGGCTGTGAGGCAGCTGGGAGTCCCGCCAGGTGTCCTGCTGGGCGGTGGAGGCCAACACGTCGGCCAGCCGGAAGGGACGGGGGGAGACCACACCGGCCTTGCGGAGCAAGTCCTGCACAGAGGGGGAGGAAGGAAGAGGGGGGCCAAGCAGGGAACAGGACGCATTGAGCCAGTCCACCATCGTGCCGGTGTTGACGCCGCATAAAGCTGCGGGTGTACGGCAAGCAGCGCGGGTTTTATGCCGTTCCCCTAGTGCGCCACCCTGTCGAGTTGCCCCTCCCCGCAATCCTCCCAGTCAGTCTTCACCTCCCCCCTGTCCCCCCATTCCCCACTCACGTGCCAGTCGTCTTCCACGTGCATCCGTACAGTGCCCGTCACAGGCCCCAGGTAGGCGATGTAAGCGGCTGAGAGCAGCACCTCCCCCAGCACCTAGGGGTTAGGGATCGGGGGTAGGGAATGCGAGTGAGCAAAGGAAGGCCAGATGGGGGGGAGTTATACTTGCGACGTGAGGAAAGACATGCCATGCCATGACACGACATGTCATGAAAGCTAACAGACGCGAACCCCTCTACCCTCCAGCACTTGGACTGTCGCAAGGCCCCAGTACCTGCGGCCCCCTCAAGGGTGAACCCCTGCGCCCGCTGCTCACCTCCGCATGCCTCTTCTCCTGCACCTCCGCATTGTCCTGCCACCTGCCCACCTCCCTCACCACCGCAGCAATGGTGAGCTGGGCCTGTTCACTCTTACGCTGCGCCACAGCCATGTCCGCATCCAGACGGTCACGACTGGCCTGGGCCTGCTCCAACTTGCTCTCAAGCTCCTGACGGACGGAAGGGAGGTTGAAAGAAAGGGGATAAAGACCGCGCGCCGAGTTGGCAGGGGGCCCCAAATGTCGTATACAATGTGCAGTACAAGGTGGTTAGTAAATGTACGTAGGGCCATACGAGGCGATCTGTGTTGCCGTACGTACCCGTATTCGCTCCTGCATTGCTGTGAGCTTGCGGTGGTTGTCCTGCAGTCTCTCCTCCTGCACTTGCAACCGGGCCTCAGCCTCCTCCAGTGCAGCTCGAGCGGGGTCCACAAGCTGGGGCATTAGGGTAGGCAGGGAACAAATGGGTATGCATGCATAAAAAACACTGCTGAGAACTCAACGAGAAACCCACACAACCCCTCTTAGGAAATCCTCCAAGCCCGAGTTGGAAAGCCTGCTAGAAACAAAGATCAGGCAGCGCCAAGGAGCGGGTGATTTGCCATCCTTTGTTCAAATTGTGTTCTCCTTCCTGAAGCCCCTCCACCCCATTCCCCTCCCCTCCATTCCGCCCCTCACCTTGCGGCCCTTCTGAAACGCATCCATCGCCTTGACCCACTTGCAGATGGTGGCAGCCGCCTGGGAGGTGCGCTGCATCACAACCGGGTCGAACATGGAGTTGCCCACGAAGCCCTCCACCTGGGCGCAGATCTCGGGAGTCATGGCGTCCTTATCGTAGCCCAGCAGCATGTCCAGGAAGTGGAAGTCCGCTAGCAGCTTGATGGATTCGGCCCACCAGGCCTCAGAGATGTCGGGGTCCTCGGTGGGGGAAGAGAAGGTGGATATGGAGGTAGAGGTGGCGATGAGGCCGGTGGCAGTAGAGGAGCGGTTGGGGGAGTTGGGCCGCAGTGCGGCTCGTGCCTCAGCTGCTGCCACCAGCGGGGGAATGCGGCCCAGCATGATGCAGATGCAGCGCATCACGAGCTTCACGGCTGCGGGACGGGGAGGGAAGCAGGGGGGAGTGGGGGCCCGGGAAGAGGGTTGTGAGGTGCACAAAGAATGAAACTGTCCTCAGATGGGTTCTCGAATAAGAGGCCCTGCCCTTCCTTCCTCCCGTTTCCTTTCGCTCACGTGTGGGCGGGTTCCTCATGACCTTGAGCTCGGCAATGGAGCTCTTATCAATCCTCCTCAGCTCCCTCAGAGCCGCCTGCAGGGGGGGCATCACGTCCCGCAGAGCCGCATCACATGCCGCCCGCAGCGCCTCACACTCCGCCACAGCCGCCTTGGCGCTCTCCTCAGCCGGCACGAAGCGCTGAAGGGCGGCCTCGGCCTCCGCCTTCTGGCTCTGAATCAGCGCCATCAGGGCCTCCACTTCGGCCCGACTGCGCTCCAGTTCGGGACCCTGGACACAGGGGGGTGCAGGGGGGAATCATACACGCAAAGTGCAAAGATACAGCCGCCGAGATACCAAGCACCAATCGCTGGAATCCAAGGAATGGGAAAAGGGGCGGGGGCTAAATAAGACAGGCTGGGGGAGATCCGGATGGGACCAGGGGACGTCCAGGGACGGGAAACGGAGTCAAGAAGTGGGCTGGCATGTGAGTGTGTGTTGTGTGCAAGGAGGGATGTGTATGTATATAGGTGTAGGTGTGGGCGTAGGTGTAGGAGATCCGCTGGGATCAGCTAGTTGTAGATGTCCAGATGGGGCTGCCAGGGCCGGGGACAAGGCATGACGAGACCACCAAACCCCGGGAGGGGGGAGGAAAGCCCCTTCCGCGCCCTTTCTCCGCTGCTCCCCTTCCCTCCCTCCCCCCCGACCCACCATGGACGCGATCTGGCCCCTCAGTGCTGAGAGCTTGTCCTGCATGTCTGTCATCTTGGCCACCCCCTGCTGGTACTTGAGCCGCGCAGTGAGCACCACCTGCCGCCGGTGGGGAACCATCGACCTGCGGGAGGAGGGGGGGGGAGTTGGGGACCATGGTCCTGCAGTTGCGGGCGGGGCCGGCATGGCGCCTTAAAACCACACGGACTGGCACACGCGTATACGTATAACCTCCCGCTCGGCATCCCAACCAAGCGATGCGGTTCAGACACATGCACACATCCCTGTGCACAACCCAGAGAATGTGCGCAGCCACGCTCCACTGTGTTCCCCCCCCCGGCCCGCCCTCCTCTCCCACCTTAGCAGCCTCAGCAGTCTTAGGAACTGGCACGCCGTGGCCATGAAGGGTGTGTTGTATCCCGCCTTGTTGTTGTGTCTCATCACGTGGGGCTTCAGCAGCCCGTGCATGTCCACCGCACAACCCAGGACTCGGTGCCAGGAGTCGATGTCCACCGCCAGGGCCTCAGGGGAAACAAGGAAGCGCTCAGCAACCTGATGGGGCGGGGGAGAGAGGGGAACAGGACAGGGGCCAAAGCTTCGTCGGGTGTCTATATCGGGCTTATGAAAAGCTCTCCACGGATCCGAATGGGGGAATGGATGGAGGTGGGTAGGTGGGTGGGTAGGAAGGAAGGCCAGCCCACTCCCATACTCACGTGCATTCGTGCGTCTCGGTCCCACTCATCAACCGAGTTGATGGTCACCGCTTGGAACAGTTTGGGGGAAGGCCACCACCTTGCGCTGCAGCCCCGCTGGTTCCCCCTCTAGGACCAACACAAAGTGCAGGTTAGACCGACAGCGCTCCATGAAGAACTGCCGCAACACGTTGTCACTGGTGCCTACAGGCGGGGGGGAGGAGGCAGCGGTGAATAGGGGGATGGGGATGGGCTGGGGTGGGGAGGCCAGGCGCCGGGACAAGCCAGTTTGCTTCACTGGTGGCTGCCATGCACAGCGAACCGACAACCCGGAAAGCCACACCGCACCGCACCGCACCACACCGCAACCAAGCCTAGCCCAACCCAGCCCACCCGTGGGATGCAAAGGTAAGGTGAAGTGAGCACATGAAGGGGAGAGGAGGGAAGGGGAGGCCGTTTGGCCATTTCCAATGGAGCCTGCCCAGTCTCCGCCCTCACCTCGCCACCACTCCCTGCCTCTTTTTCCCCCCACCTCACCCCGCCGCCCTGAGCCCCCTCACCCCCCGTTCTGTCGAAGTCCGTCCATGTGAGTCCCGCAGCTCGTGCCACCGGCTTGAGCTGCTGCGTGATGGAGGCGACCTCCTCGGGCTTGAACAGGTCCGGTAGTGAGCCCGTGGACATTAGCTGGTCCACATCATCCAACATGCAGGAACACGGACGGCCCAGGTCAACAAGGAGAAGCGTTACGGGCCTGGAAAGGGAGGGGACGAGGGACGGCGGCGGATAGAGGTTGAGGTTCCATTAACTGAGCCACGACAAGAAAAAAAGGCGAACCAACATATGATGCTCGAGTGAACAGAGAGAGAGAGAGAGAGAGAGAGAGAGAGAGAGGAGGAGAGAGAGGGGGGAGGTCAGCGGCCACGCGGAACAGGAGAAGTAGGGTTTGGGTGGGGCTGGGAAAGTTCGCGAGGTTACCCACAAAGGCTCAGCGCCCAACTAGCGGCCCTTGCTTTCCCTTCCCGCTAGCGAGCAGACCGCGTCTCTTTTCCTCCACCGCCCACCTGCCCCATCCATCCACTCCCACCTGCCCTGCACCCCGGCCGACAGCAGTGCTGACTTGATCATGTCCCGCCAGGCGAAACCCTTCTGGTCATCTTTCAACTTGGCCTCAAGCAGGGTACAGCGACACATGTACGACGCCAGCTTGGCGAGTGTACGGCGGCCGCACCCGGGTGGGCCGAGCAGCGTGAGGTGACCCTGCAGGGTGTGTATAGAATTGGGACGGAAGAGAAGGTTGCGAAGTGGACACAGGTCATTGTGTCAGAAATGAGTTTAGGTGGAATGAGGTTATGCATTAGGACGGGGAGGGGCACACAGCAGACCGGGGCGACCTGGGACCAGAGACACTCACGGTCCATCATCCAGGTGGGGACGGAGTGAGCCATATTTCATACATCGAACCGAATGGTGATGTAACGGAGAGGATGGAAAGCTTTCCACCCATGCACCACTCACGCATGCACCGTTCACCCATGCACTCACCATGTCCATAGACAAGACACGAGATATTCTTGCCAGGTGCATCACCGCGTTCCGGAACACAAAGATGTGCTCCTGGGAAGGCCCCCTCCCGCCGAAAAGCTGATCCGCAAATTCCTGAGCCACTGCCAGCAGCCGCTCCTCCACCACCGCCCGCACCGGTCGTCCATCATCCACCCAGGGCGCTTGCTGCTGCGTGTACACAGCCTCCAGAGCCCGATCAGTAGACATCTGAGGAATAAGGCCGCTGCTACCGCCGGGTCGGTTGATGACGGCGACGGCGGCGGCGGTGGCGGCACCTCCGCTGCCGCCGCCGCCGGCCCCGGCGCCGGAGCCCCGCGTCATCATGTCAGGGCTGTTGGGTTCGGAGTAAAGGCCGCCGCCGGCGGCGGCGCCGCTGCCACCGGGTCCGCCGCCACCAGCGTCGGCATCTATGGAGTTTTCGCCGTCAAGTACGTGCTCGGCCGCGCTAGGGTCGCCGTCGGGTTTTCGCAGTACATGCTCGGCTAGCTCGTACCCTCCGGTGGGGGTGGCGAAGGTGCAGAGTAGGATTTCGGTCGGGTCGGGCTGGGTGGACGGTGCGTAATCGGACAGGAAGTGCGTGCTCACCTGCGGGCCGGAGCGGACAGCGCAGCGCAGTGCAATGGACGGGGGAAAGGGAGATTCACATGGAAGTCGCGATTGTGGCGGTTTGGTGCGTGGTAATTTTGGAGCCAAGTCACGCGGATCCCCCAGGGCTCCAGACGCGGTAAGGTTGCAAAAACGCATGCCCCTGACCATTCCCAATTCTACCACGTCCACCACAATGGACCGCTAACCTCTGTGGCCTCACCCGCTAGGCCCTAACCCCTACCAAGACCTCACTCAACCCACCCGCGCACTACTGACCTCCGCTTCCATTCCTAGCTGCAAGACCCCGGCCCCCCTCACCTCCTGGAGTGTCTCCACCATCCACTTCCGCGCCTGTGGCTCAGTGAGGCGGTCGTAGAACACCCTGAGACACTCGTGCTGCCACACTCGGACCAGCAGCTCGGGGGTGGAACGGCTGGAACGAGTGGCGTGGAAGATGGACTGCGGGCGGAGGGTACCGGGGAGGAAAGGGGGAGTAGAGAGAGGGGTTGCTGTGAGCACGGGAAGGGTCGTGGGGGCTTACCAATGCCGAAGCGGTGTGCGTGGGGCCCTGGAGAGGTTTCATGGATGGCAGAAAGAGGGGACCAGGCAGCTGTCAGGTGACATGTATGCGCACGCTTGCGCCTTTCCCCCACCCGCTACGGAAGAGCCCAGGCACCTACCTGGAACACTTGCGCCACATGTAATATGGAGAAGACGTACTGGGGGCGGGTGGGTGAGGGCAATAGCTCCGAAGTCACCTTGCGGTACAGGTCCAGGGTGGCCTCGACCAGCAGATCGACCTGAAGGGGAGGAACAGCGGAAGGGGGAGGAGGAGGAGGAAGAAGAGGCGAGGGAAGGAAGGGGGTTCCAAGTAAAAGACGAACAGACCCGGACATGGCAAACGCGGGCACGACTCCCCGGAGCTGAGGGCTTCAGGGGGGGGAGAAGTCGAGGCTTAGGGTTCCATATGGGTGTACGTGGTGAGGACGGAGACATGGGTAATGAGACCGACACTCAGTACATCGTGGCTCGATGCATTAGAGCGCTATGCACCAGGGTTCGACACCCCGTACGGGGCCCGTAAGTTTTTGGCCTTTTTTTCGGTATCCCCGTCAGGGCCCGTAGGACTTTACAGTGGCCCCCGTAAGGATTTTGGGGTGCGAAGCGCCCCGTACGGGGCCGCCCCCGGACCGGCCGAAGGCCGGTTACGGGGGCCCCCGTAAGGATTTTAAGGATTTATAAGAGGCCGTACGAGGCCCGTAAAGTCCCCGTAAGGGAGAGGGCGGACCGATTGCCGACTGCCGTGCAAGGTTGTAGTACCCTTTGACCATATAAAGGATAAGGCCACACACTTGGCAGACATAATTCATATTGCAATATTTAACTACACTTTTCATAATACTTTTATAACTTCTGGTCTGTAACATCCTGAGGATTTTGATGATGAGGAGGAGGACGAGGATGAGGAGGACGAGAAAGAGGAGCAGAAGGGATGGGCGGCCGCGGCGGCCAAGGCGCTTGGCTTTCACTGAGTGTGCCGTGTCCCCGAGTGTAATGGTTCACGAGAAATAACGAAAATAACGATTTACAGGGCAAAAAAATGCAAAGCGTCACTTTCCACAGCGTTTCAGCCAAGGACAGTGCCCCCGTAAAGGTTTTGCAGGGGTTACGGGGGCCCCCGTAAGGTTTTCGGCCGGTACAGGAGCCTGGTACGGGGGCCCCTCCGTAAGGAAAATTTGGGAGGTACGGGGGAGCCCGCAAGTTTCAGGAAGGTCAGTGTCGAACCCTGCTATGCACCCTTCCCTGCACATGTACACATGCACACATCCATTACCTACATCCCAAGCACGGACTCAATCAGCCGCCCATTACCATAAAGCTTCACAAATCGCAAGGCGCTCCCGACTTCCCCTCCTCCTTCCCCCTCTCCCCCGGCCCCTAATCCTCCCTCCTCATCTCCGAAATCCCGCTCCTTCCCCTCCCTTTCCCACAGCCAGCTCTCACCAGCGTGAAGGGCAATGTGGTGTTCGGTGTCATGAGCTTGGTGACCATATCCGTGAATATGGCGTGGAATCCCGTGTGAGATATGGCCGGTAGCGCCACCATCATCAACTGGGACAGGAAACGACGAGGGCAACTGCGAGGACAGGGAGAGAGAGGACGAGAGAGGGAGGGCGTGAGGGAAAGAGCAGAGGGGAGGGCGGGAAAGGGTGTGAGGGAAGTGGAGCAGCAACAGGTGTGTCGTGTCATCAAAACACGGGTTGCAGCGTGTGCGGCATGCGATGTGTGGGGACGCGTGGGGACGTGTGGGAACATGTGTTGAGACAAGTCTCCGCCAGTGTAAATGAGAAGACCTAGAAATGGCGTAGTGTCACCGTAGCTTCTCGTAGCGCAGCGAAGAGCGAAGCGGAGGGAAGGCATCTCTGAATCGCGTCCGTGACCGGCTCGCGTCCGGAGCTCATTGGAAAGTCGCGCTCGATTGGATGGTTCCGGAGCTTTGCGTTTTCCGTTAGCGCGCCCCCTCTTCACAATCAGAGGTCGCGGGTTCGAGTCGCACTCCGCGAGGACGCGAGGACGACAGGTCGCGGGTTCTAATCACGGGTCGCACGCGAGTTGCACGCGAGGATGCGAGGACGCGAGGACACCAGGACGTGAGGACGCGAGGATGCAAGGGCACATGGACGCGTGAGCGTGTGGGCACGTGGGCACATGGGACCGTGGCACCGTGGATGTAGCCACACGTGGATGTAGCATGGACGCGTGGACGCGGGACATGAGGATGTAACATGGGCGTGTGCATGAAGCGTGGACGCGTGCATGTGAACCTTGAACATGTGGGCGGGGACACACGGATACTGGGCCATCAGGCCATGGGGACGACTGGGTGCGGTGGTGGGTAACGAACAACAGACGCGCGTAGTTGTGTTGTTCGACTTGAACTTGCAAGGTTAAACGTTTATCACAAAATATTAGGATAACCAGGTACGCCTGGGCGTGGCTGTGGGTATATCCATGTAGTTCCACTGTGGGACAGGACTTGCAGTGGAAAACTAGACTACAACGGCTCCGCCACGAAATGACGTGAAGTCGCGCACACCGCAACATTCCCCGGGATAAATACAGTCGCAGAAATTCTATAGAATCATACGGATTCAGAATACATTCTATCAACCAGCGATGCTGTGCAGCACAGTTATTGTATAGAAGTAATGTGTGCCATTGGCCCTCGAGTGCATTTATCAATTTTGTCAAACGGATCCAGGATAAAATTTATCATACGGATTCAGGAAAAAATTCTACAAAACAGCGGTGCTGCGCAACATACATCCATATTGTATCAATGTACTGTGTTCCATTGGCCCTCAACTGCATTCCTTGAGGATAGGAGGATAACCTGTCGCGACATCAGTCTGACCGGCCATTTCTATGGACAATTCTGCTTCCGGTAAGGAGTCCTGGTTGAGACTGATGCCCGTGATGTTGCTCCATCTCCTGCATGGGCTGTAGACTAGTAATCCTCTTCCTGACATCATGCAGGACGTCGGCGGTTAGGTACAGTTGCAGGTGGAGGCTCGTGGCTTCTGAGCTTGACAGGCCGGACTCAAGCCACACCTTCCCCCCCGACACCCCAGCTGTCCAGTGCGGATGCAACCAGAAAGGTGCAGGCGCGAGCCAACCGGCGGCGGCGGATCGAGCAGCAGCTGCAGCGTGATGGGCAGATGCACGAGCCAACCGGACACCTGAGCAAGTGGCGGCGGACCGAGCAGCAGCTACTGCTCGGTGGGCGTGGTGGTCGGAGGCGCGAGCCAACGAACGCCTGAGCAAGTGGCCACGCATCGAGCAGCACATGCAGCTCGGGTAGCAGAAGTGCGAGCCAACCGAACACCTGAGCCAGTGGCGGCAGACCAAAAGTGGACGCAGCTCGAAAGCATCAAGCCCGTGTGATTCTTGCAACAGTCATCTTGAGGAGCACACACCACAACACACCCACCGCAGCAGGGGTAGCCTTGTGGAGGCAGTTTTGGATGCTGCCTTCTGGGTGTTCAGGCGGCCGACAAACCCCACCAAGCCTCGTATGGGTGCCTGGTTAGACAGCAGTACAGCTTCATGGCCAGAACATGTGCAAGATGTTCCTGCGGGTCAGCCTCTGCCCACTGTAATTCCCTTAACAGCTTCTGTTAGGGTTTAAGGTTTAGGGTTTAGGGTACAGATCCGAGTCGCCGAACAGCTTGATGCCACTGTCAAAAACAACATGCCATCCTGTGTCTGCACCTGCTGCAGCGAGATGAAGTCCGCGGTACAGGCACACGGCTACCGGTTTGGTGACATCCCCAACGTGCACCAGTTGCGTGCAGATGTTTGGAGAACGCTGGCAGTGGCGCGTCCAGCTCAAGTCGTCGCATGGCTACCAGTGACAGCCGCCAGAGCCCCACCACCACCCGAGCCAGCTTTGCCGTGGGGCTTCCGAAAGATGTGGCTCAATGGGCATTCTACGGAGAAGACGGGGCTCACCAAGCGTCCTGGTACGACAGGGGACTCTGGTGGTTCGGATGACCAAGAGCACCGCCAGCCCACCCAGCAGCACAGTTCGTTGCAACAGGCGCGGGACCATTTGGGCAACACTGGAGCATATGGCTCTTCCCGGAAGACTTTCCACCGCATGAGGCGGGCCCATCTAGTCTGCCACAGTGATGTCGGCGTGAGACAGATGGTGTTGACGACAAGCAGGAGTCTATTCTTTCCGATGAAGAAGCAGGAGTGGATGCGACACGGCCACAAGACGTGGACGGCCAGCATGAGGAATGGATGCTCCCTTCGTGGCCGCCACGACCTGGCATGGAGCCACGGCCGGATCCCACTGCTCCGGGTGTGTGGCTAGTGCCGTACTGCATGCGTGTGGAGCGCTCTGGGGAGAATTGTACGGTGCACACCAACGGGGCTGGCGACGACATCATCATGATGTGCAACGACTGCATTCATGCCTTGGAATGTAAGCACTAAACACTAACATGAGAATTTGCATGCAGTGCTTTCGTTGCGGATCATGTGTGCTGGGTGTTCATGCATGCACGCACACAACCGCACTGGTTATTCTGACTGGTCTGCCCTGCCTGTGGCTGCTGCCTCCGCATCCA